GCCCCACTGCCCCGGGCTGCCCTGGCCGGGGGTCCGTGCTCCCCGGCGGGTGGACCAGCCTCAGCCTTGACACCCGGGCCCCCAGCAGAGCGGCCGCCTCTGGCCACGGACGAGAAGATCCTCAATGGGCTCTTCTGGTACTTCTCGGCCTGCGAGAAGTGTGTGCTGGCCCAGGTGTGCAAGGCCTGGCGGCGCGTGCTCTACCAGCCCAAGTTCTGGGCAGGCCTCACGCCGGTGCTGCACGCCAAGGAGCTGTACAACGCGCTGCCTGGCGGCGAGAAGGAGTTCGTCAACCTGCAGGGCTTTGCCGCCAGAGGCTTCGAGGGCTTCTGCCTGGTTGGCGTCTCCGACCTGGACATCTGCGAGTTCATTGACAACTACGCGCTCTCCAAGAAGGGCGTCAAAGCCATGAGCCTCAAGCGCTCCACCATCACGGACGCAGGCCTCGAGGTGTGCCCGGGGGCCGGGCTGGGGGCGGGGCTGGGCAGCAGCAACCCTGTGGGGGCTGGAGAGGATGGTGGCCTTGGTGTGGGGGAAAGCAGGACTGACTACAGGGGACCTCGTGCAAAGCGAAAATGTGGGTCCCTTGTTCAAAGACTATCAAGGTTTTCAAGATGGTAGCAGCAGAGCGGCTGATTAAATTCAGGGCCCAGGCTCGGCGCAGTGGCTCAGGCCCATCATCCCAGCACCGTGGGAGGCTGAGGCGGGCGTGTCACTTGAGGTCAAGAGGTCAGGAGGTCAAGACCAGCCTGGTCAACATGGTGAAGCCCTGTCTCTGTTAAAAATGCAAAAATTGGCCAGGCGCGGTGGCTCACGCCTGTAATCCAAGCGCTTTGGAGGCCAAGGCGGGCAGATCACCTGAGGTTGGGAGTTCAAGACCGGCCTGACCAACATGGTGAAACCCCATCTTTAAAAGAAAAATAAAAATTAAATTAAAAAATAAAAATGCAAAAATTGGCAGCCAGGTGTGGTCGCTCACACCTGTAATCCCAGCACTTTGGGAGGCCAAGGTGGGGCTGATCATGAGGTCAGGAGATGGAGACCATCCTGGCTAACATGGTGAAACCCCATCTCTACTAAAAACACAAAAAAATTGGCTGGGCATGGTGGCATGTGCCTGTAGTCCGAGCCACTTGGGAGGCTGAGGCAGGAGAATGGCTTGAACCCAGGAGGCGGAAGTTGCAGTGAGCCGAGATCATGGTACTGGATGCCACCCTGGGCAACAGAACAAGACTCCATCTCAAAAAAAAAAAAAAAAAGAGAAAAGAAAAGAATGCAAAAAGTAGCCGGGCCTGGTGGCGTGCATCTGTAGTCCCAGCTACTTGGAACACTGAGGCAGGAGAACTGCTTGAACCTGGGAGGCTGAGGGTACAGCAAGCTGAGATGGTGCCACTGCACCCCAGCCTCGGGCCTGGCCAACCAGGTGAGACTGTCTCTAAATAAATAAATATAACTAAATGCAGGGTCAGGAAGACGCTGGGGGGAGCTGAGGGGCAGCTGGGGAAGGATCCCTAGGAGCAGAGGTCAGCGGAGCCACCTGTGAGCCAGGCCTGAAGTCTTAATTATAACATTGGTACCAACACCCCTGGCACCTGCTCTGGCCAGGCCCTGGGCTCTGGTCCCGATGCCCGGCCTCCTCACACACTGCCAAGTGTTTTCGGAGTTCAGCTCCCTGCATGTTTACACCAGTAACCAGGACCACTGCCTCCTCCCTGCCGGCTCCACCTGCTCTGTGGGAAGGAGGGCCCCGGGCTGGAGGCAGGGAGCCCAGGCCTGGCACGCCCTTGACCCGGCGCCCGCGTCCTGCAGGTCATGCTGGAACAGATGCAGGGTGTGGTGCGTCTGGAGCTGTCCGGCTGCAATGACTTCACCGAGGCCGGGCTGTGGTCCAGCCTCAGCGCCCGCATCACCTCACTGAGCGTGAGTGACTGCATCAACGTAGCCGACGACGCCATCGCCGCCATCTCGCAGCTGCTGCCCAACCTGGCAGAGCTGAGCCTGCAGGCCTACCACGTGACGGACACGGCGCTGGCCTACTTCACTGCGCGCCAGGGTCACAGCACACACACGCTGCGCCTGCTCTCCTGCTGGGAGATCACCAACCACGGCGTGGTCAACGTGGTGCACAGCCTGCCCAACCTCACTGCGCTCAGCCTCTCCGGCTGCTCCAAGGTCACCGACGACGGCGTAGAGCTCGTAGCCGAGAACCTGCGCAAGCTGCGCAGCCTCGACCTCTCGTGGTGCCCACGCATCACTGACATGGCGCTGGAGTATGTGGCCTGCGACCTGCACCGCCTGGAGGAGCTCGTGCTGGACAGGTGCGTGTCCCGGGTTAGCGGGGCGGGGTCAGGCAGGGGACCGTCGGGATCGGGGTCAGGGTTGGGGTCAGGGGGAGGGGGTTCCCGGGGTGGCCCGGGCGGAGGCGCGGTGGGCAGAGCCCTCGGAGGCCTAGCGCCTGGGAGTGGGCAGAAACACAGGACTGGTTGGCTGGACCCCCTTCGTGATTCGCAATGGTTGGGAACGAGGAGGGGCAGGAAGGGATTCACGCCAGGGGCACTCCTGGAAGGAGGAAGGAGGGTCGGGGCCAGGTGATTTGAAGGTGCGGGTCCCCTCTGGTGCAACCACAGGTGTGTGCGCATCACGGACACTGGCCTCAGCTATCTGTCCACCATGTCGTCCCTCCGCAGCCTCTACCTGCGATGGTGCTGCCAGGTACCGGCTCTCACACCCCGGGACTGGGGAATCGGTGGGGGAGGTGGGGGTGTGGGGAGAGCTCCCGGCCCCACTCAGATCCTGGGGGAGTCTGGGACCCCTCCCTATCCAGCAGCCAACCTAAGCGGAACGCAGGCAGAATGCAGGGGTCCCCGGCGGCCCACCAGCCACTTCCCAGCCGCCTCCGAGCTCGTGGGTACTGAGGAACCTCGGGCTTGAACCCACCCCAGGGTACCCTCCCCTTCAGTGACAGTGGAAATCGTTGTCACCCTTCCACTCCCGACAGGTGCAGGACTTCGGGCTGAAGCACCTCCTGGCCCTGGGGAGTTTGCGCCTCCTGTCTCTGGCAGGTGAGACCCCTGATTCTCTGACGCTGAGCGGTGGCCACCCACCCCCACCTAGTCCCCCACCCAGCCCGCCCGGTCCTTCTGCAAACTCACCGTCCAGGGTCCGAGGCGGAGGAGGAGGGAGACGCGGCGCCCTGGGCCGCGCACTGAGCCCCCGCCCTGCTCCCGCCGCAGGCTGCCCGCTGCTCACCACCACGGGGCTGTCGGGCCTGGTGCAGCTGCAGGAGCTGGAGGAGCTGGAGCTGACCAACTGCCCGGGCGCCACCCCCGAGCTCTTCAAGTACTTCTCGCAGCACCTGCCCCGCTGCCTCGTCATCGAGTAGCGCGGGGCCCCCGCCCCGGTCGCGGGAACCCGGCCATGACCTGGGCGGGGGCGCCGGGCGCCGCCGAGCCCCCTCTTCCCGCCCTGCACTGGGGGAGCCTCCGCGCCCCGGGGCCAGCGCGGGAGGTGGGGCGAGCCGAGGGCAAGCCCCGCCCCGGCCCTCGGCCCCTCCGCCCTCCCGGCCCCGCCCTGGGCAGGGGGGCGGCGAGTGGGCCCGCCCGGGCCCGCCCCACGCACGCACGCACACTCGGGGACTTTGTGCATGCCCCTCGTGCCCGCACTGCACGCCGCCCTCCGCCACGCCACAGCCGCCGCCATCATTCGCTCGCCCGCCCGCTTGGGGGACCGGGCTCGGTCCTTGGGGGGCGCTTTGAGCTCTCCAGACTGTGCCCTTAACCGCCTTCCCCGCCACAACCGCTCTGTCTCCCCACTGTCCCCCCACATCCCGGGCAGGGCCCAGGGGGATTGAGGGGGCTGGGTCCCCCAGGACACGGGGCCCGGAAGAGCCCCATGGGCTTCCTGCATCTTCCACTGCACCATGCCTGGAGCCCTCCGAGGGGGGGGTCAGGGGAAACCGGCCACCGCCAAAGCCATGGCCCGTGCCGAGGAGCCCGAGCCCTACCCGCACCTCCTCACCCATCCCGCCCGACCCACGCGGCCTCCCGTCCTCCTTGCCACTGTGAGGGGCAGTCCCCTGTGCGCCCCCCAACCCGGCCTTGGCCCCTTGCCAGGCCGAGACAGAATTGGGCAGGGAGAGGGCAGAAGGGCTGGCAGTCACCTTGGAGTCATCAACATTAGCCCAGCTGACTCCGTCTGCCTCACCCAAGGGTGGCACAGGCGCCTCGAAAGCCCCCAAGTTGGAGCCGCCCTCAGGGCTCTCAGGCCCCTGGAGAAGCCTGGTCCGATCCCACACCTCAGCCCTCGGACCTGGCCAGGCTCAGTTCGGACCTGGGCATCGAGCTTCACCCTGGGCGGGTCTCCTCAGGTGGGGTCTGCAAAGTGGACCCAGCCAAGCTTGGGTCAGGGTCAGCACTGACCAGCGACTCCAATCTTCCGGTGGCCAGCACGCCCTAGATACCCTGAGGTGGGAGGGCTCCTTTCTAGCCTCCCCCAACTCCACCCCTCCCCAGCTTCCCAAATTTCTGCCTGCCCAAACGGGCTCTGACCGCGCTCTGTCGGCCCCAGACATTTGGAAGTCCTGGGGGGATGCTGGCAAATCTCGGCCGTCGCCGAGGAGGGGGCTGGGACCCCTTCCCATCCCAACCTTGAGCCCCAGGAGACTCAGCGCCCACACCCAATCTTGGGACACGCCCTATCTGGTTGGAAGAGAGTAACCAGTTTCCAGAGAGCCAGAGAGTGAGAGAGAAAGAGAGTGAGAGAGAGAGAGAAAGAGAGAGAGAGAGAGAAGCTGTTGAATCAGAAACAGGTCAACAGCCCAAAGATTTTCCTGTCCCTGGAGTGCCGGCCCCAGGAAGCTCCAGGGCTGAGTGGTCGGGAGCCAGTTTCTCCAGCCCCTCCTCCCCACAACCCCTTGGGGGGAAGGGCAGCTGCCCATTTGCCCAAAGTATTAATGCAACTGAAGCTGTGATATTTCCAACGACTGTAGGAGGAAACATTAAGGGGAGAGAGGAAAAAACACAACCAACCAACCCCTAAAATCACTTTCTTATTGTACATAACGACCTCATTCTCCTGTATATGCGGAAGATATAACCTTATATTTGGTAAGTGTTTCTTGTGCTATTTTATCACGTGACCTGTTTATAAAAATATATATTAAGTTGTAAAAACATGTGTCTGAGCTGTTTTCAAGCCACCGGACCATGGGGCAGGAGGGCGTGTTTGCCTGCGTGTCCCAGGTCTCGGGATCATTCTGTGCCTCTTACCGGATTTATTCATTCTTGCAACAAAAGGGGTCGAGGCTGCTGGACGATATGGTAGACTGGAAGGAAACAGCGGCGACTGCGTGGAAGGCAGGCTGCGGACTTAAATGTGATTGCTTAAATCACATAACATTTCCTCTGAAGTACGCAGACTCTAGCCCACCCTTCCAGAAAGGCAGAAGTCAGCCCTGTTCTATGCACAGGGTAACAGGCAGGGACGAGGATGTCGAAAAGATGACAGAACGCACCGACAGCAAAGGGTCACACCCAGGAGAGAAACAGAGCGCAAAAGAGGGCAAATGAGGCCGGGCACAGTGGCTCGTGCCTGTCATCCCAGCACTTAGGGAGGCTTGAAATGGGAGGATCACCTGAGGGCAAGAGATCGAGACCATCCCGGTCAACATGGTGAAACCCCGTCTCTACTAAAAATACAAAAAATTAGCTGGGCGTGGTGGCGCGTGCCTGTGGTCCCAGCTACTCAGGAGGCTGAGGCAGGAGAATTGCCTGAACCCAGGAGGCGGAGGCTGCGGTGAGCCGAGGTCGCGCCATTGCACTCCAGCCTGGGTAACAAGAGCGAAACTCCGTCTCAAAAATAAATAAATCAATAAAAATAAAAAATAAAATATTGAAATTAAGACTGGAAAAATACAGGCCAGGCGCAGTGACTCACACCTGTAATCCCAGCACTTTGGGAGGCTGAGGCAGGAGGATCGCTTGAGTTCAGCAGTTCGAGGCCAGCGTGGCCCACATGGTGAAACCCCCGACTCTTACTTAAACTATAAAAAATGTGAGCAGGGTGGGCAGAGCGCACGTGTGGTCCCGGCTGCTCGGAGGCCGAGGCGGGAGGATCGCCTGAACCTGGGAGGTGGAGGTTGCAGGGAGCCGAGGTCGCGCCGCCGCACTCCAGCCTGGGTGACAGAGCGAGACTCCGTTTCAAAAATAAACAACACACAAGCACAGCACCGAAGCGCAATGGCGGCCCCCGAGGGCGGCCACAGACCGCCGTCCTGGGCCCGGCCCCGCCTCTGCCACAGGCAGCTCCCTGACCCGGAACTTTCGTGGCGTGAGGCGAGAGTCTGTGCCGCTTCCGGAGAGGAGCGGGTAAGGAACGGACCACTTCCGGCGGAGGGCGGGAAAGACGACCCACTTCCGGCGCTACGCTTCCGGACAGCCGTGCGCTTTTAGTAAAAGACTGGGGATCGCGCTGGGGAGAACGGCTGCCCCGGGCCCTCTGGTTCTCGTCCCGCAGCGTCCGCTGCCTCGCGCCACTGCGCCAGGGAACCTCTGTGCCGCCCCCAGGAACTCTGCTTCTCTCCTGCCTCCGGTCCCGCCAGACACCTCGAGCTCCTTGCGTAGCTCGGTCTTTGAGGTCCCTCTGGGCCTCTCGCGCGTCTATCACCTGAGTCCCCGGGCCCGTCTGGCCCTCTGTTCCCGCCCCTCTTTTGTTCGTCCCCAGAGCCCCGCCGCCCTCGCCCTCGTCCCCAGGGCTGACCGTGTGGACAGTGGGAGTCACCTCGCTCCCCTGCTGGGATTGACTGACCCAGGGTTTATGTGACTGCCCAGATCTGGCTGATGGGGGGGATCGAGAGGTGGCCTGGGCCGGGACTGTCCAGCTAGGAGCTTTCGTGGAAGTTGGACATGAACCTGACAGGCCTAAGGGGAAGCTAGGGAGCTTTCTCACCGCTCAGCCAGGGTGAGGATGGGCTGGACTGACGGACGAAAGTGAGTTTGACCTTGCTTGTCAGGCTGATTGGTTGATGGACTGCCCTGGACTGGCTCACCAAGACTGACCAGGCCGGGCCCAAGCAGTTCTGGCGTTCCCAACCTGGGTTGGAAGGTCTGAACTGATGGCCCACCCGGGCTGAGCCCACCTCACTGACCTCCTGACCCCTGACCTCATCACCTGTACAGCCATGGAGAAGATGTCCCGTGTAACCACAGCCCTGGGTGGCGGTGTGCTGACAGGCCGCACCATGCACTGCCACTTGGACGCTCCTGCCAATGCCATCAGCGTGTGCCGTGACGCGGCCCAGGTGGTCGTGGCAGGCCGCAGCATCTTCAAGATCTATGCCATCGAGGAGGAACAGTTCGTGGAGAAGCTGAACCTGCGTGTGGGGCGCAAGCCTTCACTTAACCTGAGCTGCGCCGACGTGGTCTGGCACCAGATGGATGAGAACCTGCTGGCCACAGCAGCCACCAATGGCGTGGTGGTGACGTGGAACCTGGGCCGGCCATCCCGCAACAAGCAGGACCAGCTGTTCACAGAGCACAAGCGCACGGTGAACAAAGTCTGCTTCCACCCCACCGAAGCCCACGTGCTGCTCAGTGGCTCCCAGGATGGCTTCATGAAGTGCTTTGACCTCCGCAGAAAGGATTCTGTCAGTACCTTCTCGGGTGAGGCCACAGAGGCAGGTCAGGGCAGGCGGGCCACTCTGCCACGCCCAGCCTGTCCATGCAGGACAGGAAGTGCCCTGTGCATCAGAAGGCCTCAGGATCACTCCCAGAGGGCTTCCTCAGGGGAAAGGGAATCAGCAGGGGAGGGACAAGGCAGGTTGGGCTGGGCTGCATGTGAGCCAGGGCAGTGAGGTGGGAAGAGGCAAGAGATGAGACCAGCAGAAATTGAGGCTAGATGTGGGGTGAGATAGGGCAGAGTCCAGTGGTCTCCCAGCCAGCCCAGGTGACAAAGCAGAAAGCCACTACACGATTCCCTCCCCTCACCTGGGAGCTGCAGAGGCTGCCTCACAGCAGGAAGCCTGCCAGGACTTCCAGGTTTCCTGGCCCCGGGAGGCAGAGGAGGTGGGTTTGCTATCCAGTGTCCCGGGGTCCTTTTCCTAGCAGGCCCAACTCCAGTGGCCACCCTGAGCCAGCTCTCCCTTGTTCACGAAGAGATGAGGTGACATGGAACTCTCAGGGGTCTCAGAGAATTTACGAGCCACTTAAAACAGATCCTGAGCTCCCTGCCCTGGAGGGCCCTGGAGGAAGGCTGGGCACACCCTCAAAGGCTGTTGGTGTGGTGGTCCGCTAGGGCGGACCTGGACCCTGAGTCCTCCAGTCCTTTGAGGCTGACCAGGCAGCTCTGGCTCCAGGTGAAGGGACTGTGCTGAGGCCGGGGGCACCCTGCTCAGCACTCCTTGGGTCTCCCACAGGAGGCCGTGGGAGTGGGCGATGACTGGGTGGGTTCCTGTACTCCCAGTACTCAGCTGCTGTGTCCTGAGGCTGCACCCCAGCTGTGCGCGTGGGCGGATGCAGGACGCAGGATGTGGTGCAAATGGAGCCTGGGAGGGTGTGTTGAAAACCACCTGGCATGCTGCTGCTCCTGGGCCCAGGCTCTTGTGGTGACTCTGTGGCTGCTCCCTTGGGCTCTCTACCCTCGGGGCCTCTGTTCTGGGTCACAGGCAGGGGTGTGACATCATTCCACAGCTGCTCCAAGGGGGCACCCCGTGGGCCACCCCGTCACCTCCCTGCATTGACACCTGCCTGCAGGCCAGTCCGAGAGCGTGCGGGACGTCCAGTTCAGTATCCGGGACTACTTCACCTTCGCCTCCACCTTCGAGAACGGTAACGTGCAGCTCTGGGACATCCGGCGCCCCGACCGGTGTGAGAGAATGTTCACGGCCCACAACGGCCCTGTCTTCTGCTGCGACTGGCATCCCGAGGATAGGTGTGCCATGGGGGTGCAGGGGCAGCAGGCTGACAGGAGGCTCTCACTACCTCAGACCTGTGAGACAGTTGGGAGTAGCAGAGCTGGGGGGGGTCCCTTTTTCCGCAGGAAAGGCCACTGAGGATTTGGGTGGGGCCTTCCCACAGGGGCTGGTTGGCCACAGGAGGGCGCGACAAGATGGTGAAGGTCTGGGACATGACCACGCACCGTGCCAAGGAGATGCACTGTGTGCAGACCATCGCGTCAGTGGCCCGTGTTAAGTGGCGGCCAGAGTGCCGCCACCACCTGGCCACATGCTCCATGATGGTCGACCACAACATCTACGTTTGGGACGTGCGCCGGCCCTTCGTGCCAGCTGCCATGTTTGAGGAGCACCGAGACGTCACCACGGGCATCGCCTGGCGCCACCCGCACGACCCCTCCTTCCTGCTGTCCGGCTCCAAGGACAGCTCACTGTGCCAGCACCTGTTCCGTGACGCCAGCCAGCCCGTGGAGCGCGCCAACCCTGAGGGCCTCTGCTACGGCCTCTTTGGGGACCTGGCCTTTGCCGCCAAGGAGAGCCTCGTGGCTGCCGAGTCGGGGCGCAAGCCCTACACTGGTGACCGGCGCCACCCCATCTTCTTTAAGCGCAAGCTGGACCCTGCTGAGCCCTTCGCAGGCCTTGCCTCCAGTGCCCTCAGCGTCTTTGAGACGGAGCCGGGTGGTGGCGCCATGCGCTGGTTTGTGGACACAGCTGAGCGTTACGCACTGGCCGGCCGGCCGCTGGCCGAGCTGTGTGACCACAACGCAAAGGTGGCTCGGGAGCTCGGCCGTGACCAGGTAGGTGGGTTCCCCTGCCAGCTGTCCTGCCCCCGACTTCAAGCTCCGCGATGGGCTCTGCCCAGTCGTACCAACAGCCCTTGCCCCAGTAGCTGAGGGTCAGGCTCCAGGGTGGCCAGACCCGGCACTGTCCTCTGCAGGGCGGAGTCTTGGGAGTCGTGTGGTCAAGCTCTCTGTTCCGCCCCCTTTGCTTCTAAGCTCTCCAGGCACTGGCAGCAGTGGACGTGTGAGCCGCTGCCCCGCCGTTCCCCACTGCCCAATTCCATTCCCTCTGTACTGCTGTAGGATGGAGATTGGGATTTTTCTCTTCCCATGAGCCTCGGCTTCCCTACCGGGGTGGGCCTAGACATTGGGTCTGTGGGGCAGCTGAATGCTGAGAGCTTGTGATTCTGTCCAGGCAGAGGGGGACCTGCATGGGGTGCTGGGTGACCTGGACCCCCACAAGTGACCAGTGCCTGCCCCCAGGTGGCACAGACATGGACCATGCTGCGGACCATCTACTGCAGCCCGGGCCTGCTGCCTACCGCAAACCTCAGCCACAGCATGGGCAAGGGTGGCTCCTGTGGCCTGCAGCTCATGAACAGGTAGATGCCAGGGGTAGCTCTCCCCAGGGGCTTGGGCCGCTCAAGCCCACCTACCCATGGGCCTTTCCTGCCTTCAGTTTCAACCTGAAAGATATGGCCCCAGGTTTGGGCAGTGAGACCCGGCTGGACCGCAGCAAAGGAGACGCACGGAGCGACACGGTTCTGCTTGACTCCTCGGCCACACTCATCACCAATGAGGGTAGGCTGTGGTGGGTGGGGGTGCTGGTGGGAGTGGGGCGGGGGCATCCCACAGGAGCCTGAATGCCAGCCCAACTGTTGGGGCAGATAATGAGGAAACCGAGGGCAGCGACGTACCTGCTGACTACCTCCTGGGTGACGTGGAGGGCGAGGATGACGAGCTGTACCTGCTGGACCCAGAACACACTCACCGTAAGTGGGGTCGAGGCGGGGTCGGGTAGAGAAGTAGGTGGAGGACGGAGGTTCAGAGCCTTTGCTCACCTGGGCCTCCCAGCCGAGGAGCCCGAGTGCGTGCTGCCGCAGGAGGCCTTTCCACTGCGCCACGAGATTGTGGACACACCTCCCGGGCCCGAGCACCTGCAGGACAAGGCCGACTCCCCGCATGTGAGCGGCAGCGAGGCGGATGTGGCCTCCCTGGCTCCCGTGGACTCCTCCTTCTCGCTCCTGTCTGTCTCACACGCGCTGTACGACAGCCGCCTACCGCCCGACTTCTTCAGCATGCTGGTGCGGGACATGCTGCACTTCTATGCTGAGCAGGGCGACGTGCAGATGGCTGTGTCTGTGCTCATCGTCCTGGGTGAACGGGTGCGCAAGGACATCGACGAGCAGACCCAGGTGTGTGGTGGGCGGGGCCTCCTCCCTCCGAAGGCTTTGCCCTGCGCCCCGATTCCGACCGCCACGCGCTCCTTTCCCAGGAGCACTGGTACACCTCCTACATCGACCTGCTGCAGCGCTTCCGCCTGTGGAACGTGTCCAACGAGGTGGTCAAGCTGAGCACGAGCCGAGCCGTCAGCTGCCTCAACCAGGCCTCCACCACCCTGCATGTCAACTGCAGCCACTGCAAACGGCCCATGAGCAGCCGGGGCTGGGTCTGCGACAGGTGGGCAGTGGGGTCGGGAGGTGGGGAAGGGGCCTGCAGGCAGTGCAGGAGCCCCCGCTGAGGCGTCCGCCCTCCCGCCCGCCCCCAGGTGCCACCGCTGCGCCAGCATGTGCGCCGTCTGCCACCACGTTGTCAAGGGCCTGTTCGTGTGGTGCCAGGGCTGCAGCCACGGCGGCCACCTGCAGCACATCATGAAGTGGCTGGAAGGCAGCTCCCACTGCCCCGCGGGCTGCGGCCACCTCTGCGAGTACTCCTGAGCGTTTGCTAGGCTCTGGGGACCTGACCGCCCGGCCGGCCACGTGCAAAACCCCGCCTGGTCTTGGGCCCCAGACGGGCAGAGGCTGGAACTTGAAACCCCAATAAAGGAAGTGGAATCGCTGTCCGCGCGGGGGCTTGCAGTGTGCTCGCCGTGCAGCTGCTGGGCGGGGGCTCTCTCCGGGGCTGTCGCCATGGTAACCAGCGATGCCAATAGGCCTCTTCCGGGGCGGGGCAAAGGAGATCACTTCCGGAACCATCCGGGCACCCGGCGGTTGCCATGACGACGAGGTTGCGGCCAATGGCTGGCGGACGGGCCTGAGGTTCCCGGCGTGCAGCGCGGCTGCCTGAGGGCGGCGGGCTCATGGCGCCGGGGTCGTGGTTGCTCGCGCTCTGGGCGCTGGCGGCTCTGGTTCTACCCAGCTCGGGGGAGGAGGGCGACGGCGGGTGGTGAGCGGCCCGGGAGGGGCCGGGCGGGGGGTCTCGTGCGGCGGGTAGGGCGCGGGCTGACCGGGCTGTGCCCGCAGGCGCCGGGGCGGGCCGGGGGCCGCGGCCGAGGAGCAGCGCTGCACGGTGGAGCGCCGCGCCGACCTTACCTACGCCGAGTTCGTGCAGCAGTACGTGCGCCCCTGACCGCGGAGATCGCGCCCTGGTCACCCGCCCGCCTAAGGCGCCTTCCCCGAGCTCCCGCGAGTGTGGGGCGGGGGCGGCGAGGGTGGCGGTCGAGCCTGGGCGCGACTCTGCCCTTCCTTCCAGGTACGCGTTCGTCAGGCCCGTTATCCTGCAGGGACTCACGGACAACTCGGTGAGCGCGCGCCCGTCCCCGGACACCCTCGCGCGTGCTGGGCCCGGCCTCTAAGCCCCGCCCCCGCCCGCCCCCCCGCAGAGGTTCCGGGCCCTGTGCTCCCGCGACAGGTTGCTGGCGTCGTTCGGAGACAGAGTGGTTCGGCTGAGCACCGCCAACACCTACTCCTACCGGAAGGGTGAGCCGCCCCACCCCGGGCCCGCCTGCTTGCCAACGCCGCGACGGCTGCAGCAGCCGGTCTTGACCCGTCCCTTCCCTGCAGTGGACTTGCCCTTCCAGGAGTATGTGGAGCAGCTGCTGCACCCCCAGGACCCCACCTCCCTGGGCAATGGTGAGTCAGCCATGTATGGCGGTGTTGGGGCGGCGACACGCTTGGAGCCTCCCAGTGCCGGGATCCCTGCCCCACCGTCTCTGTTGCAGACACCCTGTACTTTTTCGGGGACAACAACTTCACTGAATGGTCCTCACTTTTTCGGCACTACTCCCCACCCCCATTTGGTCTGCCGGGTACCGCTCCAGCTTACAGCTTTGGAATCGCAGGTGGGTGCTCCTTGGGACTGGGGAGGAGTGAGGCTTCTGAGAGTGGGTACTAAACAGGTGGGTCACTAGGTGCTCGTAACCCCACAGGAGCCGGCTCGGGGGTGCCCTTCCACTGGCACGGGCCTGGGTACTCGGAGGTGATCTACGGCCGTAAGGTCAGCCCAGGGTGGGTGTCGGGGCTTGGGTGGATGACCCAAGTGGGCAAGGGTGACGCTGCTGCCCCTGCCCACAGCGCTGGTTCCTCTACCCACCTGAGAAGACGCCAGAGTTCCACCCCAACAAGACCACGCTGGCCTGGCTCCGGGACACATACCCAGCCCTGCCGCCGTCTGCACGGCCCCTGGAGTGTACCATCCAGGCTGGTGAGGTCAGTGGCTGGCAGGAGGGACCGGGCCAGGTCAGAGGCCCGCAGCTGATCTCGGCTGCACCCCCTTCCTTCACCAGGTGCTGTACTTCCCCGACCGCTGGTGGCACGCCACACTCAACCTTGACACCAGCGTCTTCATCTCTACCTTCCTTGGCTAGCCGTGGCAGCCGGCAGGCACTCCTGTCACACAGAGCACTTCTTCCCCAGCTTGTGCTCACGGATTTTATTACACAGACGGTGGCCGCAGCCCAGCCCACCCTCACCTGCTTTTCCAGCCCAGAATGGGGGACGGGGAGGATCACAGCCCAGCAAGAGCTATGCTGAGAGGGGAGCCGTCCAGAGCCCAACAGCAGAACTGGGGGGAAGGGAAAGGGTGGCCAGGGACACAAGCTATGTACAGGGGCTGGGGGCTTCTGCCCGTGGCCCTCCGGGGCCAGGACACTGGGCAGGGCGAGGAGCTCAGTAGTCCTCCACCCAGCCGTTCTCAGAGATGAATGCATCAATGACCTCCTTCATAGCCAGGTTGGGAATGAGCTGTTCCTGCGTCAGGGGGCTCCGGGTCACAGGGTCAAAATGGCCTACACGCTGCAGTGACAAGAGGCAGAGGCTGCTCAGCAAGCCTAGGACCCTGCTGCTGGCCCTGCCCACCCCCTGGCCCCAGCCTCACCTGCAGGTGCTCCTCGATGTCCTTGCGGTCGTAAGTGATGCCACTGGGTGTGATGCACGGCTCCCGCATCAGCTCAAAGCTGATCTTGCCACACAGGTAGTCAGGGATGTCGCGCTTCTGTGGCACATGGGCACAGGGTCAGAGGCTGGGAAGGGGCTGCTCCAGGACCTACCACCCACAGCAGCACTCACCTTCCTCTTCTCATCCACCTGAGAGAAGAGCTCATCCATGTCCGCCATGTATCTGTCCTGTGGAAAGTTGAGCAGTGCTTGGGAGGGACACCCCACTTCCCTCCTCCGTGGTACCCAGACCCAACACGAGGCAGGGACACACAGACCCACAGCAGGGTGGGGACGCTCCCGTGCCACGTGTGCACACACACAGACCCACATGTGGATGGGGGCACCCTCACGTGCTTGGCCTCAATGCAGGCCTGCTGGGCCCGGACGTGACTGTCGTCCTCGTCACCCTCGTGGTTCTGCTGGCACTCTTTCAGCTCCCTGGGGGATGACCAGGAGCCCGTCAGAGACGGACCTGGCCAGAAGATGTCTGACCACACCCCAGACTCAGGGCTAACATCCAGGCTTCTTCCCCACATGCACTGCTCGCCAGTAAAACTTTCAGTAAACATTCGTGTTGGCGGTTGGTTATTCAGAATTATCCCCAGACAGCGCGGCCTGGGGTAAGGGTCCCACCTCTCACGCTCCGCCGCAATGAGCCTCGAAAGGTAGGAGTGCAGCTCACTCTCCTGGTGGATGCGCCGCTCCTCGATGCTGTTCCAGCGCTTCTTCTTCGCGATTCGCAGAGCGCTGGGGATGTCGTCCCCAAAGTTCAGTCGCTGCTCCTTGGCCAGGCTGTAGGCTGGGGAACAAGGGCTTCCGGTCACGCTGGCCAGTCCAACCGCCTGGTCCCAGGGGCCCCGCACCCAGGCAGCTTGTCGGCCAACCTCGCTGCAAATTGGCGATGGCCTCATCATAGCTCTCCATCTCCAGCTGGCACTGCCCCAAGAAGAAGTGCGCCTTCACAGACTGCCCGTCCAGCTCCAGGGCGCGCCGGCAGTCGGCCAGGGCCTGCTCATGCTGCTGCATCTTCAGGTAGCACAGGGCCCGGTTGGTATAATACACGGCCACCAGCGGGTTCCGGGTCTAGGGACCAAGGCCGGGCCAGCCGCATCAGGCGTAGGCTCAGCGCGCCCCCTCTGTCCCAGGGCCCGTCCCAGCTTCTGCGATCTGGCTACGATCAAGAACCTAGACCTCTCAGTAGCCAAAGCCTCTGGGTCCAAGGATCTGCAGACACGGGACTACTGGCTGAGCCTACACACCTCACTCCGGTTGGTTCTGTAGAGTTTTCCAAATCTTTGGAGAGTCCCAGCTTTGGACCCTGGCCTCCCACCCACCCGGCCGGCCTCCATCTAGCATCCCACCCTCGTTCCCCGGCACCTGGCGCTGGGATCGAGAACCAATGCTGGGCTTTCGGAGCCCAGGATACCCGCCGCGGAGGAGCCAGACCCTCGGCGGGGCCGGCCGATCGCGGGCGTGGCTCTCCGACTCGCCGTCGCCGCCTTCCCCACGCGGGCGCACTCACGATCGCGCGGCCGTAGCAGGCCGCCGCCTCCGGGTACTTTCGGCCCACAAACAGACGGTTGCCCTGTTCCTTGAGCTCCTGCGCGCTCGGGCTCTTCTCCGGGCTTCCGCCGCCAGCGCCCAGCCGCGCGCCGCCCTCCTTCTCCTCCTTGCCCTTCATGGCGCCGAGCGGCACGGCCTGGGCTGCGCTCCCAAGCTCCGCGCCTGACGGCCCTGCACCCGAAGCCCGAGCCCGAGCCCTGCAGCCCGAGCCCACGATCAGCTCGGGCCCGGCCCAGCTCCGCCGCCGGAACTTCCGGCCGGGGGCGGGATCGGCGGGGACGCAGGCGTCGGGGGGCGGGTAGGGCCGCGCGTGCGCCCAACCAGCCTGGGCGGGGACAGTCGGCCCGCGACGTAGCTGGCTGCGAGGAACGGTCCGGTTCCCTGGCCCCGCGTTTTTCAGGGTCGGCATTCGCGGAGGCCAGCCCCGCCCCGCCGAGGCCTCTTCAGAACTGGCCTCGGTGGCGGCCGTCCCATATATTCGGTTTTCTCTGTGAGGTGCCTCAGCCTTGGTTCGCTGAGGGCGTGCTTCCCTAAAAGCCTGTCCCGCCCACGTGGGATTCCGCCCCTGCCCCAACCCGTAAAGACCCCATCTGCAGAGGTCCCGCCCCCAGCAGCCCGCCCCGCCCCCAACAACAGGCCGCATCTGCGGCGGTCCCGCCCCCGGCACCCGCCCCCACTCCCAGCACCTGGCCCATCGGCAGAGGCCCCGCCCCCGCAGCCACCCCCATCGGCGGAGGCCCCGCCCCCAGCACCCGGCCACGCCCCCATCAGTCAGCCCCGTCTGCAGAGGTTCCGCCCCTGGCAGCCGGCCCCGCCCTCGGGGGGGGTCGACTCCGTTTGCAGAGGTCCCGCCCCCAGCAGCCGGCCCCTTCCGCAGAGGCTCCGCCCCTGAGAGCCGACCCCTCCCCTCCACGTAACATGGCGGCCTCCCACGCGCTCTGGGGCTGTGGGGACCCCAGCGGCTTGCTGGGCTGCCATCCTGGAATGCCACCGAAAGGTGCTACGAGCGCGCGCGGGCCCCCGAGAGCGGCTGGAAGCCGTGGACCGTTGGTAGACTGGTAAGAGATAAAGGGATCCGTGGGGCGAGTGTCCCCGTGGCCGGACCTCCCCTCACCCCCTTTTCCAGGTAACGGGAGGAGTTGCTGGCGGCCATCAAGGGCCGAGCGGAGAAGCACGTGACGCGAAGGGAGCTGGAACGGCTGCTAGTCTAGAGGCTGCCGGTGGGGTGCGGCCCCGCCTCCTCGTGTGCGGGGCCTCCGTAGGGCGGGTCTTCAGGGAGTGGCGTCGGTGGGGCGGTGCTTCCTCGTGGGCGGGGCCTCCTAGGGGCGTGTCTTCGTGGGGGCGGGGCTTTGTCGTGGGGCGGGGTTCCTGGAGGGTCCACCACTCCAGGCATCCTGACCTGGCCTCCCACAGAGAGGCCGCTTTTGGCCATGTCTTCAGCAGCCTGTGGCCACCAATCCCCTGAGCTGGTTGTGCACCGCTTGACCTCCGCCTTCTGACTCCTGCCAGAGTCGGGGGCCGCAGTCATAAAGTTGTGTGCCCTCCGCGGTGTGGGCCCACCACAGGTGAGTCGGGTGTGCACGACCTGGGTGCACAGGCATCCTTGTCTGTGAAGCCGGCAGTCTGGGCCCTTGCATGTTCCTGGGAGCAGGAGCAGGGTCTCCCAGAGCTTGTCCTGATGGGGTGTCTGGCTGCTGTCTCCTCGCTGCTCAGAGCAGTCCTGGCGGTCGGAGCTCCACAGCTGGAAGCCTTCTTGTCAGATGAGGCAGTGGCCACAGTGACCAGTCTTCTGACCCCACAGTACACCCTCAGGCACAACCTGCTGTCCCTGGGCCGGGTTCAAGCTCTGAGCCAAGGTGAGCAATCTGTGCATGGGCAGGGTGGGGGGGGGCCTGTGCCCTGGGCCTGACTCCGTGTGCCCCTCCCTAGCCAGTGCCTCAGGACAGTGGACTCCTCACCTAGTGGAGACAGCGCTGTGGACCGGGGCCTTGGGGCAGAGGCTGTGCCCACACCTGTTGCCCAAACTTGGCCCCAGCTTGGCCACCCACGAGGATGCTAGGCCAGCGAAGAAGCGCAGGACCCAGGCTGAGTGGACTCGGCTACGGCCCTGGCCCACTCACCTGCCACACAACCTCAGGCCTCGGGTGTCACTGGATGCCAGGGAGGCTGCCACCATGGAGCTCAATAAACACTGCCAAACTCACGCCTGACCACACTCCTGGCCTGACACACACCTGGCCCCCAGCCCTCCCCGGTGCCCGTAACTCCCACAGACCTTCGCCTGTGGCCCGGGGAACAAGTCCCACGTGTGACCCCAGGTGCAGAGGTGCACAGGGAGGACAGCCAGGCTCTCGTGGTGGGCAGGGCCCTCACGGTCTGTTCAGCGGTTGTGGAGGTCCTGGCAAGTTTCCAGAGCCTGGGATAGCCCCCTGGTGCTGTGTAAAATATTTATTAATTATCCAAAAAGGCTCAGACTGCAAGTCCTGGGAGTAGGGAGTTGGCCGGGACAGGGTCTCCTCTGAGGCCACCCACACCCAAGGGGCACAGCAGCCCTGAGACGTCCGTTCACAAGGGCAGACACGAAGGCCCAAGGGGGGCAGCCACCATGTGCCAAGCCATGGCCTGTGCAGCCTCAGGTAGCCAGTCAGGGCGGTGGAGGGATGTGGGCACCAAGCAGGTCATAGGCAAAGACGTTCCAGAAGACGGCGAAGAGCAGGAAGGTGCCGTAGGCCAGCAGCACCACCCACCAGCCACACTGGTCCCGCAGGCGCTCCTCGTAGCTGCGCAGGATGGTCAGGCCCATGCTCACCCCCACCACCGCGCCTGCCAGGTGCGCCATGAAGCTGGGCTGTGGGCCCGAGGCGGGCAGCGGCGGGGAGAAGCGCAGCCACACGGCCCGGCCCACCTCGGAGCTCACTGCAGAGGGATGCGGCAGATGGGAGGTGCCCCGGCTGCAGGCTGAGAGGCCCCCCCCCCCGGCCCTCCCCCTCAGTCCCTACTCACTGCACACCAAGGCCAGCACCATCCTCAGCAACTTGTAAGGACATCTCATCCCAGCCCAGTTCTAGGGGGGTGTTCAGAGGAGAGGCCGTGAGGCTTGCCAGGGGCCCCTCCCCGCGCCCCCCACCGGGCAGGCCCGTTACCATGACGACGTTGGCCAGGTGTGCCGAGCACAGGGCGTAGACCCCGCCGGAGCCTCCCACCACCGGGGCCCGCATGTCGGTGATGGAGACGGTTAAGGAGCCTGTGTGAGCAAGCGGCGGGTGAGGGTGTGGCCGGCCAGGGTAGGGGGCGGGGGTGCGCGCCTGCCTCACCTGCCAGCACACCCGCCAGGTAGAGCAGGCTGATGCGGAGCAGGCCGTGCACCATCTCCAGGGGCACCCCGATCATCAGCTGCAGGAGGGCGTTGAACCCCAGCTGCTCCAGCCTGGCCACACGGGAGCAAATGGGCATAAGGGGTGGGGTCAGCCATCAGGCCCCACCCCCAGCCCTGTCAAGTTGCTGCACCTGCCCTGAGGCTAAGCCTTTCTGATGGAACGGCAGACGGGGTGGGGGAGGCCTCACTGGGCAGCAGCCCCACTCACCCGACGTGCATGAACATGTAGGTGAGGAAGCGCCAGGCACGGGCGCGGTGCCCAGGGTGGTACACAAGAGGGCTCTTCATGTATTCAGGGTGGTAGGTCTGCAGCACCCACTTGTTGAGGCGGGCCCCGTAGCACAGGAACACGATGATCTGGGGACACGAGTGTTAGGCTGGTCAAGGCCAGGAGTGCGGGAGGCTCCCAGGGCAGCGGCTGGGGGGCCCACCTGGGCAAGGGTGACCGAGGCCATGAACACAGGGGGCGGGCAGCTGCGGTGTCGGTAGAAGTACCAGCGGCGGTCCACCTCGCAGGGCAGGATCTCATAGGCCACGTAGCGCACAAATCGCTTGTAGACACCCAGGCCCGGCTCGTCCAGCAGCCCGTCCCGGGGCAGTGCCCGCTGTCCGTTAGCAATGGCCCGCTTGAAGCTGCTGGAGCGCTTGCTGCTGATCTGAGGGCAGGGGCTGAGCATGGGCCACGCACCTCCCCACGGCACCCCTGCCTGCGGGGCTCACCCAGCTCCCCACATCCACAAGACCCCTCCAGTGAGGGGCCCCCTGCCCACCTCCTCTGACTAGGTCAGTTAACCTTGCGCCCGCCCACCGTGGCACTGACCAGGTCCACCAGCTCCTGGTAGCAGACCTGGCCCTGCTCGTTGCTCTGAGCCAGGGCCACCAGCATGTCCAGCTTGGCCGGGTCCAGAGGCAGCTCATGGCTGTGCACCAGGCCGGCGAAGGTGTCTGCACCGATGAAGCCTGTGTTCTCGGGGTCCAGATGCTGCAGTGAGGAGCCGCCGACCAGCGCCTGAGTGTGGGCCAGACCCCCGGACCAAAGGGCTGGACCGGGCTGGCTGGGAGCATCGGGCTCAGGCTCCAGGCACTTTTGGGACAGGGGCCCCATGCCTGCCTGTTGCCTGGGACCCTACTCGATCCCAGGAGCTGGCAGGGCACCGGTGCCTGGGTCCCAGTCCTCCAGCTCCAGCTGTTCCCCCATCTTCCACCCTACCCATCCAGGAAGGGGAGGGCCAAGGTCCAAGAGCAGCCAGCGCCCGCCAGCCGCTCTCCCTCCATTCCCCACTTCCACCCTCTCTCCCTCCACCCGGCCCCAGGAGCCCTGGTCCAGTCAGTCCTCTCCTGGGGCCCAAGACACAGGGGCCAAGGTCGTGCAGGGATGGGGTGGGTGCCGAGCGGGGCTCTCGGGGAGCTCAGTCCCGCACAAGCTCAGCTCAGCGGCAGGAGGGCCGCATTGGGGGCGGTGCCAGCTCCCCAGACCACCCCGCGACGCACCTGCTCCTGGATGAGCTGCAGCAGCGAGCTCCTGTCCATAGAGCCGGGCCGGGGGCCGGGGTCGGCGGCCGCGGCCGGGAGGGGCTGCTCTGCGGACGACTCCGCTCCGCCCCAGCCGGCCCGCTCCGCCCGCTCGGATCGGCGCCGCGCTTGGGCCGCGTCACCGAGTCGCCCGCCTGCCCGCCCCTGCCGCACACGGCGCCACGCGCGGCCAGGACACGCGCGCGCCCTGCACGCGGACGCACACCCCGGACAGGAACCGCCTCCAGCGAGCACCGCGTCCCAGTGTCCGCCCCCACCCCCGCTCTGGCGCAGCTCCAGCGCATTGGACGACCTCCGCGGCAGCGGCTGGTAAACGGAGTCACGGGGGTAGGCGGCACCTACAGCCCCCCCCATACAAGTCCGTTCGCCCTCTCACAGCCTTCCTGGGCTCAGGCCTCAGTGAAGATGCCAGCTTCTCCAGGAAGCTTTCCCTGACCCCTGCTTGCTCCCTCCAGGCTGACCCAGTGCTCCAGGTGGTTCATGCTTTCAACCGGCCGGAGCTCCCTGCTTGGGGCAGTTACACCCTCTACCTCTACTGCAGCAGCAAGGACGCCCCCTCGGCCCCACACCCCGCACAGCCACATCGGAGGAGGGAGACCCTGCTGCAGCTGCCTTGGCTCTGACGCCGAAGCCCAGCCCACTCGTCCAATGCCCTGGGCTGGAGGCCCCTGACCGCTCTTCCAGCTCCATGCAGGAGGAGCAAGAAGGCGCCAGGACTGGACACAAGGGGCATTCAGATAGAGCAGAACCCCCAGAGGGCAGGGCTGCAGTTGGGGTGAGGAGACCTGCTCCTGGGAGAGTGGACCAGCCCCTCAACAATGAAGGTAACAGACACGTGTGACTATGGCAGCCCCTGCAAGGGTCACTCAAACTGCCCCTCCTAGGGATGCGGTGGTCCCAGCAGGCAGCCACGGGGTACAGCAAGCTAAGACAGCATGAGTCAGGGGAGGGGCTTCGGGGCCCAACGCCAAGGCAGAGCCTGTGTGGGCCAGGCCTTGGGAAGGGGTCCCACCTGCCACTCCCTAAAGGCAGACCCGAGAGGTGGGGACCAGGCCTGCAGGTATTTGTCTGGGTGGCCTTGGGAAGCCCATGCTGTGCGTCGCGAGAAGCAGGCATCTGAGCCCAACTCCAAGCCTGTCCCTCCCTCTGGCCCATCCTGCTCCCCCTTGGGCCAGGGCCCTGGGGCTGTGGCAGGCAGTGATCATACCTGGTCACACTTACAAGCCCAGGTTCCTAGCACAGCTCAGCCAAGCTGGCAAGATGCTCTGGGGAGTCGGTGGGAAGCTCCAGGGGACACCGGACCCCGGGAAGGGGTCAGTCACTGGGAAAACATCTCAGGCACCAGCGCCCCCCAGTCCACACCGAGCATGCAGCATCTGCCTACAGTGGGCTCCCACTATTAGACGCTGGGGCTCCCAGGCCACAGCCTATCCGGACCTTCCAGAGGCCACACACACTCCTGAGACCTCAGGACAGGGACCCAGGGACGAAGGGAGGAATGACATTTCCAGCCCACATCAAGACAAAGAACACACTGGAGGCTGATTCAAGGTAAGTTGTCTTCAGAGACTGGGGTCCGGGATATGGGAAAGACACAGTGAAGTTTAATCGGGAAGCCCAACCTCCTGTCCTCTGCCGTAGCTGCAACCATGGAGACGTCTCCAAATACGAGGGAGGGGGGAGACCCTACCCACAGCTCCGCCTCCCAGCCCTCCTCATATCCACTGGCCACCCAGGACCAGAAAAGCAGGTAGAACCCTGAGAATTCCAGGTGTGGGGTCACCAGCTTCCACACCCGTGCTCCCCAACCCAATACATGTCCTCCCGAGGTGGGCAATGCCTGACAGCATGGCTGACACTCGGGACTCCTGCTCAGCTGCCATGGCTCCGATGGCCCAGCGGAACCCTGGGGGTCGGAGAGGAGCCAGGGCAGTGTGTGGCAGCACGAGGCCCCGCTGCAGACACAGACCTGCCTTTAGAAGCAGAAAGGCAGCAGAAGGGTGTTCCCAGCGCGGCGGCCTGGCCTGCACCCAGCTGTGCTGCCCCAGCAGAGCCACACCCAGGTTGAGAGGGGCTTGGGTGTCAGGGCCCTCACTGGCTCTTCACCAGGACCCTGTAGAGTGAGAAGCTGAGGACAGCGGCCACGGCAGCCCCGACAACCCCCAGCAGCCCCCGGAGCCAGAAGGAGGAGGAGGGACGCAGCTCTGTGTAGACCAAGTGTCTGCAAGAGAAAGAGCCATCTGCAGAGGCCTCAGGCATGTGCCCCCCGCCCCCGTGCCTGCTGTGGGGCACCCTCCCATGTCCTGGATGATCACAGGGCCCCACAGGCAGGGTTCCCAGACCAGGCCACAGAGGGGCATGCCTGGGCACTGGCTCCCTCTGCCACACAAAGCTCCACCCCGCAACCTTGGCCCTAGTTGTAGGGCTGACGCCACAGCTGCCCGCTGCCCAGACCCCAGGGCTGTGCTGCCGGGTACCCACGGGAAGGCGGCCATGGTGGCAAGCTGGGTGAAGATGACAGCGCTGGGCTCGGCTGGGCCGGCACAGGAGAATGGCACCGGAGCAGGCAGCCGGTGCTTGCGGCAGAACTCGGCCGGCGACAGACCAGCCGGCAGGACACCTTCGGGCAGGTCCGCCTTGGAGGAGACGAAGAGGCAGGGCGTCTGCCCATCCATGTAATGTCGCTGTGAGCAGAGAGCAGTGTGAGGTCCAGTCCTGAGGTAGCTGAGGCACAGCTGGCGGGACGGACCCTGCCTCATGGCCACATGGGCCCTGCAAGACCCCACCTTATAGACGCTGGCACAGTGTGCAAAGGTCTCTGGGTGACTGCCATCAAACATCAAGCAGGCGACGTCACAGGCGGCGTCCAGCGACGTGGCCAGCAGGCCCTCTGGGCCCACCTCACACAACTGGGACAGATGGTGACTTCAGGGAGGGCCCCTGGGGCTGGGTCCCCCAAGGGCTGTGCTGGGCCTGGGTCCCCGGGTCCACCCTCGGGCACCGGCCGGCCGCCCCAGCACTCACGATCAGGTACTTCTCCTGCCCGTTGACCTGCACCGTGTCGATGGTGTAGCCGGGAGGCTCCTCCCTGGGGTCCTGGTGCTAAGGGAGGGGAGGCCCTGAGACTCGCTGGCTCCCCAGATTGCCCTGCCCGGCCACTGGGGTGGGGGATGTAGGGTGCTTACCCTCAGGCTGCGGCCGAGGAAGGCCTGCAGGAAGGCGGACTTGCCCACTCCACGGGCCCCTACCACCTTGCACAGGAGGACACTCCGCTGCGTCTGTCCCTTCTCCTGGTCCAGTGTCTTCTCACGGGTGACTGTGAGGACGGACCCAGGTTAGGGTGGCTGCCAGGGTGCTGAGCCCAGGCCCAGGGAAGGTGGGTGCCTACCTGTGATGGCGCGGGTCTGGGAGTCTTGCTCGCAGAGGGTGGGGTAGCCCAGGTAGCCCAGATGCCCGAGGCAGCTCCGGACGTCCAGGTAGGTCACCAGACTGGGGGTGGGCGGGAGGCACAGCGTTATGGTGGGGAGGGTGGCGCAGTGGGGGGGCGTGGTGCGTGCCTTGCTTACGTCCACTGGCAGAGGTATCCGTGCAGAGGCAGCCGGTCGGCCTCCGTGCGGACCGTGCGCGCAAGCTCAGGGCCCCAGGGGGCTGCCGGGAACACACTGAAGAGGCTCTGCAGCTCCACAGGCGAGAGGGCGCCGTCGCGGTCCTGCAGGGGAGGGGATGTGGTGACGTGTGTGGGGAAGTGGGGGGCAGGGGAGTCGCCATGCTCTTACCTGATCGTGCTTCTCAAACACCCTCTGCACAAACTGGTAGCCGAGGTGGCTGAGCTCAGTGCTGCAGCCGGGGGGCACGTGGAGCCTGCGGAGAAGTGACAGCGCCTCAAGTTCCCAGGAGACTGTGCCCCAGTCTGTCACCCTGCCGGCCTCGTCTGTGCAGTCAGCCCCTCCCTATAGGACCCAGATGCTGCTGAGCGAGACCTCCCCTGACCCTCAGCCCCAGACCCACTCACGGAGGAAAGAGGTAGTCGGCCGTCAGCTCCAGTGCATCACTGTAGCCAAAGTGCCTCAGGATGGTCCACGTAGTCTCGTGCCGGCCACGCTGGATGAAGAGCGTGTTCAGGAAGAGGAAACCTGCACTGAGACAGAAGAGTGGGAGCACCAGGCGCAGCCCCCTCCCCACACCCCCCCAGCCACGGCAGGCACCAGCCCTCACCATCCAGGGTCAGCCGGCCGTCCCACACACCGCCAGCCACATGCTTGCACACCACCATCTTCACGTCCTCCAGGGCCTGCGGAGCCAAGGGGTGCCCGAAACAGGATTTCTGCCTCCGAGAAAAAGTTGCCAGGAGTCAGCCAGCCACCCAGAGATGGCCCATTCCGTCACTAACAGCAGCGAGGGCGGGGGCTGGGGCACACCTGGAAGGCGTTGAGCTCCTCGTCACTGAGTGCCTGGTCCAGGTCCTGATCTGAGAGCCTGAAGATGCGCGTCAGGGCCTGGGTGCACGCGGGCCTCAACTGCGGGGAAGCTGGCTCAGCACCCTCAGGCAGCCTGCGCCCAACCAACACCCCCCGGGCTCCTGGGGACCAGTGCATGAAGCCCCCACCGATGGCCTACCTGCTTGGCCTCAGGGTCATAGAGGGGGGCTGTGGGGTGCAGGACTGCCTTCTGGGCATAGTAAAACAGCTCTGAGATGTTCCTCAGGTTCTTGGCTGAACACTGGGAAAGTGGGAGCGGACTCAGAACGCAGGCTGAGATTACAAGGAAGTAAGGTGGCCCCACCACGGGCCCTGCCTCTACCTCAGCACCTCAGCTGGGACACACTCACCTCCACACAAGTCTCTATCTCAGGAAACTGGCTCATGATGGGAAGCACGGCCTCCATGGAGCTCCCCGGCCGCAGGTCTGACTTGTTGCCCACTAGGATGATGGGCACCCTGGGTTGGAGGCCCATGGTCACCTGGGGCAGGGGAGCCCGAGGTCCCAGCCCCTTCCACATCCCCTCATTACCTGGACTCCCTCGTGCTCCCCCCATTCACCAGCGGGACCCATTTAGTTCGAATCTGCAAAGCAAGCCTGGCTGTGAGGTGAGGCCGTGCACATGGCTCAAGGAGAGCAAAGGGGAGGTCAAAACCAACCGAGGGCCCCAGTCACGCCACCGGAGAACACCGCTGGTGGGAGAAGGCAAGCAGCAGGCACAGTCACATCTGTGTGACCCCAGTGGCTCCCAAACACCCCCAAAGTCACTGGGGCCCAAGCCCAGGGTAGCCCCCAACGCAGGCCCTCTGTGGCGTTCCCCCCAGAGTTCGGAACCTGAGAGGAAATGGCTCACACGGGGAGACATCCCAGACCCTCTGGGGAAGTGGGATCACAGGAGAGAGCCAGGAGATTCCTCGTGAGGCTACCCAGAATGCTGTGAGGTGGCACTGGCCACAGGTTGGGTGAGGGTCCACCTGGGCCACCGTCTCTGCTGTTGGGGTCTGCACCGAGGAGAGGCTGCTGCTGACTGGACCGGGCGCTGGGGCTCACCTTCTCAATGGTGGCCTCCTCAGAGACGTCATACACCATGCACACCACGTTCGCCTGAGGAGACAGGGATAAGGCATCGGTGACCGGACCGCTGGCTCCTGCCAACAACCCTGACCACTCCACACCATTGTGAGACTCCAGGAGGCCCCAGACGCTCACAGGTAACATGGGGGCGGCTCTGAGGTTGGGAAAGCCCAGCCTTCCCTGGAACCTGCCTCCAGCCTGGTGCTGGCAGCCGCTGGTGAACCATCAGAGAAGCCCCTTCCCCACCCACTGCTGGTGCACAGACACCAGGGCCAGGCAGCAGCTGTGCTCCGCAGGGCCCTCAGAGGAGAGGACTCGGGACAGATACCGCCACGCCTGCAACCCAGCACCCTGCAAGACACCCAGATGCCACCTTGGCCCCGGCCTGTCCCCTCACTGCAATCAGGGCATCGAGGACAGCAGTGAGGGGGGCTGCGGCAGGGGCTGCCTGGGGGGCTGTGGCCTGTGCCCTCGCCAAGAGGGGTCCCCGGCACACATGCTGATACTGTGAGCCCCGGGTGGTGGGCTGGAGCGCGCAGCTGGGGGAGGTGGCGCACACAGGGCCACAGAGAGCGCAAACGCTGCTGCCACCTGGGCAGGAGGGAGGATCAACCCCCCAGCAAGGGCCCCGATCTCCCCGCAGCACCACGGGGCTGAGTGGTGCCGGCTCCCAGCTGCGTGCGATGTGGGGGCCCCAACAACCGTCAGTGCGGAGGCCACAGAATTATCAGGGCCAAGGACACCCTGAGCACCTCAGTCCAATCTCCCCCAGCAGGCGAAGCCGATTAGGCGGAGCCCGCGCCCAGCCCCGCCCGCGGCCCGCGCACCACGGGCACCTTGTGGATCTCCTCCCGCAGCTCCTCGTCCGTCTGCTCGGCTTCTAGGAGAGGAAGAGACCCCGCTGCAGACCCAGCAAGCACCGCCGGGCCGGGCCGGGCCCCCGGGAGGCTGCGGCCGCTACCTGAGTAGTCCACGATGTGGGTGGGCACCTTCTCCGGGGTGACGTCCGCGGGGATCGTGATCTCCTCCGCGCGGGAAGGGACCTGCAAGGAACCCGCGCGCTCACCCGGGAACCCCGGCCCCGCCCGCTGCCGCCCCCGCCCCCGCCCCCGCCCCCGCGGCGGGCGCGCTCCTCACCTCCTCGGGGAACTCCTCGCCCACCAGGGACAGGATCAGCGACGTCTTCCCCACCTGGGCTGCACGGACGAGGCGGGGAGGTCAGCGCGGGACCAAGGTCGAGGCGCCCCCCCGACCCCCAAGCCCCTCACCCCAAGCCCCGGCAATTCCGAGACTCCCGGCCCGGCGCCTACCCTCGCCCAGTAACAGGATGCGCACGTCCCGCCTCATGGCTGCAGCCCGGAGCCGCGACCCGAGCCTACCCGACCCGACCCGACCCCGACCCCGACCCCGACCCCGACCCGGACCAAGTCCTCAGCCCTTCGCTAGGTCCCCGCGCCCGCCCTGCACTTCCGGTGCTCAGCCCCATACTTCCGGGCCCGCCCACGCAGCCATACCAGCGAGCCGGGCGGGCCAGAGTGGCCAGGCTCTCCGGCAGCGCCCCCACGTGGACACGCCGGACACGGCGGGCAGCGCAGGCTCCTGGCGCCCTGGCCAACCCTGGCTGGCCGACCCAGCCATTGCTTCCGGGCACTGCAGGGCCCTTGACAAAACGCAAGTTTGGGGACGGGGCAGGGGCTGAGCGCAGGCCAAGAGTGACCAGAGACAGCCAGTGCGACAATACAACAATAGTGCAATAAATGCCCTTATTTATTATAAGAGAGAAACATTAAAAACTCCTTAGACAAAGGGACAACAGGTATTACAGTATTTTCAGGTTGCCAAATTCACAACAGCCCGGTCCAGGAGATCTATGTGAGGTCCCGGCCTGCCTGTCCCACCAGGAGGCCTGGCTTCTCTGCCAAGCCTGTGTCCAGGCGCCTGGCGTGACCAGCCGTGACGCCCAGCACCACGGTCCCCGCTGCATCTCAGCCGCTGGCCACCTCCCACACCAGGATCTCGTTGCAGGCCGCCGTGAAGAGCAGCCTGGCGGACGGTGTGAACCTGCACAGGTGTACTGCGTTGTCGTGGCCAGCAAAGTCCTGGGTGGTCCCCGTGGCACAGTCTACCAGCCTCAGCATGCACTCTGTGGGCGGATGGCACAGGTGGGCCAGGGCCCGGCAGCACGTGGAGGCTCCCCCAACCCACCAGGACTGACCCCGCTGGGCATGATGCTGATCGGGGGAGCCAGTGGGGAAAGGGCTCCTGGCTGTGTCCTCCACCACCCAGGGCCTGCTGCCACCGGGACTAGGGGGCGCATCATGCTGCCGCCCCCCAACTGGGCCGGGCCCCCCCTTCAAAGTCACTGCCACCCCTGCATTCAGGCCCCGTGCTGGGCACTGTGCCTGGTTCCTCATCTGCCTCATCATCTCCTGACCCCAGCCTGGGGTCGGGGTCGGGTCGGGTCCTCACCCCACCCCAAAGACAAGAAGCCTGGAGTGAGGCACCACCTGTCTTGAAGCAGAGCACCAGGGAGCCCACCTGGCCCCCACCTAAGAGGCCCAAGTCTGCATCTACCAGCACTCACCAGCAAAGCCGATAGCCAGGAGGCGGGTGCCAAGGGACAGGCTCAGGGACATGGCAAAGAAGGGCAGTGGTATCTTCTCCACCACCTGCGGGCAGCCAGCATGAGGCTCCAGGCCTGTGGGCTCAGGGCTCAGCCAGTCCCCACCTACCACCCTGGATCCCCAGGGCTCCTGCTGACACGTGGGCGGGTGCGCGTACCTGCTTCTGGCAGAGGTTGTAGATAATCACCTCCTTGTACACACCAGGGCCCACATACATCAGCAGCGCCCCATCCCAGGGGCAGAAGGCAGCAAGGGAGGGCGGTAGCTGGCCCTGAGTCTGCAGAGGCACAGCGTGCTGTGGCCGGGCAGATGAGCACGGGCCCCACCCACAGTGCCAGGAGCTTGTCTTACCTCTGTGGCGGCAGGCGTCGGGAAACTCAACCAGTCCACCAGCTCACAGCGGTTCCGCAGCCAGTTGGAGGCCCAGACGCTGACCCGCTGGTCCCCACTGGCGGCCAGCCATAGGTCTGTGCCCTCCACCCCTAAGTCTCCACACTGGGAGTAGGGTGGGTGTGGGCTGACGGCGCCTTCTGACAAGATTGCGCCTGCCCCCCTAGCATCCCGGCCCCCACTCCTGCACGGCACCCCAGCGCCCACTCCCCCCAGCATCCCGGCCCCTACTCCCCCCAGGACCCCATCCCCACTGCCCCGGCACCTGGCCCTGCTCCCCCCAGGACCCCATCCCCACTGCCCCCAGCATCCCAGCCCCTGCTCCCCCCAGGACCCCATCCCCACTGCCCCAGCACCTGGCCCTGCTTCCCCCAGGACCCCTTCCCCACTGCCCCCAGCATCCCAGCCCCTGCTCCCCCCAGGACCCCTTCCCCACTGCCCCCAGCATCCCAGCCCCTGCTCCCCCCAGGACCCCATCCCCACTGCCCCGGCACCTGGCCCTGCTCCCCCCAGGACCCCTTCCCCACTGCCCCCAGCATCCCAGCCCCTGCTCCCCCCAGGACCCCATCCCCACTGCCCCGGCACCTGGCCCTGCTCCCCCCAGGACCCCTTCCCCACTGCCCCCAGCATCCCAGCCCCTGCTCCCCCCAGGACCCCATCCCCACTGCCCCCAGCATCCCGGCCCCCACTCCCCCCAGGACCCCATCCCCACTGCCCCCAGCATCCCGGCCCCTACTCCCCCCAGGACCCCATCCCCACTGCCCCCAGCATCCCAGCCCCTGCTCCCCCCAGGACCCCTTCCCTACTGCCCCGGCACCTGGCCCTGCTCCCCAGTTCTTGGGGCTGCTTTACCTCTTTGCGTGTGACATCGATAGTAGAGATCGGGGCGCTCTGGTGGTCACTCAGCACACGGAAGGTCATCCCTGTGCAGGGGTGGCTCACAGCCACGAGCCCATCCTTGTCTCCGGAGAGGACAGTCTGACCTTGGACCATCACCGTGTGAGCCCCAGCCTGGAGACTGGACCTGGGCCAAGTCAGGACAGCACCCTGCCCCCAACACCCAAATCCTCACCATCCGTAGAGAAGGCAACAGCAGTCAGCGCCGCCGTGTGGGGGTGCATCTTGAGCTCCATGGCCGTGCGGGAGACGCTGAAGATGCGCAGGGAGCCGTCGCCATAGCCCGCCGCTAGCCGCTGCTGCTTGGGGCGGCCACAGCACGGGGGGCTCCATGCGAGGCAGAGGCAACTCTGGGGACCCACGGTAGGAAACTTCAGCACCCACAGGAGTCCTGGGGACATACACCCAGGCCAGAGGGAGGAGGCAGCTACCCCGCCCACACCAGGCCCCTGCCCCTAGCCTGGGCGCTCCCCACACACCTGGTTCAGCACCTGGAACTGGATCACCAGCTCCATGCTGGCCAAGGACCACACCCGCACACTCCCATCCTCACTGCACGTGGCACAGTGCGACTCCCCGGGGCTGAAGACCACCTCATTCACCTGGGGAAACCGTGGCTTGGCTGGGGGTGTTGGTCACCCTCCCTGAGCCCTCTGGCCCCTGGGCAGGCATTTCCTATTCCAACTCCCAGGGCCAGGATGTCCCAACCAGGGCATCTGCCTTGGCCCCGGCCCACTCCACGCAGCGAAAAGCAGTGCTGGCCTCCTGTGGGTGTCACCCTGCTAGACCTGGGTGAGTCCAAACCAAAATAAGCCCACTAGCCAGCCAAACTCAGTAGGACACGGAGGAGAAAGCTGTTCTGATGGAACCTCAAACACGGCCATGTGGTCGCGTACCTCTCACAGGCTGCAGACCACGGCTGAAAGCACAGATGCCGCGGGCTGCAGCCGACACACCACGCAGTCGGTCGCATTCCTCCTCCCAAGTTGCTGCCCTTTCCCAAATCGGGGGAAAAGGTAGACGCCACTGAGCACTAGGACTGCTGGTGTGGCAGGAAGGAGACAGGTGCCACTCACCAGTAAGAGGAAGCGACACAGGCTGGCGCTGAACGTGAACGCTAAGTGCAAACGGGAACACACAGCAGTTCCCCATAAAATCAGCTCGGTTCAGCCCAGCAATTAGGGCCTGCAGGGCTCGGAGTGGGACCTCTCACAGCCCGTTTCCCTGGGAGGGGCCCTGGGCCCTGCAAAGAAATAGCCAAGTACAGGCCTAGGCAGTACCCCACAGGCGGAGCCTGGAATGCCTCGCACTTCCACATCACAGGGAGGCCACCAGTGACCACGGGCTCAGGTCAGACTCAGTCACAGGGAGGCTACCAGTGACCACGGGCTCAGCTCACAGACTCAGTCACAGGGAGACCACCAGTGACCACGGGCTCCAGTCACAGACTCAGTCACAGGGAGACCACTGACCACGGGCTCAGCTCACAGACTCAGTCACAGGGAGACCACCAGTGACCACGGGCTCAGGTCAGACTCAGTCACAGGGAGACCAGTGACCACGGGCTCAGGTCAGACTCAGTCACAGGGAGACCACCAGTGACCACAGGCTCTGGTCACAGACTCAGTCACAGGGAGACCAGTGACCACGGGCTCAGCTCACAGACTCAGTCACAGGGAGACCAGTGACCACGGGCTCCGGTCACAGACTCAGTCACAGGGAGACCAGTGACCACGGGCTCAGGTCAGACTCAGTCACAGGGAGGCTACCAGTGACCATGGGCTCAGCTCACAGACTCAGTCACAGGGAGACCAGTGACCACGGGCTCAGCTCACAGACTCAGTCACAGGGAGACCACCAGTGACCACGGGCTCTGGTCACAGACTCAGTCACAGGGAGACCAGTGACCACGGGCTCAGGACAGACTCAGTCACAGGGAGACCACCAGTGACCACGAGCTCAGGTCACAGACTCAGTCACAGGGAGACGAGTGACCACAGGCTAAGGTCAGACTCAGTCACAGGGAGACGAGTGACCACAGGCTCAGCTCAGACTCAGTCACGGGGAGACCAGTGACTGCGGCTCTGGTCACAGACTCAGTCACAGGGAGGCCACCAGTGACCACGAGCTCAGGTCACAGACTCAGTCACAGGGAGACGAGTGACCACAGGCTCAGGTCAGACTCAGTCATGGGGAGACCAGTGACCACGGGCTCAGCTCAGACTCAGTCATGGGGAGACCAGTGACCACGGGCTCAGCTCAGACTCAGTCACGGGGAGACCAGTGACCACGGGCTCAGGTCAGACTCAGTCATGGGGAGACCAGTGACCACGGGCTCCAGTCACAGACTCAGTCACAGGGAGACCACCAGTGACCACGGGCTCTGGTCACAGACTCAGTCACAGGGAGACCAGTGACCACGGGCTCAGGTCAGACTCAGTCATGGGGAGACCAGTGACCACGGGCTCCAGTCACAGACTCAGTCACAGGGAGACCACCAGTGAACATGGGCTCTGGTCACAGACTCAGTCACAGGGAGACCAGTGACCATGGGCTCAGGTCGTGGACTCAAGTCACAGGGAGGCCACCAGTGACCACGGGCTCCGGTCACAGAGTCAGTCACAGGGAGGCCAGTGACCATGGGCTCAGGTCACGGACTCAAGTCACAGGGAGGCCACCAGTGACCACAGGCTCCGGTCAGACTCAGTCACAGGGAGGCCACCAGTGACCACGGGCTCCGGTCACAGACTCAGTCACAGGGAGGCCACCAGTGACCACGGGCTCAGGTCGTGGAGTCAGTCACAGGGAGGCCACCAGTGACCACGGGCTCCAGTCATGGACTAAGTCACAGGGAGGCCACTAGTGACCACGGGCTCCAGTTGGAGACTCAATCCCAGTGAGACCAGTGACCACAGGCTCTGGTCACGGACTCAGTCATGGGGAGGCCACCAGTGACCACTAGCTCTGGTGAGACTCAGTCACAGGGAGGCCACCAGTGACCACAGGCTGTGGTCACGGACTCAGTCATGGGGAGGCCACCAGTGACCATGGGCTCCAGTCACAGACTCAGTCACAGGGAGACCAGTGACCACAGGCTCCGGTCATGGACTCAGTCATGGGGAGGCCACCAGTGGCCACGGGCTCCAGTCACAGACTCAGTCACGGGGAGACCAGTGACCACAGGCTCCGGTCATGGACTCAGTCATGGGGAGGCCACCAGTGGCCACGGGCTCCAGTCACAGACTCAGTCACGGGGAGACCAGTGACCACAGGCTCCGGTCATGGACTCAGTCATGGGGAGGCCACCAGTGGCCACGGGCTCCAGTCACAGACTCAGTCACGGGGAGACCAGTGACCACAGGCTCCGGTCATGGACTCAGTCATGGGGAGGCCACCAGTGGCCACGGGCTCCAGTCACAGACTCAGTCACAGGGAGACCAGTGACCACAGGCTCCGGTCATGGACTCAGTCATGGGGAGGCCACCAGTGGCCACGGGCTCCAGTCACAGACTCAGTCACGGGGAGACCAGTGACCACAGGCTCCGGTCATGGACTCAGTCATGGGGAGGCCACCAGTGGCCACGGGCTCCAGTCACAGACTCAGTCACGGGGAGACCAGTGACCACAGGCTCCGGTCATGGACTCAGTCATGGGGAGGCCACCAGTGGCCACGGGCTCCAGTCACAGACTCAGTCACGGGGAGACCAGTGACCACAGGCTCCGGTCATGGACTCAGTCATGGGGAGGCCACCAGTGACCACGGGCTCCGGTCACAGACTCAGTCACAGGGAGACCAGTGACCACAGGCTCCGGTCATGGACTCAGTCATGGGGAGGCCACCAGTGGCCACGGGCTCCAGTCACAGACTCAGTCACGGGGAGACCAGTGACCACAGGCTCCGGTCATGGACTCAGTCATGGGGAGGCCACCAGTGGCCACGGGCTCCAGTCACAGACTCAGTCACAGGGAGGCCACCAGTGGCCACGGGCTCCAGTCACAGACTCAGTCACGGGGAGGCCACCAGTGGCCACGGGCTCCAGTCACAGACTCAGTCACAGGGAGGCCACCAGTGGCCACGGGCTCCAGTCACAGACTCAGTCACAGGGAGGCCACCAGTGGCCACGGGCTCCAGTCACAGACTCAGTCACAGGGAGGCCACCAGTGGCCACGGGCTCCAGTCACAGACTCAGTCACAGGGAGGCCACCAGTGACCACGGGCTCCGGTCACAGACTCAGTCACGGGGAGACCAGTGACCACAGGCTCCGGTCATGGACTCAGTCATGGGGAGGCCACCAGTGGCCACGGGCTCCAGTCACAGACTCAGTCACGGGGAGACCAGTGACCACAGGCTCCGGTCATGGACTCAGTCATGGGGAGGCCACCAGTGACCACAGGCTGTGGTCACGGACTCAGTCATGGGGAGGCCACCAGTGACCACGGGCTCCGGTCACAGACTCAGTCACAGGGAGACCAGTGACCACAGGCTCCGGTCATGGACTCAGTCATGGGGAGGCCACCAGTGGCCACGGGCTCCAGTCACAGACTCAGTCACGGGGAGAAAGGTAAAGGACCCTCACGCATCTCAAACTCAACTTTCCTCGCTGGCTCCCATCACCTTCAAATACTGAGTACAGGCTTCTAAAGACAGAAGTGAGGGGCAACCGGAAGATGGGACTCGGCATCCAGGAGCCACCAGCCCCGTGGGCCTGGCTGACCACATGCAGAGCTCAGACCTGCAGGACAAAGCCCATGGCCACGGCTGCCGGACCGACGCCATGCCAGAAGCCTGCTCCAGGAAGGGAAAGGCCGGCACCTGTCCTGCTGCCCCAGTTCCCCCGGGAGGCCACTTCCCCTAAGGCTGCAGTGGGCGGGTGAGGGGGTGGCACGGTGGCTGCCCCAATCTCTTGAGGCCATGCAGCTTCCAGGCCAGGCGGTCCCAGAAAGGTCAGGGAACAATCCCATGGGGCTACGTCAGCAAAGCCCATCTATGAGAGGTGCTGGGACAATGTGGGCTTTTTAAATCTTCTTCCTTTGAGATGGAGTCTTGCTCTGTCACCCAGGCTGGAGTGCCATGGTGGGATCTCGACTCAAGGCCTCCTGGGTTCAGGCGATTCTCCTGGCACCTCCCGAGTAGCTGGGATTACAGGCAGGCACCACCACACCTGGCTAATATTTATTTTTTTAGTAGAGACAGAGTTTCACTATGTTGGCCAGGCTGGTCTTGAACTCCTGACCTCAGGTGATCCATCCGCCTCCTCGGCCTCCCAAAATGCTGGGATTACAGGCGTGAGCCACCGCACCCAGACTGATATGGTTTCTTTGACAATTACAAAAAAAACAAAAAACAAAAAACAACAAAACAAAAACCACACAAAACAGTATCGGGGAAAGAAAGATTCGAGAACACATGGGAGGCCTGGGAGGCCTGGCAGGCAGCTCCCTCGTGCAGCCACAGCTGGGACGGCTTTGACGGATGTGTACACCCAGGAACCCCAAGGTGAACGCTGCGAGCCAGAGACAGCAGGACTTGGAATAATCTAATCCCAGCTAGCGGACATGCAGCCGGCAGGCAGTGGGGGCGCCGGGTTCAGCTGCCCTGCCTCTGTCCGGGCTCAAGCCCCTCACCTTGCTCCTGTGGCCACTGATGAGACGTGTGCTGGTGCCCTCGGCCCAGCTGACAAACCAGAGTGTGCCCGCCGTGGTGCCCACGATGCCCATGTCCACACTGTCATCAAAACTGGCGCTCACCACAGCCCCGTCCAGCACCAGCTCGCGTTCCATGAGCACAGAACTAGACCTGCGGGTGCAGGGAATGAGGGGACAGCGGGTCTCAAGGCCGATGATAAGAGCCGGCTGGGTCCCCAGCCAAGGCAGGGCCCTCAGCATCCCGTCTCAGGACCTGGCTGTGCCCATCCAGGTGGGGGAAGAGAAAACCCTTAAAGCGGGGGCTTCTGAGGCTGCCCATCCCCAATGGCAGCCGGTAAGGCCCAGGACACACCCAAGCCTGTCCCTCAGAGGAGCTAGTGGGGGGCTGATCTGCAGGGCGGCCTAGGAGGGGAATTGGCTGCCAGCTGGATCAGGGACACCCACACCCACCCGCAGCCAAAACACATGGGATGAAAGGCTCACCTGGCACCTGAGCCCTTGCGCCGCCGCAGGTCCGACACTGCCCCCACGGCCCACAGGCGCAGCCGCCCCGTGTTGCTGCCGCTGACCAATCGAAAGCTGGAGAACAGCAACAGCCCTGGGGGCAAGAGAGGCCATGAGCCGCCTTCCCAGGTCACAAGGCTGCCTGGAGGCCAAGACTGGAGATCAGGCCCCTGCCCCAGCTCTGAGGATTCCAGGTAGGGTCCTGAGGGGCCACGAGGCTTTCACAGGGCACCTACCAATGCCACTGTTGTCCGCCTCCCAGGCCAGGAAACAGCGGCTGGCACTCGTGTCCCAGACACAGACCTGGCCGGAGCTGGTGCCACAGTAGAGCAGGGGGGGTGCCCCATAGCAGAGAGAAGTCAGCTCTCCAGCCCCAACTGCCTCTGGGACCGGCTCTCGGTGCACCTGGCAGGGTATGAGTAGCCAGAGGTCAGCAATGTCCCCAGGCCCAGCCAGATTCCATTCCACAAAACAGCCCCTGGGCCCGCACACCAAGCGGGTGGCCTAGCACCTGAAGGCTGGTGTCTGCCCCATGCTGCTGCAGGAGCCAGAAGGTAACAGCGCCCTGACCCACACAGGTAAACTCGCCGGCGCCCCAGGGGTTGAAGGCCACACTATACGCTGGCTCCGGGAGGCAGGTGGAGGACACGAGGTCACAGGTGGCCATGCTCCACAGGGTGAGGGTGTGGTCACCATGGCCCCCTAGGAAGGATGCACAGCAGCCATATCAGGTGCGTAGGTCCAGCCCTCACGGGGTCCAGGAAAGCCCCTGGCCTCCGCCCTCCCTCCCACTGACCCAATGTGACGAGAAGCCTGTCATCTGGTGAGAAGGCCAGGGCCAGCACAGAGGTGCTGTGGTGGGAAATAAGATGCTGGCAGAGACCGCCAGACACATCCCAGATGCGGATCTGGCAATGCGCAGCCACGCTGCTGCCTCCTGAGGCAGAAGCCAGGACCTGGCAGGAAAGAGGGCAGGTGGTGAGCGGGGAGGCTGCAGCCGGCTGGGTCCACCTCGGCTCTGCTGGCTCAGGCTGGAGCGGCCACCTGCACCATCTGTGGTGGCAAGAGCCTGCTCTGGTCTGGGAGCCAGGTTCTGCTGGGCACTGTGGCCCCAGGCGAGGAGGGCGACGCAGGCGGTCACCTGGGCACTGTGGCTGAGGGCCAGCGTGGAGATCTCCGCAGGGTGGCCAGGCCAAAGCTGCTGGGCGCCAGAGTGCAGGTCTTCCACCACCACCAGGCGGCCACATGTGTAAGCAAAGAAGCCTGTGAGCAAAGAGACAGTGACCTAGGGAAGGAGTCTAGAAGGAAGGGCGGGGCCTGGGGAAGGGGCCGTGCAGCGAGGGCGTGGCCTGGGGAAGAGGCTGTGCGGGGAGGGCGTGGCCTGGGGAAGAGGCCGTGTGGGGAGGGCGTGGCCTGGGGAAGAGGCTGCGCGGGGAGGGCGGGGCCTGGGGGAAGGGGCCGCGCAGGGAAGGCGGGGCCTGGGGAAGAGGCCGTGCAGGGAGGGCGGGGCCTGGGGGAGGGGCCGCGTAGGGAGGGCGGGGCCTGGGGGAAGCGGCCGTGCAGGGAAGGCGGGGCCTGGCGAAGGGGCCGTGCAGGAAGGGCAGGGCCTGGGGAATGGGGCCGTGCAGGGAGGGCGGGGCCTGGGGAATGGGGCCGTGCAGGGAGGGCGTGGCCCGGGCAAGACGCTGTGCAGGGAGGGCGGGGCCTGGGGAAGGGGCCGCGCGGGGAGGGAGGGGCCTGGGGGAAGGGGCCGCGCAGGGAAGGCGGGGCCTGGCGAAGGGGCCGTGCAGGAAGGGCGGGGCCTGGGGATGGGGCCGTGCAGGGAGAGCGGGGCCTGGGGAAGAGGCTGCGCAGGGAGGGCGGGGCCTGGGGGAGGGGCCGCACGGGGAGGGCGGGGCCTGGGGGAAGCGGCCGTGCAGGGAAGGCGGGGCCTGGCGAAGGGGCCGTGCAGGAAGGGCGGGGCCTGGGGAAGGGGCCGTGCAGGGAGGGCGGGGCATGGGATGGGGCCGTGCAGGGAGGGCGGGGCCAAGCGGTTGGTCTGGTCCAGGGACAGGGGCACCAACCAAAGTGCTTCACGGGGCGGGACGTGCGCTGAAGCGCCACAAGAGGCTACCCGAAGACACAGAGCCCCACACTGATGGTTGGCGCTCGTCTGCCCCCCCCAGGGCCTGGCCTACAGGCAACGTATCTTGGCTGGGGTGGGGGTAGACTCTCGCCCCTCACCTGTGTCCGGCCTCCAGACCATGTTGGACCGCCCGTTCCCGCTGTAGCCAACGACAGCCTTCAGATGCAGCCGCCGCCGTTTGCCGCTGGGGGTAGGCGGGGAGGTGCCCTGCGAGGAAGGAGACCTGGATGCTGCTGGGCCCCAAAGCCTGCATACAGGAGGCTGTTTTGGGGCACACTCAGGCCAGCTGCAGAGGGCAGCTGGGGCACTGATGGGGAAGCTGGCTGGGGTGGGAGGTGTGGAACCTGTGGGCACTCCATGTGCCAGCGCCAGGAGAGGCACTGGCCTGTGGGGTTCTCAGGAAGGGCAGCTGCTGGGTGAGAGAGGAAGGCGGGCCAGCAGGAGGCTACCACAAGGTCCCATCCGGAGGGCACGGTCGGGGGTGTAGGCTGGGGGTGCCTCCAGGTGACAGGCTCCCAAGGGCTGTCTGCCTGAGTAATAGCTCCAGAGCCATTACTCAGGGTTGCTTTGGAGACCAAAAGCAATCCTGGGTAATTGCCAGGGAGCCCTCGGGGGGGCCTCTGTGCTTACTAGGAAGAAAGAGGGCTCCCCAAAACCACTTCCCACCTTGGCAGAGTGGGGGCTGCAGCTGACCTTGGCAAGCATGAAGGCCTTGTGGGAAGCCAGGCAGGTGGTACGTGGGGTCCCCAAATTACTGGTGTCCCTGGTGCCTGGCAGGGAGGAGGCAAAGCCTGTGGCATCGTACCGCCCTACAGCCCTTCAGAGACCCCACGACATGCAGAGCCTCCCACAGGCCCCTGCCCTGCTACTCAGCGAGAAACACACAATGGGGCAGCGGCTGGGGCCACAGGCACAGGCAAGCTGTATCCCACCCGCAAGTGACCTTGCCTCATCACCCAGGGGACTCCCCAACCACCCTAAGGCTCCTGCCCTCCACTGCTCACAGGGTTGGCTGGGGGGACAGGGAGGTGGGGCAAGCTCCCAGGAGCCCCCTGCTGCAGCCGAGGCCCCGACTCCATCCCTGCTGGCCACCTCCTCCATGAACACAGGTGGGCCTGGGACCTGGCCAAGCCTCTTGGGGCTACGGCTCTCCTCACAGGGTCCTTCCTCATCCAACGTGGAGAAGGTGCCCAGGAGCAACAAGGAGGGGAAAAGCTGCCCATACCCCCCGCGGCTGCCCCCACTGTACCCCACCGGGCAAGCCGTGATGGCACCTGTGCCCCAAAGTTGGACACACGTGAGCACCTGCTGCCCTCTCAGACCTCCAGGATCCCACCACTCCCATAGGACCCCTGCTGCTCACCATCACCACCTTTGGGAGGCCTGGCACAAATGTCCAGCCGTGGTGGAGATGCCGGAGATGGCTTGGGGACCGGCTCCTGGGGGAGCCCGCCTGCCCTGGACTCAGCGTCCTCCAGCTGTCCTGTGCCCGGGCCTGGGGAAGAAGGAGCCCTGTAATGTTTGGAGAGGAAAGGAAGGGCCACTGGGTGGACACGGGACTGGCCCCAGAGCCAGGGCAGCGCCTGCCCCCAAGCTGACCACAGCCACTCACCTGCCTCACAGGCTGGGGGACCCCCGGGGAAGCTTTGCTCACTGGAGAGGGAGGAGAGAGGGTTTCAGGAGGGCCTGGGGGAGCCTTAGGCAGACACAGCTGTGGGTAGACACTTACCTGTCAGTGGTAGCCAGGATGTCCCAGAGAAAGATGGCGTCCCCTGCGCTGAGGACCTGATGCTGGTCAGGGGAGAAGGTCACAGCCTGCACGGGCTCTGAGTGGCCGATGTACACCTGGAGGTAGTGACATCACATGCAGGGACCCAGAAACATGGCATGGATGCTGCCATGTGCCCAGCCCCCGAGGGGCGGTGAGCAAGAGGCCCCGCCCCACACAGTGTTAGTCCCCCACATGGAGGCACAGGGAGTCCTGGGGGGTCATTCTCCTCTCACCTCTGCTCTCCCTGCCCCCAGGACAACACTGCCCCCACCCATGCCTTCAGGGGTCTCCTCAGCCACCTGAGGAGGCTCCTGACGGCCAAAGCTGCCTGTCTGCCCACACACACACCTGGGGGCCTGGGCTGGCCTTCGTCACATAGTCCCACACCTTCACGGCCCGGCCGGCGGCCATCAGCAGGAAGCAGGCATCCTCACTGACTGCCAGGGAGGGACAGGGCCCAGGGTGGACACCAGGCAGCTGGAACACAGTGCTCTTGGGAAACGCCACGTCTCAGGAGAGTGGCCGGCAGCCTGGGGCCTCCCCTCATTTGGAGTGTGGTGACAGCCCCCCACCCAGCTGGAGGGGCTGCAAGCACAGAGGTCAGGCCAGGACAGCACAGCGGGGGCCAGGTGGGCGGGCACAACCCTGAGGCTCACCTCCCGGACTATGTGGCCCGATGCAGCATCCAGCACCACGACTCTGTTGGACGAGGTAGACACCAGCAGGTGGCCCAGAGCCACAGGGCCGAAGCACACGGCCACGGCTGAGTCCAGGCGCCCACTGGCCGGGTCCAGAGTGCCGACGCCAACTCGCAGCAGCTGGGGGGAGTGGCAAGTGGCCGACAGTCAGGGCTTCCAGGCAGAGCCGCTGCCACCCAGGGCCAGGCTCAGGAGAGAGGCCCCGGGGACACTCACCCAGTGAGTCCAAGGCCTTGGCCTCATCTGGGCCCTGCATGGCTGATGCATACTCTGCAGCAGGAGGCGGGGCAGGGCATAAGTTCTACTCCTGAGTGGCTGGGACCTCCCTCCTCCCCCTGCGGCCAGCCTCTCACTGCTCAGTCTCCCTGGACCCAGGAAGACTGAAGACTCACCTCATCCAGGGAGGCCGAGCCCATGACCGTCACAGTGTGCCTGGAGGGGCCCACGAAGGCCAGCAGGCAACCATCCCCACTGACTGCCAGAGCGCTGGGCCTTGCGGGGGCATCTGGGCACACCACGTCCGCTGTGGACACACAGGGCAGGCGTCAGTTGGGCAGGGAGGGAGCTCTGGGATGTGCATGGCCAGGACCCGGGAAACCCCAACCTTCAGGAAACACCAGCCCAGGAGCACAGATGCATCAAACAGGCAGAGGAGCGCCAAGGTGCCAGTGAGCGCCAGGCACTGCCAAGGGAACTAGGAGTCCCCCTGGGCCAGCAGTGGCCATAAGTGACCACTCAGGTGGCCACAGGACAGGCCAGGTCCCCAGGGCTGAGTCTGACCCCAGCTGCTGACCTGGAGCTCGGGTTGCCTGCCTCCTCCTGGGCACAGACCTGGGCTGACCTCTGGCCTTGGGGGCCAGCAAAGGCTAAACCACAGTCTCCCCAGGGCCCTGACAAGGTTACTGAGGCGGGCCACACTGCCCCACAGGACACAGCCTGTGGACCAGGAAACTGGCATGTGCATCCAAACCCAAGCCTCCCCTCCCGAGGGTCCCCCGGAGCAGCTGGTGGGGATGACCTGCCACTCGGAGGATGCGGCACTGGGGGTCTGCACAGCTGTACTGGGCCAGGGAGCCCTGGCAGCAGGCGCTGAACAGCAGGCGGCCATCAGGGGTGGCAATCAGACCGGTGACGGCTCCTCGGTGGCACCTGCAACACACATGGGGACCCTGCTGGCTCCAGCCACAAAGCCCAGCGAGGGCACAGAAGCCCCGAGAATCACAGGGTCCCTGGACCTCCAGCCAACCGGCCCAGCTACAGAAGTCCCAGAGAGGCAACAAAGGGTGGGGCTCCGGCCAGCGCTGGCCGACCTACACATGGCCCTCCCCAGTCCAGACCCCCCATTGGGGGACCCCCCCTAAACCACCCCAGCTCCTACTGTGGGGCCCAGGCTCCCAAGGGGATGGTGGCTGGCTGGGCCCTTACTTGTGTTCCACCAGGGCCTCGGCGGCCTCCAGGCTGAAGGAGCGCACGGCCCCACTGCTGAAGCCGCAGAATAACGTCGGCCTTGTGGGGTGGAAGGCGACAGCGCACGGGGCCTCCTCTGACGATGTGAAGTCATACAGCTATGGGGCGGGGGTCATGCTGAGGGCAGTGCAGGGATCACAAGGGCCCACACCCATGGGGCCGACACAGGCTGGAAACACCAGGTCCTGTGGCCCCCCTTCCGCCACCCCCGCTTCAGGCCCTCTGGCCCTCCCTGCCGCGCTGCCCTGCCAAACCCCACCTGCTGCAAGGTGGCCAGATCCCAGATGCGAATGGTGCGGTCCTGGGACACAGTGGCCAGCTGCCCCCGCCTCTGCTCCGTGGCGAGGGCCAGCACTGGGGCAGTGTGGGAGCGAGCCAGCACGCGGTACACCCGGGACGGGGTGTCCAGGAAGCCCAGGTAGCCCGAGGAGGTGGTGGACAGTACACGGAGGCCGTCGGGGCTGACACAGACTGAGCTGACGGGGCCCTCGTGCTCTGTGGGTGGGGTGGGGTCAGGGACTTCCCAGGCCCACCCCGGGGGGGGTGCACCCCATGCCAGAGCTAACCCTGGGCAGCCATTGTTCAGGGTTTGGGTTCCCAAGGGCCAGGCAAATGCACTCCATGCTGCTCAAAGTCCCAGGCTCAGCATGGCTGGAAGATGCAGCTCCCTTGAGACCGCCACTCCTGGGTCAGGCAGGACCCAGGCTGAGAAGCCTTGCCCACCACCCGCGGCTCACTGGACCCTTCCGGGAGGCTGCCCTGCGTGCTGCCCAGTCATCAGCAGCCCCAGGCCTCAGGACATGGCCGCTTGGCCCCGTGGCTCCCTGTGCAGACAGGAGCCAGGGCGGCTGACAGCAGAGCCCTGGGGACTTGGTCCTCCCTGCCCCAGCATCCAAGAAAGGCTGTCCTGGAGCCGGAGTGCCCACCTCACCTGCCTCCAGGAGCACCGAGGAGAAGTCCAGGGGCCAGAGCCGCAGGTAGCCGTCCTCAGAGCCCACAGCGCACACGGCCGGGGAGACGCTGAGGCTGCTGATGGCAATGCCAGGGCCTGGGAGCAAGGGGTGGGGGGGCATCAGTGCCTCGGTGTCCCTGCCACCCTCGCCACGTGGTGAGCACCCTCCTACCTGAGCTGAAGGTCTGCTTCTGTGGCCGGGGGCCACCCGGAGTCCGTGCAGGGAGCAGGCGGCGGGCACACTTCACAACCACGCGCTGACAGTCTATCTCTAAGACGTGGCCGCTGCGGCTGCACACGAAGCTGCCCGAGGAGGCAGCAGGGGAGGTGAGGCCCTCAGGGCACCGGGAACCAGGGCCCCCACGCTGGGGCAGGCAGCAGGGAGGGGCGGCGCTCACAGCATGGTGGCTGAGGTCTCCTGGCAGCCGTCCTGGGCCTGCTTGAAGGCGAGATCGGTGAAGTACAGCACGTGGTTCTCCCCCAGGTCCACGGGGCAGGAGCGTAGGACCCCGCCACGCAGCCGCCAGAGCAGCACGCTGCCCTGCCCACATGATGCCATCCTGCAAGGAACAAGGACGGGGCACTGCTGCAGCCGGGGACCTGACCCGCAAGGAGGTGCCACGTGCAACCAAGACTGTGAATGAGGGCCCAGCCTGGAGGAGGTAGCTGGGGTTCAGCCCCTGCGCCAGGCCCGGACCCTCTCCCCGCATCGTGGATGGGAGGCTGCATCACCTGGTTTCATCAAAACAGGCGACCCGGAAGGCCTGGATGTCACAGTCAGTGAGTGCCTTCGCCAGAACGACCACCTTGCCACCAAGGCCCACCTGGCCGGTACCCCAGGCCACCACCATCTGCAACAAGCCCAGGCTAAGCCCACACGGCAGGGCCATCGGTGCCACCTGGATTCTGCGAGGTGCAGCTGAGCTTCACCCAGAGGTGGCTTTTCTCTCAGACAGAGACCAGCCTCTGAGCCTGTGGCCACAGGGGGCAAAAGGACTGTCCCCTCCACGTGCTCGCCCTGAGATGTGGCAGCTTTGGGACCTCTACAGAGACCAGCAATGCTGGGCACTGCAGCCCAACCCCAGAACAGTGAACACCTGCCCACAAGTGGGAAGGTGATGGAAGGCAGCTCCTGCCCAGGTGTGGTGGCTCATGCCTGTGATCCCAGCACTCTGGAAGGCTGAAGCCCGGAGTTTGAGACCAGCCTGGGCAATGTAACAAAACCTTGTCTCTACAGAACGTTAAGAAAGCCAGTTGCGGTGGTGCAGGCCTGTGGCCCAGCTATCTGGGAAGCTGAGGCAGAAGGATGGCTTGAGTCCAGCTGGCAGGGAGGTCAGGGAGGGGTCGAGGTTGCAGGGAGCAATGACTGCTTGCACCACTGCATTCCCGCCTAGGTGACAGAACAAGATCCCGTCTCAAAAAAAATGTTTCAAAGGTGTCCCCACAGAGATGCTAGGCGCTTCAGCTGTGCGGAGGTGCCGCCGATGCTCAGGCGTGGGTGAGCTTCAGGGGTTCTCCCACGTGAAAACCTCACACCCGCGTTATCAGCAGAGACAACGTGGCGGGGTCCAGCGGCGGAAAAGCCGAGAGACACGGAATGTGAGCACCGAAGTGCATGGAGCCCCATCACAGGGAGGAGCCAGAGCTGGGAGCCAGGGTTACGCCACGGTGGAGTTTCACATCACAAAGACCCTCCCAGCTGCCTGCACGCATCAGAACAGCCCCGCCCACCCCCAGGCGAGGGCCCCGTTACCGTCCTCCCGTGTCGGTCCTTGCCGACCCCGCAGAGAAGGGCCCCACGGTCAGCAAAGCTGTGAACAGGGAGGAGGGAGTCAGCGTCGCCCGGGCTGACCCCCACCCGCTGCATGGCGCAGACCTGTGCCCACCTGAGGGAGCAGACAGCGTGCATTGGACTCCGGAACAGGGACAGGCAACCCCCAGTCTGGAAGTCCCAGAGTCGCATCATGCTGGGGGCCCCGGCCTGAGCTGAGGCCAAGAGTGAGCTGCCCCCATCCAGTGCCAAGGCGGAGACCTAGGAGGCAGAAGTGTGAGGGAGGGTGCAGTGGCCTTTGGGTTGGAGCCGCCCTCGGCAGCACTCACCTTGTCCGTGTGTCCGAGGAAGAAGCGCTGCTCCCTGGTGTCCACAAGCAGGACGATGATGACTGAGTGACAGGGGTACACGACAGCCGCCCCGTCCGCGGTCCACACGGCCTGGCACAAGGGGGCGGGGGGCTGAGGCCACCGGTGGTACACCCGGCCCCTCCTGGCTGCGGGGAGGTCAGCCTCACCTCCCACAGCCCAGGGAAAGGAGGTGGCAGGCCTGGCATATGCACCTGGGCACACAGCCCATGGAGGCAGGAGAGCACGCACCCCCTGCACACACTACATACACAGAAGTCATGGGATGCACGTGTCGAAAAGACAGCTGTAATGCACAAGCAGGCATGTACACGTGTACGTGCACACGCCACGCTCTCTAACTGCCTCCAGCACAAGGAACTCTGGGGTGGAGGTAGCAAAAGGCCAAAGGACCCCCAAAGACTCAGAGCGGGCACCCAGCAGGGCCTGACAAGGGCCCAGGAGAAGCCCACCTCTGCCATGGGGCTCCTCCCCTAGAAGGGCCACCTCACCCATCAGGGACCCACAGGTTGCACCCACAGCCTGGTCCCATGCTGCTGGTCTGGATCATCAGAGTTCTAATGACATGAGAGCTCTGGGTCTTTCCTAGCACTTAGCTCAGCTGGTGAGTAAGAGATATCCGTGACCCCGATAGCCCTCGGGCACCAGGAGGAGACAGCAGCTGTGGGCAGGGCAGGCATCTGCAGGCGGATGGGGGACGGGACCCCTGTGCCGTGGGGGCTTGGGACCCTGCACAGCCACCACAGGACATAGGTGTCTCCTCTGTCCCCTCCTGTACTTGGCACTCTAGCCAGCCACTGAGAGCTGCTCTGGACCCAGCCACAGGACCCTCACCTGTCTGGTGCTGTGGCCGCCAAAGCCGATGACACCCTTGAGCCTCAGGACCGGGTCCGGGAGGAAGCGCTGAAACAGGCATTCACATTGAGGCCCTGGGAGGCTCAGCCAGGTCCCCAGGACACCCCTGACCAACCCCGGGCCCTACCAACCTCCAGCTCTCAAGGGCCTGCCTCTCAAGAAGACTTCCCTGGCCCTGAGTGGCTCCTGCTGGCTGTGCTAGGGTGGAAGCTGGGATTTGGGCTGCAGTGCCAGACCTTCACGGGTTCCCCACAGACCACCTGGAGCTGGGGCATTGGGGGCGACCAGAAGCCCTTTCTTACTGCGTGGACAGAGATCCTTCCCCAAAGCTACCTCCTGCCAGCCCTGCTCCCTGCCGGGAGGCTAAACTAAAGACGATCAGAGGCACATCTGTCCTCACCTGGGCTGCCAGCTGCCCTGGCTGCTGTGGGATGGGCACTCACCTTGCAGGAGCCGGCATCCTCAAGGGCCACAGGAACCTGAGCCGACTCTTCCATCTCAGCTGACTCGTGAGTCAACACGTGGGTGCCAGCAGCAGCGGTGTGGACATCAGAGGCCTCCGCCTGGGCCCAGGGCTCAAGGGGCCCTTCCGTGTTGGACGCCTCTGAGCGCCCTCGGGATAGGCTGACCTTCGGGAAGGGCTTGGGTGCCTTTACACTGGGACCATCCCCACTAGAGGCCTCTGGGTGCTCTCGGGTCAGACTGACCTCCCGGAAGGGCCTGGGTGCCCAGGGGGCCTGGCCGGACTGTTGGGGAAAATGTCCCCATCAGTGCCCTGGGCCATCACGACCCAGCCCCATCTCAGAGGGCAAAGGGGATACTCACGGCTGTGGGGCCGAGCATCTGGACCACGGGAGACACACTGTTCCGCACAGCTTTGCTGGAGGCCACCGGCCCAGGCCCCAGGAGGACTGCAACAGAGCAAAGAACCCCAGTAACATTGGGCGCGGTGGCTCACGCCTGTAATCCCAGCACTTTGGGAGGCCGAGGCGGATGGATCACGAGGTCAAGAGATCGAGACCATCCTGGTCAACATGGTGAAACCCCTGTCTCTACTAAAAAAATACAAAAAATCAGCTGGGCATGGTGGTGCGCGCCTGTAATCCCAGCTACTCGGGAGGCTGAAGTGGGAGAATTGCCTGAACCCAGGAGGCAGAGGTTGCGGTGAGCCGAGATCGCGCCACTGCACTCCAGCCTGGGTAACAAGAGCGAAACTCTGTCTCAAAAAAAAAAGAACCCCAGTAACCCAGGGGCCAGCTGTGCAGATGCCTGGTGAGGGTGACACCCAGGAAGGGGCAGCAAGTGGCCCAGCCTTGCCGGCTCTGCAGGACGCACAGCCGGCAACCCCACTTCCACCCCAGGACCTGAAACCTTCCTCTTCCAGCTGGAAAGCTTGGGGCCTCCAGGTACCCCTCACACAGACCTCCCACCCATGTGGTACTGAGAGCTCAGATGACTGGAGCTTGGTAGGAGAGAGGCGGGCTGGGAAAGGACCCAGTGGTGTGAGTGGTGTGGTGGCTGCAGCTGCTGCATGCCCAGAGCTGCCCGTGTATAGGGCTGAGGGTCCCACAGGGTCGTGGGGTGTCCCTTATGCTGTGCTGAGGCGCAGGATCTGAGAAAGAGACGGGACACAGAAGTACGAGGAAAACGCAGCCGGTCTCGGGGGGCCACGCCACCTGTAAGTGGAGTCAGGAGAGGCCCCAAATGTCCAGAAGCATCAGTATCTGTCGTGTATAGGTTAGGGGGCAGGGCAGTGAGTGAAGTCATCTTTAAGGACAGTGATAGGGTCGTGAGCAATAAAACATGGGGTCCACCCCCATTAGGTCACCTAGGCCAGGAGGTGGACAGTGTACAGCAAGGGGCCCGTTCCCACGAAGGCAAGGGCCGTGCGCAGTAAGGGGTCCACCCCCATTAGGTCACCGAGGCTTGAAGGGCCGTACGCAGTGAAGAGGGTGCAGTGCGCAATACCTCTATCTATGGGCAAACTACTCCTAAGTAGATCTATGGGAGGATGCTTAAGTCACACAGCAGTGACAGAGCTGTCAGGGTTACCGCCACCTGCTGGCAGCTTCCAGTGGGTTCTATGGGAAGATGCTTTTCGAGCAGCACAGCAGCAAGAGCTGATAAAGTTCACAGTCACAAGGTGGATTGCCGGTCTGAGGGCAGCCTTCACCAAGAACTGGAGCAGGGTCCTACAGCTCCTTTGTCAGGAGGAGTGGCTCTCGCCCCAAGCCCGCCATACAGCGGGTATCTTTATGATTCTGAACGCTGCCGCCTGGGCCATGGGTTCTTGTCCTGGTGTAACTGTTTTCCTTTAAATCATGCTCTGCACTGTCTGCTCCAGACATTCCTCGCACTATAAGCGGCTTATTCCTTAATTCATGCTGTGTACCGTGTCCACTCTAGGCATTCCTCTGATTATGAACTGAGATATAATTATATGTAGGGAAATATTCTTTAGGCACTCAAACCATCAACTATTAGATGATCACATGTAGAGGTTTATATAAAGGGATTCTTCAAGCCCTAATTCTATAAACTAACATATGATTGTATAAAGGATTATGTAAAAGGAAATTGCTGAGTAGTAACACTATAAAGTGAGATATTCCTCAAGCCCTGACTGTGCCAGGGTTCTGCTTAGTTCTCATTCCTCGGTGCCTGTATGGGGGTTACCCACACTCATGGGCAGGTGCAGGGACCCACGACCCTGTGGGGCCCTCAGCCCTCTACACAGGCAGCTCTGGGCATGCAGCAGCTGCAGCCACCACACCACTCACACCACTGGGTGCTTTCGCAGCCCGCCCCTCTCCTACCAAGCTCCATGAACCCTGCAGACCTTAACCTGGGTCCCGGCTGACCCCACAGTCCCACCTGCCTCAGGAGGGGAACGGCTCTCCTGAGTCAGCTCCGAAGGCACTTTCAAACGGTCACTCGGAAACCTTGGCAGAGGGAGGGAGAGTCAGTGTCTGAAGGCCCCGGGGCCACCTACCTCCCACCACCGAGACCTCCCTCGAGAGAAGCAGAATCACTCACCGCACGTGGATGTAGCGGTCATGCCAACTCTCTCCCTTGGGCACAGGGAACGCCATTTCCCGAGGCATAGGAGTCAGGGGCAGTTTTGTGCCCTGGGTCCCAGTGACAGCTATCAAGAGCAGGGTTGTTCCAGGTCAAGAGAAGCTGTTTGGCCCCCTGAACACCAGGCACCCACCAAGGCACTGCCACGCCACCAGCCCGCCCCAGGGCTGCCTCCGGGATGGGGTTCATGCTCAAGCTGTACCAGAGATGAGACAGCACAGCCTGAGCACTGCACTCTCCTCCTTGACCCAGGCCCCTCCAGGGCTGAGAACCTGGGTGACACAGAGTAGGGAGCGCAAGTGCGGCGCTCACCAGGCTGGAAGCACAGGTCGCTGGTGTAAAGGTTCCTGACCAGCAGGCTGGCGCACAGCCTGATGCCCTTGAGGTGATGGTAGCGCCGGTTCAGGTAGACCAGGAGGATGTCCTGCAGGTCCAGCTGCAGGCAGGTCCAGCGGGGTCCAGCAGCAGCCAAACCCACCAGGCCTGCAGGACGGGCACTCGGGGTCAGCACCCACCCTCCTGACAGCCGCCAACTCCCAGAGCCGTGAGCTTGTGCCTCCCCAGGCTGTCCCCCAAGCCACAGAGGAGCCCGACGAGGCCGAGCAGCTCCCTCCTGGACCATCCACGCCCCATCTCGGTGTCACCTCTCTGGAGTGTTCCGGCCTCAAGGATGAAGGGAAACTGAAGCCACGTGGCTGTGGACTTAAACTCCTTGAAGAGGTTGGAGAAAGACACGCGAATGACCTGGCCGTCCTGCGGGTGCCAGAGCAGGGTGGTGAGGAGACAGGACGGCAGGGGTGCCGGGCCCCCACGGAGCCCCCAACCTTGGGCTCTGTACCTCGGTGGACACATCCAAGTGGATGACAAAGTGCTTGCTGGGCAGGGGCCGGAAGAGCACATACAGGTATCGCCCAGTCAGCCCCAGGGACTGCGTGCTGGTCTTGGGGAGCTGGATGTAGTTGGCAGCAGAGACTGAGCCCCGAATGCGATACACAGCGCCCTTCAGGGTCTTGTCCTGGAGAGGCGGGAGCCTGCGTCACCGACAGCACCCGGGAGAAGCGCGGCCCCGGCGAGGGGACCTCGGGGTCACGATGGCACCCGGAGATGCGCGGCCTCGGCGAGGGAGAGGGGACCTCGGGGTCACGATGGCACCCGGAGATGCGCGGCCCCGGCGAGGGAGAGGGGACCTCGGGGTCACGACGGCACCCGGGAGAAGCGCGGCCCCGGCGAGGGGACCTCGGGGTCACGACGGCACCCGGGAGAAGCGCGGCCCCGGCGAGGGAGAGGGGACCTCGGGGTCACGATGGCACCCGGAGATGCGCGGCCCCGGGGAGGGAGAGGGGACCTCGGGGTCACGATGGCACCCGGAGATGCGCGGCCCCGGGGAGGGAGAGGGGACCTCGGGGTCACGACGGCACCCGGAGATGCGCGGCCCCGGGGAGGGAGAGGGGACCTCGGGGTCACGACGGCACCCGGAGATGCGCGGCCCCGGGGAGGGAGAGGGGACCTCGGGGTCACGACGGCACCCGGAGATGCGCGGCCCCGGGGAGGGAGAGGGGACCTCGGGTCACGACGGCACCCGGAGATGCGCGGCCCCGGGGAGGGAGAGGGGACCTCGGGGTCACGACGGCACCCGGAGATGCGCGGCCCCGGGGAGGGAGAGGGGACCTCGGGGTCACGACGGCACCTGGGAGAAGCGCGGCCCCGGCGAGGGAGAGGGGACCTCGGGGTCACGACGGCACCCGGAGATGCGCGGCCCCGGGGAGGGAGAGGGGACCTCGGGGTCACGACGGCACCCGGAGATGCGCGGCCCCGGGGAGGGAGAGGGGACCTCGGGGTCACGACGGCACCTGGGAGAAGCGCGGCCCCGGCGAGGGAGAGGGGACCTCGGGGTCACGACGGCACCCGGAGATGCGCGGCCCCGGGGAGGGAGAGGGGACCTCGGGGTCACGACGGCACCCGGGAGAAGCGCGGCCCCGGCGAGGGAGAGGGGACCTCGGGGTCACGACGGCACCCGGAGATGCGCGGCCCCGGGGAGGGAGAGGGGGTCGTGCGCTGCGGGAGAGCCCCGGAGCCCGGCCGCCTACCGTCACCACGGCCACGTCCCCCTCCTTGGCTGAGCGCTTCCACTCGTCCACCCGGAAGTATCTGAAGACGTTGAGGAACGGCTGCTGCCACGCTGCGGAGGGGGGTGGGGGCGTCAGGGGACCAGGCAGGAGCCGGCGGGGCGCAGGCGGGAAGCCAAGCTCCGGGACCCTGCCCGAGGGAGACTCCGGCCTCGGGGCCCAGGCGGGGACCCTGCGCGCTCCGGCCGCCGCCCCTGGACCCCGCAACCCAGGACCCCCGGTGCCCTGGGGCCCCCGCTCGCCGCGCGCTACCTCGGGCCATGGCGCCGCCACTCGAAGTTCCCGCCTCGGCCTCCGCGCGCCCCGCGTAGGGCACGCAGCTCGGCGCCTGGCAACGGCCCCACTTCCGCCATCACTTCCGCCGTCATGGCGGCGCCCCGGCCACGACACTGCCCGCTGTGCAGCAGCCCGCGCGTCTCTCCGGCCGCTGGGACGTCCCCGCTGCCTTTGCCCCGCGGGCCTCCCGGGGCAGCCCCGTGTTAGCCCGACCGGCCTCGAAGCGCGCGCGGGTTGCGGACCCTCCCCGGCCCGCCTGTCAGCGCCTCGGCTGGGGCTGCCCCTGCCACTGTCCCGCCGTCCGAGACCCCTGGTCCACACCCGGATACCCCGGGTCCTGACTCAGGTGGGCCGCGTCACCCCTGCCCAACAGGGAAAGCAGTGCGGGCGCCCGCAGAGGGCCCGCTGGGTTCAGAATGGGACCCGGCGTTCTAAGGCGGCCCCAGTCCTGGTGGGGGCGGGGTGGTCAGGACCGCACTCCAGGACCATTTCATGTCCTTGGGCCCTGAGGCCGGGCTCTGGCTCCAGACAACACCAGCAGCAGAGGAAGGAGGACCACAGTGGGGTCCAGAGACCTCCAAGCAAGGTGAGCCGGCCAACGCCCATCCCACCTGTGGGCAGGCAGCTGGGTGAGAAGCCAAGGGCCCGAGGAGATGGGGCGACAAGGGGAGTTGGCATTGGGACTGGAACTGGACACAAGGACCCGCCACACCCTCTGGATGTCAAAGCCACTCGAAATAGGCAGTTTCCCAACTTTATTAGCCCGGAGTTCCTCCCTGCCAGCCCCAGGGGCTGGTCGCTGGTTCCTGGGCACAGTGAGCAGGGCTGAGGTCAGACAGGTTCAGGCCCTGGCCATGGCAGCTTGGGACAGCCAGGCCAAAGGGACAACACGTGCAAAAGTCCCGATGCTGGCACTTCAGGTGTGGCCGGCACTCAGCCAGGTGCAGTGGGTGGGCGGGCAGGGCGCCAAGTTCCTCTCCTGGTGACGGGTCGGCCGTAGCAGCATTTCCTCCCAGCAGCCGCTAGGAACAGCTGGTGATTCTAGCCAGGAACTGCTGCGCCCACCACTCGTCCAGGTCAATGGGCACGAAGTCTGTGGACAGAGAAGGCTGGGCAGTGAGGCTGCCTCCCAGACCGGCCAGCATCTCTCCCCTGGAGACCACAGTGTGCTGAGAAGAAGGGGTTTCTGCACAAGGGTCCCCTCCCTCATCCCCTGGGGTGGGACCCTGGCAGAGCCCAGGTCAGGATCAGAGGGGTTGGGGGGTCTTTCCTCGGGGGACGGGGTTGGGGGGCTCACTCTGCAGCCGGGGATTGGGGGTCCTCTCCACGTACTGCACAGGCCTCGGCCCGCCCTCACCGGCTGGGCCACCATTCAGCTGCTGCTGCACCTGCTGCCAGGCTGTGGGAGGAGGGCAGTCGGGCTGAGCCAGGTCCCAAGCACCCCATCGCCCACCCAGGGTCTGATGGTCACCCTGGACTCCAGCCCCACACAGGGCTGGTCACAGGACACAAGGACAGAGCACCAAGGAAAAGCACAGCCCCACAGCGGCTGGGGGTCACCTTGAAGTGGGGCCATCCCGAGTCCATGTTACTGTGTGACCCAGCAGCCTAGGCCACGCCCTGCGGCCCCACTCGCTACCTTCGGACACAAAGCGGACATTCTCCTCGTGGGCCAGTGTGTAGGTCTCCTGGGTCCCCTCGAGGGATGGGGACGTGGAGGGAGCCCGCCGGCCATTCACACGATTGAACACAAGCCTTGGCCCCGGACTGCAGGAAGGGAGGAGACAGACATCGTTGGTGCCTGCCCCGGGCCCGGTGCTGCCTGGCACCCCTGAGCCAGCTCACTGTCCCCAGACCCGGCCAGCCTACGCACTTCCTGAACCAGAGAGAGCAGCAGCCGGTGGCCCAGGCCTCTCTCCTGCAGGCCCCCCACGGTCAGCAGCTCAGCTTACACCTGCAGCCCTTCACCCTGAGGGAAGTGAGTGACTGTGGGGGCCCCGATCTTTGTGTCCCAGACCCCTGGTCGGGCCACACTCAGTACCTGTGCTGCCACCTGCAACGCACCAGCAGCTTCATTTCTGACCTTGGCCATGACCAGGTCTGTCTGTCCCAACCCCCCACTCTGGGTACAGTTCTAGGCCACCTTCTTGACCCACAGAAGTGCCTCCATCTCCGTGACGTTTCCCTCCGTGGACAAATGCACCTGAACGGGAATGGGGGGCCTTTGCCAGTGCCTCTCCCTGGCTCCCCCCAGGCCTCACGGGCTGAGCACAGGGTGCTGGTATGGACAGTCTCCCATGGGGGAGAGTGACTACGACCCTCACCCACGCCCCAAGGGCCCGAGACAAGGGGTGATGCAGAAGGAGATGGCTCCCGCGGTGCTACACGCAACGGCTAGCAGGCCCCTGGGCCTGTCCCGGCCAGGCGGCCCCAGGTGGCCAAACCTTGAGCACACAGAGCCCGGGACAGGGCCATGGAGGGAATGGGGCCCGCACCTACAGCCGGAGGTGGGAGCCGGGAGTCCTGGGCTGTGCCTGCCGCTCCGCCAGGCACTCGCGGTCCCGGCCGGCCTGCTTGCCTTCCTGGGCTCAGCTGCCCCGGCGCCGCTCTGGGTTCCTCCTCAGGTGAGAGGGGCACTAAAATAAAGAGGAGCGTCTTGAGGGGCACAGGGTCCCTCCGGCCCCGGGGCTGGCAGGGTCTGGTGGTTGCAGAGGATCTTAAAATGTGCAAGTGGAGATAGGATGGGGGCAGGGGCACCTCCCAGGCCTGCCTACTGCCTGAGTTTCTGCACAAACCAGAGGGAATACACTGCGTCCATTTGGAAAGCCCCCTTGCCTACAACTCACTCCCACCCGGAAGGCTGAAAACTCCAAGAAAGCTTGGAGGTCGGATTACCAAGGCATAAGAACAGGAAATTGCCAGGGGCTGCGAAGTGCAGCGGGAGGTGGGGCTGAGATGGGCCCCAGGAGGCACCGCCCCAGGGGCTCTGGTTACGTAAGGTCTCTGGCTGCTCTCTGGGGTAAAGGGCACCCGCCAACCTCTCCCACTTCCAGGAACACTGCTCCAGGCAAACTTGAGCCCAGGGAGCCAGTGTGGGCATTCTCTCTATCCCCTCCACACCCACCCCTCTTCAGCCCACCAGGTGGGCTCGGGAGAGAATCGTCCTGACCATGTCACATGCTGAGCAGCACCAGGAAATCACAGCAAGTCCAACAAGAGTCCACACCCTGACCCAGCACAGCCCCAAGCCAGCCCCCTGGCCTGGCCTGCCCTCACCGGACCCAGACCCCCTGCCTCAGGCGGGCTGCCCCTTCTGGCCCTGTGGGGTTTATCCCACTGTCCCTTCCTATGGCAGCCCCCCATGCCCCCCATACGCCCTGCAGGCGGGTGATCACCTGCTACTTGATTCCTATCGCCTCAGTTTATCTTACTGTCTCTCCCACCAGGAGGAAGAACTTGTCAAAGGCGTATCCGGGACTGGAGCAGTGTGGCTCACGCCTATAATCCCAGCACTTTGGATTGCCTGAGGGCAGGAGTTCAAGACCAGCCTGGCCAACATGGTGAAACCCTGTCTCTACTAACAATACAAAAATTAGCCAGGCATGGTGGCAGTGCCCAGACCTGTGCCTGGCAGGAACTGGAGCCAGCACACATGGTGGGTGACAAGCCTTGACCCTCCACGTGCACCAGGGACCTCACATCCCACTCCCGAGACCCGTCAGTGAGGGGTGAGGAGCAGCAAAGGGTACCAAGAAGAACAGGCATGGCAGGCCGGGAGCAGAGGCCACACCTGTAATCCCAGCACTTCCAGAGGCCAAGGCGAGACCCAGGAGTTAAATACTAGCCTGGGCAACACAGTGAGACCCCTGTCTGCATAAAACTTAAAAATTAGCCAGGTGTGGTGGTGCTGGCCTGTTGTACCAGCTACTCAGGACGTTGAGAGGTGGGAGGATCGCTTGAGCCTGGGAGGTTGAGGCTGCACTGAGCCACGACTGCACCACTGCACCCACCCTGGGTGACAGAGCAAGACCTTGTCTCAGAAAGAAAAATAAATGAAGTAAAAGGCAGGGAGGTGGGTAGCAGCATGGGGTGGGACAGTTCAGAGGAAGGTGGTGGCCCCAAGAAGGTGCAGGAGCAGGGCGGGGGCTTCATGCAGATGCCCCACTGCTGCCAGAGGCAGCCAGAAGCTGCCGGCACTGGGACCTAGGGGTGGGAAGGTGGGTGACCCCAAGAAGAGGACAGCACATACCCTGCCCTGCCCAGGGCACCTCCAGCCCCGCTGCACATGGGGTGAAGCCCCCTCAACCTCCCACATGTCCCACTAGCTGGATGACAGAGGTCCTCAGATGGGGGCTTTAAGAGACAACAGGCTGGGTGCAGTGGCTCACCCCTGTAATCCCAGCACTTAGGGAAGCTGAGGTGGGCAGATCACAAGGTCAGGAGATTGATACCATCCTGGCTAACATGGTGAAACCCTGTTTCTACTAAAAGTACAAAAATCAGGCTGTGGAGGTGGCTCACACGTGTAATCTAAGCCCTTTGGGAGGCCGAGGCCGGTGGATCACCTGAGGTCAGGAGTTGCAGACCAGCCTGACCAACATGGTGAAACCCCCTCTCTACAAAAATTAGACAGGCATGGTGGTTCGTGCCTGTAATCCCAGCTACTTGGCAGGCTGAGGCAGGAGAATCGCTTGAACCCGGGAGGCAGAGATTGCAGTGAGCTGAGATCGTGCCACTGCACTCCAGCCTGGGCAGCGAGATTGAAATTCCAACTCAAAAAAAAAAAATGAGACGACAGCCAGTGGACCTGGCATTGCCCACGGGGACCCTTGGGGTACCATGAAGAACTCGGGGAAGCGTTTCCATCTTCCCTAACTCCTTGCAACTGTGCCACAGCCTTGCCCCTGCTCTCCCTAGCACTGGGGTCCTGGAGAGGGAAGGAAGGTGGTTCCTTCAGGTTAAGAGAGGGTGTCACCCTGGGCCACTCCAGCCTCATGATCCCTGCCTGCCTGGGGGGCCAGGTGGTGGCTGCACACCTCGGTTTCCTCCTTTGGGAGGCAGAGCGGTAGGGAAGAGCAAGCATGATCGTCCCAGTTGGGACACCTGGGGCCCACTCACTTCCCACTGGAAGGCACCTCTGGTCTAGGCCACTCACCTCACTAGGATGGAGTCCCGCAGAGCCCCACCCCGCTGAAGCCTCAAACACTTGTCCCCCCACAGGCTTCCACCTGTGCCACCTGAGGCCAGGAAACTGAGACGTGGGGGAGGAAGGCTGAGGGAGGCTCGGCACCCCCCACCTGTCGCTGCCCTGAACTCCTGGACTGAGCTCTCCTCCGGCGGCCCTTCCCAGCACCCCAGGCCAGGGCCCTGCCACCTCCAGAAGCCTTCGGGCCGACTTGGGGCCGCAGCAAAGCCCACAGGCCTGGGGGACGCACAGGACAAATGAAAGGAACGGCGGAGGCGCTGAGCCAGTCACGCGTCCAGCCCCGCGGGGCTGTCCAACCTCTGGGTCACGGTCAGGGGAGGCCACAGTGGCCGGACTGAGGCTCCTGTGGTCTCCCGACCGCACTGGTTTGGGAAAGGCCGAAGCATCGGCAGGGCAGGAGGCCAGGGCGGAGGAAGGCAGCGGCCCTGCCCGAGGGAAGCACACGCACTTGTGCCCCGCCGAGCTCTGCAAGGACAGAGCCGGGAGACCTTGAGGAGAGGACCGGCGCCCTCCGCGAACCGTGGCCCGGCCTCCAGGTCGCAGGGCGCCCGCAGCCCAAGGTCGTCCGAAGCGCTGGCCTTGGCCGCTGCAGGCCCCCGCGACCCAGGAGCTGGTCGGCTTTTCCCCACCCCGCGCTGGGGGCCGGACCCGGCCAGGTGAGGCGGAAGCGCTGTGGGCAGGACCCGCGCACCCCCCGCCCCGTCCGCAGCACGTGGCCGGCCCGCACTAGCGCTTCACCAAGGTCACCCCGCGCGCCAGGGCGGCCGGCGGGGGAGGGGAGGGGAGGCCGGGCCGGGCCGGGGGCGCGCGCGTCTCACCTCGACAGGGGCCAGGGTCCCGGCGGCTGCGCGAAGGGCTGCGCCCGCGGGGGCTGCGCGGTCGGCGGCGCGGGCTGCCGGCATTTCAGGAGCTCGCCGAGCCGGCCCTCCACCTGCTGCTGCGTGGGACCTGCGGGCACCGGAGGGCGGTCAGCCCCGGCCCCGGCCCCCCACCCCGGCCCCTGTCCCCGCCCGGCCCCGGCGCACCTGTGCGGCGCTGCGCGACCAGCTTGCTGGGCCCCTTGGTGATGGTGTACATGGCGCGCCGCTCCCACACCGCCGCCGGCCCCCGGCCTGATCCGGCCCCTGTGCCCGGGCTCGCACTTAACGGGCGGCGGGCGCTGCGGGCAGGGGGCGGGTCCGCTACACGCCCCCGGCCCTTAAAGGGCCCGCACGGGCTCGGGCCAACCGCGGCACACGCGGCGGAGGCAGCGCTCCGGCCTTTCGGGAAACTGGCAGGCGGGGGCGGAGCCGGCCACAGCCCCGCCCCGGCCCCCCAGAGGCCCAGGCGGACCCAGCGCCCTGCGCCCGCCCGGGAACGCCGTTGCTGCCTGGAAGTCAGGTAAGTCCCGGGCACCGGACTCGCGGCTGGCGGCGGGGACCCAAGGGCCCTGACCCCAGGGGTCAGCGGCGATGTGCGAGCCGGGTCCTGGGAGGCTCGGGGCCCACTTTTGACGGGCGCTGGAGGAGAACCTGTGCTGGGGGGGTCCCTATGCTGGGGGGTCCCAGTATTGGGGGGCTCTGTGCTGGGGGATCCCCGTATTGGGGGCTCTGTGCTGGGGGTCCCTGTGTTGGGGAGACTGCCGGGGATCCCTGTGTTGGGGGGGGCTCTGTGCTGGGGGTCCCTGTGTTGGGGGGGGCTCTGTGCTGGGGGTCCCTGTGTTGGGGGGGCTCTGTGCTGGGGATCCCTGTGTTGGGGGGCTCTGTGCTGGGGATCCCTGTGTTGGGGGGCTCTGTGCTGGGGGTCCCTGTGTTGGGGAGACTGCCGGGGATCCCTGTGTTGGGGGGGCTCTGTGCTGGGGATCCCTGTGTTGGGGGGCTCTGTGCTGGGGGTCCCTGTGTTGGGGGGTCTCTGTGCTGGGGGTCCCTGTGTTGGGGGGACTCTGTGCTGGGGGGTCCCTGTGTTGGGGGGGCTCTGTGCTGGGGGTCTGCTCAGTGCTGCGGATCTCTGTACTGGGGTCACTGTGCTGGGGGCTCTGTGCTGGGAGCTCTGTGTTAAGGGGCTCTGTGCTTAGGGGGGTGTCCGTGGGAGCTCTATACTGGGGGACTCTGCTGGGGGGCTCTGTGCTCGGCTGCTCTGTGCAGGGGCTGGAGACAAGGGCTTACCACTCATACATGGGGAGCCTCAGCCAAGGTGTCTGCAGAGGCCAGGGCCAGTGTGAAGGGTCACCCTTGGCTTGGGTCTTGGGGCTGGGTCTAAGTACAGATAAAGAGGCTCATCCCCCTGGACTTGAACAGAGACTCGATGCCCTGGGATCTCCCTTCCACCCCGGGGGTCAACCCTGGCTGCACTCTGCCCCCATCCTGGCCCCCATGCTCAGGTGCATCCAGAGGCCACATGTGTGTCTCTGTGGCCCTCGGGGGCTCCTGTACCTGCCCCAGAGACGTGAGAGTGTGGCAGGCCAGGTGTCATTAACACAGGCCTCCATAACAATTGTTTCAGTACAGAGTCGTTTAGTTAAATATTAAAAGCTTAAAAAGCTGTCCAGGGACTGGTGGCTCATGCCCATAATCCCAGCACACTGGGAGGCTGAGGCTTGTGGATCACCTAAGGCCAGGAGTTCAAGACCAGCCTGGTCAACATGGTGAAACCCCATCTCTACCAAAAATACAAAAAATTAGCTGGACGCGTGCCTATAATCCCAGCTACTCAGGAAGCTGAAGCAGGAGAATTGCCTGAACCCAGGAGGCAGAGGTTGCGGTGAGCCGAGATCATGACATTGCACTTCAGCCTGGGTAACAGAGTGAGACTCCATCTAAAAAAAAAAAAATACAAAAGTTATCCAGGTGTAGTGGTGTGTGCCTGTAATCCCACCTACCCAGGAGGCTGAGGCAGGAGAATCGCTTGAACCGAGGGGGTCGGGGCTGCAGTGAGCTGAGATCACATGACTGCACTCCACTCTGCGCGAAAGAGCAAGACTCAGTCTCTGAACTGAAAAAAAAAAAAAAAAAAAAGCCTGAGGCCAGGCACAGTGGCTCACGCCTGTAATCCCAGCACTTTGGCAGGCTGAGGTGGGCAGATCACAAGGTCCAGAGTTCGAGACCAGCCTGACCAACATGGTGAAACCCCATCTCTACTAAAAATACAAAAATGAGCCAGGTGTGGTGGCGCTCACCTGTAATCCCAGCTACTCAGGAGGTAGAGGCAGGAGAATCACTTGAACTCAGGAGGCGGAGGCTGCGGTCAGCCTAGACGGTGCCACTGCACTCCAGCCTGGGTGACAGAGTGAGAGTCTGTCTCTAGACGGTGCCACTGCTCTCCAGCCTGGGTGACAGAGTGAGAGTCTGTCTCAAAAAAAAGAAGAAAAAGCCAGTGCCCTTCTGCAGAGCCTGGGATGTAACCAAAGCCCACCAAGAATTGTGTCCAGGCCCCTCCTGGGCCCCGAAGCATGACAAGATGATGAAGGAATTCTTTTTTTTTTTTTTTTTTTGAGACGGAGTTTCGCTCTTGTTACCCAGGCTGGAGTGCAATGGCACGATCTCGGCTCACCGCAACCTCCACCTCCTGGGTTCAGACAATTCTCCTGCCTCAGCCTCCCGAGTAGCTGGGATTACAGGCACGCACCACCATGCCCAGCTAATTTTTGTATTTTTAGTAGAGACGGGGTTTCACCTTGTTGACCAGGATGGTCTCGATCTCTTGACCTCGTGATCCACCCGCCTCGGCCTCCCAAAGTGCTGGGATTATAGGCGTGAGCCACCGCGCCCGGCCAATGAAGGAATTCTTAAAAGGATGCATTCAGGATCAAACAAGTTTATTGGGGGTCTGAAGAAATTTCCCAGTCCTCCACAGACAAGTTTATTGGGGGCCCAAAGGAACTCCCCAAACCTCCATGGTTTAGCGGGAGACAAGATAAGGTAATCACCCAGCACCTCCACCCATTTAGATTAAGTTTACTGAGGCCGCAGAGGAAGGTCTTCAGGACGCAGACCTTAGTTACAGATGAAAAAAGTCATTCACTTACATCTTCAGATGAATGCACAGCTGGAAGGTGCACGACCTCTGGAAAACTTGGCTGGTGATAATTTCCAGGCCTTCTCCCTGTAACCCGTCGCAGAAATAAAAGCACTCTTCCCAGTCCATCTGCATCTTGTTATTGGGCCGTGAGAAATAACAGGCCGACCCTCGGTTTGGTCCAGAAATAAGAGGAGAGCTCTGTCTGTGCAAGCATCAGGGCCTGGGGGTGTCCAGTGGCCCCCATATTCTCCAAGGAGAGGTCAGGGATGCTGTGACTGAAAACAGGTGGGGGCCAAAGGTAGGTGAGGGGGGCCCAGGGTCTTTCTGTCTAAATCCACATGGAGGGGTGAGGGGTGGCTCTTGGTGGTGGGGGGACCAGCCTGAGGAGCCACCCCCCCCCCAAAGCACTAGCCCTGCTTCTCCTCCCTCCCGAGAGCCCCAGGCTTACTGGGAGGCCCTCATGGAAGCTGCTGACCCAGGCGGCCCTTGGCCCCACACCCGTCCTCAGCATGGCTAAAGGGCTGAAGGGCCACCCCAGCTGCCTCCTCTGCAGGGCTGGGCCGGGCCTCTGGCCCTGTGAGCAGAGGAGCCATGTCCAAGGAGGCTAGGCCTGAGATGTCCCCTAGGAAGGACTCCTTAGAGACTACCTCTTTTCTGCTTCCCACCCCCACCCCCACCCCCACCTTCCCCACTCCCCAACTTCCTTCACTCCTGCCTGGCTCCACCCTCCCCCACCAGTACCCTGCTGTGTGTCCTTCAAGGAAGGCCAGTGTGATCCCCTGTCATCTGTGCGGCCTTCGGCCCGCCCCCGCCTCTCCCAGTGGCCTTCAGCGAAATCACTCACACAGGCCAGGGAGGCAGGACAGGGTGCTGGGGGACCTGCAGCCTGGGGGCACGTGCTCCTGGCAGCCAGGAGCAGCTGAGTTAGAGTGAGGGCGGTGCTGGGGAGGAAAGCCCCACATTGGGGAGGCACACCCCCAGCTCACGCAGGCTCCTGAGGGCGGCCCCCACCCCTGGGGCCCGCTGCGGGTGGCGAGGACAAACTGGACTTCACTTTAGCCACTGGTGGTCGAGCCAGGAGACCAAACATCCAGCCCCAGCAACAGGTCACATCTGAGGTCAAAGGTCGGGTCCAGGCCGGGCAACCCAGTGAAACCTCATCTCCAAAAAATACAAAAATGAGGCCAGGGGCAGTGGCTCACACCTGTAATCCCAGCACTTTGGGAGTCCGAGGCGGGTGGATCACGAGGTGAAGAGATCAAGACCATCCTGGTCGACATGGTGAAACCTCATCTCTACTAAAAATACAAAAATTAGCTGGGCGTGGTGGTGCGCACCTGTGTCCCAGCTACTCGGGAGGCTGAGGCAGGAGAATCACTTGAATCCGGGAGGCAGAGGTTTCGGTGAGCCGAGATCACGCCACTGCACTCCAGCCTGGTAACAGAGTGAGACTCCATCTCCAGAAAAAAATGTTGGGTCCAGCAGCCCTCATAAGGGCTCCCAGGGAGGAGCTGTGGGCAAAATAGGGGCGGGGGAGACCCCAGCAGTCCTCAGGGCAGCAGGGAGCCAGGGGAGCTGGGGAAGGGTTGTGGGGGCCAGCAGCTGAAGCCCCCGCACCTGCTGGGGGTGGGCTGGTGTGCCCCAGAGGGGCTTTCCCGGCCTCACTGCTCCCAGACCCCACCTCCCCTGGGGACAGCTGGCAGGAATCCCATGGTTAGAGTGGCATCCACGGGGCCTGGGCAGGGACCCAAGAGGTCAGGCCTGAATGCGCTCTCAGCTCGGCTGCAGGAGCTTGGGGCCAGTTCTACTTGGGCAGGAGCCTTCGCCAGCCCGGCACAGGCTGTGGCTCCCAGTGGGGTCACTGTGCCACCGGCTGGTCCTGCCTGCCTTCCCCTGGACAGACACTGTCTTTGCTAGAAGCTACATGTTGGGTGGCAGGGGAGGGACAGGGCCTGGAGGCGGGTGGCTGGAGGGAAGGGGCCTCCCTCCACATGAAGGTTCCTCACAGACCCCAATCATCCTAATAAAGTACTTTTTTCCTTGAAAAGGCTCTAGTTATAACACTAAGTTTTTTTTTTTTTTTTTTTTTTGAGACGGAGTTTCGCTCTTGTTACCCAGGCTGGAGTGCAATGGCGGGATCTCGGCTCACCGCAACCTCCGCCTCCTGGGTTCAGGCAATTCTCCTGCCTCAGCCTCCTGAGTAGGTGGGATTACAGGCACGCACCACCGTGCCCAGCTAATTTTTTGTATTTTTAGTGGAGACGGGGTTTCACCATGTTGACCGGGATGGTCTCGATCTCTTGACCTCGTGATCTACCCGCCTCGGCCTCCCAAAGTGCTGGGATTACAGGCGTGAGCCACCGCGCCCGGCCAACACTAAGATCTAAAACGCAGGCCCTGACCCACTCAGACCTGAAGACAGGTTTCTTCAAGGCTCTGGCTCAGGTTCTGCCAATGGAGCCGGGGTGACCACTGGCCCCCCAAGAAAGGCTCTGGCTGGAGTCTGCTGTCCAGTTTCTTAGGGACTGCTCGGCCTGGCCCCAAATCCAGCGGTGGCCCCCCAAGATCCATCCGCCTGGAACTTCAGAATGCAACCTTATCTGGAATAAGTTTTTGCAAATAGAATCAAGGCAAGGATTTTGAGATGAAATCACCTGGGGCCTGGCCTGGTGGCTCCCGCCTGTAACCCCAGCACTTTGGGAGGCCGACGCGGGTGGATCACCTGAGGTCAGGAGTTCCAGACTAGCCTGACCACATGGCGAAACCCTGTCTCTCCTAAAACTACAAAAATTAGCCAGGCGTGGTGGCGCTCACCTGTAATCCCAGCTACTTGGGAGGCTGAGGCAGGAGAATCGCTTGGACCCGGGAGGCAGAGGTTGCAGTGAGCCGAGACGGTGCCACTGCTCTCCAGCCTGGGTGACAGAGCGAGACTCCATCTCAAAAATAAATAAATAAATCATCTGGGATGAGGGTGGGTCCTAAATCCAATTACAGGGACCCTCGAGAGACAAAGGAGAAGGCGGTTTGGGCACAGACACAGAGAGAGGAGAAGGCCACGTGAAGAACGGAAGGTTGGTGTGGTCCTGAGCCCAGGGTCACCTGGGGCCGCCAGGCGCTGGAAGAGGCCAGAAGGACTTTCCTGCAGGACCCTTGGGGGAGCTGACACCTGTGTCTTGCGGTTTTGGTCTCCAGAACTGTGAGAAAATACATTTGTTTTAAGCCACCAAGCTCTGGGGTCACTTCCTACAGTAGCCGCAGAAACTCAGACACTGTGAGGATGGAAGGGGGCTACAGGGCGCTTAGGAAGGAAGCTCAGGACCCCAGGGGGTGGGGTCCAGAGAATGTGGCATGTGGCACCGGACCCCAGGAGAGGAGCTGGACCCTGCTGTTGGACCTGAATGTCACGGGCCTGGATTCCCGGGATGGCCGTGTGCGAGTGTGAGGGCAGGTGCGGGAGGGGCTGGGCCCCCCAGGCCCTCGGTGGCTGAGGAGGCTGAGGATCTAAGGCACAAGGGGCTTTGCCCCTCCTTAGGCACCCCGAACACCTTCTGTAGGTCAGACCCCAAGATGGATGGGGCAGGCGTGCTCCTGGAGGGGGAGGTGCAGCGAGGGGTCCCACCCTTCCTGGGAGGATGCACCCAGCGACTGGGTCTGAGCGCCAGGGCCGGCGGGCACCTGTGTGGGCAGGACCCGCACTCCATGTCACTCCCAGCGTGGAATCCAGGATGCGAGGCGCCCGGGGCACTGGTATTTTATTGCATAGATTAACACACACCAGAGAAGGGAGACTGTGTCACAGTCCCTTCCCCCGGCAAAAGGCAGGTCCCTCCAGAGGAGGCTCTGGGGAGTCAAACTCAGTCTCAGGAGAGGCTGATGTAGGGTCCAGCCCCGGGGGGTCTCGTGGGTGCTCCTTTGCGTGCAGAGTTGACAGATCACAAGAAAGAAAGACACGAGGACACGGAGATAAGAGAAGAACTCAGCTGGGCCCGGGAACCACCACTGCCGAGGCGAGGAGTCCTGGACACGCTGATATTTACTGTATACAAGGCGGGGGGCAGGGCCGGAGAGTGACTCATCTGACGTGATTGGTAGGGTCAAGGAAATCACGTACTGACAATATGGGGGGCCTCATGGGTACAGTACAGGGGTCCCTCCCTCAGGCACTCGCTGCAGGGAGGGGAGGCACATAGGTCAGTATATTTCTATGCACTTATCAGAGAGATCGGGGCGGGCGCAGTGGCTCACGCCTGTAATCCCAGCACTTTGGGAGGCCGAGGCGGGTGGATCACGAGGTCAAGAGATCGAGACCAGCCTGGTCAACATGGTGAAACCCCGTCTCTACTAAAAATACAAAAAATTAGCTGGGCATGGTGATGCGTGCCTGTAATCCCAGCTACTCAGGAGGCTGAGGCAGGAGAATTGCCTGAACCCAGGAGGCGGAGGTTACGGTGAGCCGAGATCGCACCATTGCACTCCAGCCTGGGTAACAGGAGCGAAACTCTGTCTCAAATAAATAAAAAATAAAAAAAAGAGAGATCAAAGGCTTTTAGAATTCCTTTATTCTTACTTCTAACAATTTACAAGGGAGCACCGGGTGAGAAAGCAGAACACGAAGGTGGACAAGGATGGTGACCATCGGAGCACAGCACCACAGAGATGCATTTAAGCCCCTGGATGTCTATAGGCAGGCCTGGCTATGTCAGGCTTTCCTCAAGAGTCAGGCAGAGCAGAATGTTCTCTGAACTCCCCCAGTGAAAGGGAAACTCCCCTTCACGGCCTGCTAAGTATCGGGCGCCTTCCCAGGCACTGGCGTTACCACAAGGCTCTCACTCCCGCCTCCTGATCACTTCTCACAATGTCCCTCCAGTTCCTGATTATATTGCACCCGATTATTTATACTATAAGGCTAAAAGTGCTCCTACGCTGTAATACTAAGGCAAAGGTAATCATAGAGAATAATAACGTAATAAGATGATGTAATTGATGATGTGAGTGTATCTAAGTCTGATTCGTGGTGTCATTGCTATAAAAAATCAGTTATTTATTATGCTGGAAGAGATTGGCCTTTGGTCTCTTGCCATGGCACCCGGGCAACTTTCTTCTCACAGACTGAGGCTGAGTCTGCAGCTCTGACCTCGGCTACCGAGGGAGACAACACCAGGAGTGGCAGGAGCGGGGGACCCTTCCAGGGATCCACATTTGGCATCCTGCGGGGGTCCCAGACCGCTGCCAGCCACTGACACGCATCCACGGCTTCCCAGAGAGTGCTCACCTGTACCCACTGCAGCGAAGGCCTCGGCTCAGACACATCCATTCCTGCTGCTGCTCCCCCAGGCTCTGAGCTAGGGGGGTGCTGAGGGCAGGTGTGGCCTAGCCAGCATGCAGCCCCACGTCATGAGCCTGAAGGCGAGCACCAGCAGCCTGAGGTCAGGTAACACTAAACGTGCCAGGCGCTGGGCACTGTGGGCAGCTCCTCAAGGCAGTTCCAGAGAGACTAATCTCGGGCTCCTCCTTCCTGTGCCTGGGGAAGCCCAGGTGAAGCCTGCGTAGGGAGAGGTGCCTCGAACCTAGGAGAACCCTGGGTCATCACAGGTCCTCCTCCTGGGGCTCCCCTCGAGGCGGGTAGGGGGCAAAGTGCTCGTTGAAGGGGACACAGGGAAAATGCTGAGGCCACAGGAGGAGGGATAGAGACGGCCAGTCAGGCGAGGAAAGGGTGGACTTAGTCCAGAGAGCCTGCTGCAGGGCCTGGCCAGTCACCACCTCGCTGGATGCCAACATCCCCTGGCAGGGCTGCCCCTGACCCCTGACTCCTTGCGTTCCCAGTCCCAGACTGGCAGACAGTAAGCCACCCTCCTGCCCTGAGCCACAATGACTGGCCCTCCCTGGTCTGCGCGCTCCAACCACTTCGCTCTGGCCAGAGCAATGTCGAGCTCTGGGTTCCCACTGGTGAACAACGGCTCGCAAGGGCGCTAAGCCAGTCCTGACTGCTGAGCCACGCGCTGGGCTCTTTCCGGAGCAGGGCCCAGCTCTGAGGCTTGGCCCCCAACCCTCGGGCGCACACAGATCGCGTTCTCTGACTTGATTGCTGGGGTCACCGACCCACCCCTCACACTATCCGCGTCCCCGAGCTGGTGCTGTCACCCCAGTGTCACAGAGAAACCGTGGGCATCATTGGTGCCCATCCCGCAGGCCGCCTGGTTCCTGCAGGCTGGGACCGCCCCCTGCCGCAACCCCGCCCTGGCCCCGCCCCAAGCCGGCCGTCCCCACCCACGTCTCGCCCCACCCCGTAGCTCCGCCTTCTCTCGGACACGCCCCTCTGGCGGCCCCGCCCTAACCCTGGCCCCAACCTCGCCCCGACAGGGCCCCGCCCCCATCCGCTCACGAAGGCTCACGGTTTCCTAGGCTCAGGCCGGAATCGAAGGTGTCCTCCAGCCCGCGTCCCTCACGTTCGCTCCTTCTCCTCGGGCACTGGAGGGCACCGCGAGGCTCCCACCGTGCGGCCCCGGCAGCTAAGTCCTACGCGGTCGCCGGCTCTGTTGACGGCGCATGCGCGGAGAGCTTCCTCATTACAGTCTTGGCTGGTCGCGCGGGGCGACAACTTAACGGCGCCGCTGGTGTAGTGGTATCATGCAAGATTCCCATTCTTGCGACCCGGGTTCGATTCCCGGGCGGCGCAAGGTCCTTTTGCGTTTTTTTTCCCCCCCATCTAAAAAACAAACTCTCGCCAACGCCAAGGATCTTAAAAGGAGAGAAAACCGGAAACCAAGTGAAGGCGCCCAGTCCGGCGCAGAGCTGACACACATTTCAGAGAGTGACAGGTTCCCTGAAAACTTTGGACGGCCGTGGGCTACAGGGTACCTTGGCTAAGGCGCCTGTAAGACAGCAAGCCAAGTTCGCCGTCCAGTCCCCTGGCCGGGGCCGCCACCCACGGCTGAGCCGCACCTCACCGTACCTCTGGCGGCTGCAGGCCCCTTACCGGGGGGCGCGCACGCTCCTGGGAGTTGTAGTTTATCAGCTCTCGATGCGCCCCGCGGCATCCGGACTACAGCTCCCGACGTGCCCCGCGGCAGCCCGGCCATCGCTCCCGACGTATCGCGCGCTAGGTCAGCTGCGGGGAGCTGTGGCCGCGATGCTGGTGGCGGCGGCCGCGGAGCGGAACAAGGAGCCCATCCTGCACGTGCTGCGGCAGTACCTGGACCCGGCCCGGCGCGGCGTCCGCGTGCTGGAGGTGGCTTCGGGCTCCGGCCAGCACGCGGCGCACTTCGCTCGGGCCTTCCCCCTGGCGGAGTGGCAGCCGTCGGACGTGGACCAGCGCTGCCTGGACAGGTGCAGCCCCCGGGGCGCCCCGAGAGCCTCCCCCGCGGCCACTCCGATTGGTGCGGCGGACCCACGCCCCGCAGCCCCGGAGAGAAAGGATGCGGCCCGGGCTCCGAGGGTGCGGGATGGGAGCCTGGGGGGTCCCGCGGGGCACACCCCAGCTGTGCGGAAGTGGGTAGGCCCCGGGGTCCCCCTTCCCGGCTGCTTTGGGTCTCCGCTCCGCAACGTGACCTCCAGCCTCCCCTAAGAAAGCCTGTGCGGTGTCGGAAAGGCGGGTGGGCAGGACTCGGCCCCCACCCAGGCGCTCCCCTCTCGCAGCATCGCGGCCACCACGCAAGCCCAGGGTCTGACCAACGTGAAGGCCCCGCTGCACCTGGACGTGACGTGGAGCTGGGAGCACTGGGGCGGGATCCTGCCGAAGTCGCTGGACCTGTTGCTCTGCATCAACATGGCTCACATTAGCCCCCTGCGCTGCACAGAGGTCTGTGGGACCCCCCCGTCCCCCGCAAGGGTCTCTGCCCAGGTGCCCCTCACCCTGCATCGGGGATGCCAGATTCACCCGCATCACAGTCGGGTGAGGGTCTCCAGCCTCAGGGACTGGTTTGTTTGGGGGCAGCGCCTCACTGCCATCCTGTGCCCTACTCCCCAGGGGCTCTTCAGAGCAGCAGGACACCTGCTCAAACCCAAGGGCCTGCTCATCACCTACGGGGTGAGTGAGCCTGCCCAGGGTGGGCCTCCCCCTCACAGTCACAGCTGCTCTCTCCTGCCGTACTCAGATTCCTCCCGCCTGGACTCCCTGCCCACCCCCACCACCCACCAGCATGGCCTCCCCTCCACTTCCACTCTGCACCCCTCCCCAGGTCAGCTGTCAGTCTCCCTACCCCCTTGCCCACCAGCCTGGTATTGGCTGCCTCCATCTTGGGGACAGGGAGGGGGTGCCCATTTCCTTCTCCAGACCCCAGCCTGCAAGTGTGTCTGGGCTCACTGGGAAATAGCCGACCTTGGTCCAGCAGGCTGTGTCCCTGTCCCCACAGCCCTATGCCGTCAACGGGAAGATCTCTCCCCAGAGCAACGTGGACTTTGACCTGATGCTGAGATGCAGGTCAGAGCTAGGGGCCGTGGGTCTGGCTCAGGTGGCAGGTACGCTGGGTGGCATCCCCCAGGTCATGACTACGTCTCCCCCCGTTGTGCAGGAACCCGGAGTGGGGGCTTCGGGACACAGCCCTCTTGGAGGACCTGGGACAGGCCAATGGCCTGTTCCTGGAGAGGATGGTAGGTGGGGAAGTGGGGGCCCAGGCGGCCTCTCTGGGGATTGAGGACACTCCTCCAGCAGAGTGTTTCTCCAGGTGGACATGCCAGCCAGCAACAAGTGCCTGATCTTCCGGAAAAACGAACCCCCCTCCCTCACCCCACATACCTGCATCCCCGCTGCCAGAGGCTCTGTGGGGCACAAACCCTAACTCCCTAAGCCGGGTCTTGTGGGCAACAGCCCCACCCAGTCTGTGCTCTCAGCTGGTAGCTGAAGGGTCCGGCCTGCTCAGAATAAAGCAGGTCCTGCTGCCGGGTTGCCAGTGTCCACCCCACCTCCTCCTAGGAGTACCTCGTGAGGGTGGGTGGGAGACGGGGTTTCCTTGGGGTCAAGGGCCTGGGACATCCTGGTCCTTGCTGCTGGAGCTCGGGCAGCGGGCGTGGGGCTGGGATGGCTGCTGGTTAAAGGATGCAGGAGTGGGCTGGTGCTCCCCGGTGACCTTGTACCAAAGCCCTGGTGGGTGGCAAGGCCTCAGCTGGAAACTAGCTGGGGATGGGGCACCTGGAAGGGTGAGGGCCGCCTGACCAGCAGCAGCAAGCCAGGAGGTCTGGGGTACAGGGAGTGCGTTTATTCACCAGGACATCGGGCGGTGCAGGCCCGTTGTGGGGCTAGTCCTGGAAGTGGTTGAGCAGCTCACAGGCCTGCTTCTCCAGAAGCTCCGAGATCTTCTTCACGCGCTTCTCGCTGGCAGCGCGGACGTAGCTGCCGGCGTCTAGCACAGCCACGCCATCACGCACCTCGCCCATGATGACCAGCGGCTCATCGCCTACTGTCATGTTGGGGCAGGGGCAGGCCCAGTCCATGCCACTCAGTGTCACCTCCAGGTACTTGGTGCCCAAGAACTTGAGGCCCATCTTGTCATCCTTGAGCACGTCCTCCAGTGCCACGCGGGCGATGCCACCAGCTGCCTCGGGTTCCTCCAGCACCTCCGTGAGCCGCCCCACAATGGCGAAGTCGCTGTGGCACAGGCTCGGCGCCAGCTTGCTCCGGAGGCGGCAGGCGCGGCAGGGCGGCGTGCGGGGCACGGGGCAGGCGTCCTCACAGCTCTCGCGGCTGTGGAAGTTGTTGCCGTTGCCGTCACAGCCGCCGTACACAAAGGGGTGGCACTGCTGCAGCAGCGGGCTGTAGGCCCAGCGTGGTTCCCAGCCCTGGCAGGGGCCCTGCACGGCAGGCAGCACACAGGCATTGCCAGGGCCGCGGGCACAGGCCTGTTGGCACGCCTCATAGGTCTCGAAGCCCCGGGCCGCCCCGTCACAGCCACCGGCAGGGAAGGTCATGCAGCCACCCCGCTGCGGATCAAAGTGCCAGAGGACAAGGTGTGGGGAGGCAGGGGAGGAGGAGGTGGGGCCTGCGCAGGTCTGCATGTCTGGCAGGCACTCGGTCGGGGCTGGGACACTGGGGGCCCTGTCCCTGGCCGGCTCTCGCTGGACCACAGAAAGCGGGAAGTCTGCCCGCAGCAGGCCTGCGGCGTTGCGCGCGGTGCAGGTGTACAGGCCGGCGTCTTCGGGCTGCGCGTTGTAGAGCACCAGCTGCCCGATGCTGGTGACCACCACGTTGCCGTACATCTGGTCCGGACGCATGATCAGGTTCTCCCGCTGATGACTCTGCTTCTCCCAGGTCACGGCAGGCGGCGGGCGGCCGCTGACGTCGCAGTGGAGGCTGGCGGTGCCCCCCACCTGCACTGCCTGCGGGGAGGGACTGCTGTACAGGGCGGGAGGCATGGGTGCGGCCCCTGGCGTGGGGCGGGCGGTGGTCTCCGGCGGCCCCGGGCTGCTGGGTGGCCAGCTGAGCACGTGCTTACAGGGCACCACATGCAGGTGCAGGCCTCGCAGGCAGGCCTCGGCGTCCATGTAGCAGCGGTTGTAGTAAGTGAGGCCGTCCGAGGCGCAGGTGAAGCTGGGCTCCTTCTCACAGCGGTCGCGGCAGCGGCACACCGGCTGCCCGTCCCAGATGTCACAGTCGGAACCCTGCTGTGGGCACACAAAGCCCTCGCAGGAGGCCGCCGTGGTTGGGGGCGCGGCTGGGCTGTCCGGGAAGCGCGCTGCCACACAGCTCTGCAGTCCGCACACGTTGGTGCAGCACTTCTCAGCGGCTGCACAGTCCTGGGGATGGGGGACACTTAGGTGGGAGCCGCAATGCCCTCTGGCCCCGGGGGCTTTGGCCTGACCCCTGTGTAGGGAGGCCCCTGTTCTGTGGCTGCCGCCAGGGCTGCCCCCCAGGGAACTCAGTGTCCTTTCCATCCCGTGGGAGGAGCTGCAGCGCCAGAGGCCCCACGTTGCTTCACCTTCCGGAACCCTCACACCCCCAAGCAAGTTCCGTTATTGTGTACATTGCACAGACGAGGAAACTGAGGCCCAAGGAGGGCATACAGTGCTCAGGGCCACCCAGCAGGCAGTGCAGGCCAGGACAAAGGCTGATTATGGGCTGCAGCACCCCCACCAGAGTCTGCACTGGTCCCAGATGGGAGGAGAGGCAATGACCGGACTGGTCGCTAGAGGAGGATGGTGCCCAGGGTGAAGGGGAGGCATGTGGGGTGTGTGAGAGCTGGCGTGAGGAGGGGCTCTCATTCCTAAGACAAATGAGGGCAGCAGTGGGGATGTCGCTGGGCCTGTCTGGTGGGGTCTTTCCCAGGCTGGCTGCCCCAAGCCCCGGGACCCCAGCCCGACTGCGCTCACCTGGTCCCTGCTGCACTCACGCTCACAGGTGCTCTGGGCGTCCACCCACAGGTTGGGGCTGAGCTGGTTGGGGCACACGCCCGGGTGGCCCCCCAGCCCTGGCAGCAAGCCGGCCCCCGAGGTCAGCTGGAGGAGGAGCAGGAGAGGCAGGAGTGGCCGTGGGGTGGGCATGGGGGCCGTTGAGCCAGGGGGCAGGGGGGTGTGGCCACCAACCTCTCCTTGGGCTCCTCTGAGCCCAGCGTCCTGCAGGCATCCACCCTCCGTGCCTGTGGTCGGCGCCCCCACGAGGATCCCCCGCACTCCCTTTCACCCGAGGCCGAAGCCTGCAGCAGACGCTTGTCCTGATGGCCCTGCTGAGTGTCCCAGGTTCTCAGAGGTCGTCAGTGCACTACTGGCTCCTCTCCAGCTTCAGCCTGGCCCCTCTGTCTGAACCGTGTGGGGGCTCCCAGGCCCCGGTCAGCACAGGGTAGAGGGGAGGAGGTTGGGGAGGGGCCAGAGGCCCAGGAGCACAGAGCCACTGGCCATGAGGGTCACCGGGGGCGGAGAAGGGCTGGCTCTGTCCGGAGAGGGGGAGGGGAGGGGACCCTGTAATCCGAGCCCCTTCCTACACACCCAGGGCTGGGATCAGTCTCCTTGACGACCCTCGGGAGGGTGGGGGCAGGGCCAGCAATCCCAGCTTTTGTCCCTGACGCCCTCTGGACCCCAGGCTCCTGTGCTGTGGGGGTGGCAGACACAGGACCTCTCTGCAGAGCATGGCTGACCACAGCCTGGGTCCCTCAAGGCAGGTCCAGGCTGGCAATGGTAGTCACGTGTGTCTGGGTCAGGCCAGGGGCTCCACTCCACTCCTGCGAGGTTCCTTCCTCCACGGCTGTTAGGGGCACAGGGGCCTGCAGGACTCCCAGCGCAGCCCCGCCTCCTCTGCTCTGCCACCCCATCCCTGAAACCAGGCTGAGGGCTTGGGGCTCAGGCCTGTCCACAAGGCAGGGCAGGTGCAGCAGGAAGAGGCCTGCGGCCGCCCACAAACACAAGAGCATCCTCACGCTGACGCTGGAGCTTCATCCCACACACTGTGCAGCCCTGGACGGCGCCACCCGAAGGAAGGCCAAGTCCAAGGGCGTCTGCAGCTGAAAAGAGCAAGAGTCCTGGGGCACCAAGGCCTGGCCTGCCGCAGTTCCCACCCCCACCCCCCAACGGCGGGCACACATCCCCCCAGCCTTGGCTCCTCCTCGTCGGGAGGGCAGGGGGCCGGCCTGCCTGGCGCAGCAGGACAAAGGGCCGCCTGGAATCTGCCCTTCCAAACCCTCTGTGGCTGCAGAGGTCTGGGGCCCCAGGGAGTGGTTTTCTCTGAGACCGGATGGAAAATGTCCCGACGACCCTGTGTCTGACCTCTGACCCGTGAGGCAGGGTAATAGGAGCCTGGTCTGGTCAGAATGAGTCCCAGAGACAGCCTCCAGGCGCCACAGTCCCTGCCTACAAGGGTATCTGGGGTGGGCCCTGACAGCGTGGGGGTGGGGCAGCTGGGCCAGATCTGAAACAGCGCTCCCTGCTGGAGCTGCCAGAGGGGCTTAAGGCCGGGATGTGCCCCCGGAACAGCACAGGTAGGTGCCTGAGCCAGAGGCTGTGGTCCCTGTCCTGACTGGAGTGTCCTGTTCCGGGTCAGCTGTGACCTCCGAGGTGTCCACCCACCCCTGGGCGGGGCACAGCAGGCAGCCCAGCATGGCCAGTGTGCAGGCGGCTCTCTTTCTGAGGGGGCCGAATGACTGCAGAGCCTGGCCTTTAGGGTCCCTGCTGCTGTTAGGGACAGTCTGCCCCAGGCTGTCTGCTGCTGGGGGCTGTGAGTGAGGGCTCAGCACAACCCCGCTGGAGCCCACACCACCACGAAGTGCAGAATGGCTGTGACCAGGCCTGGCCGCTCCAGCCCAGCACCAGCCCTCACTTCCAGGTGAACCCAACTAACACCTGCAGGTCGGCCGTCAGCGGAGGGAACGGAGGCAAAGCAAAGGCCGGGGGTCAGTTTGCCAGGTACAAAGCAGCACTGGCCCCTGGTACAGGGCACCGCCACTGCCAAGACCCACTCCCCCTACACAGGACAAAGTGTGGGGACCACGGATGAATGACATTTACTGTACAAAGAACGAACGGTTCGGGAAGAACAGGACCGGGGCGAGTGTCTGACAGCAGTAAGGGTAGTGTTGATACCGTGAATGGCAGCCCATCTAGGTCTTGTTCATAATCCCAAACACGGGTCCTGCTGGCAGAACAGGACGGGGGTTGGTGGGGGCGAGGACAGGGACACTGGATCAGGAGGCCAGGGTTCCCTTGCTCATCTGGCAGCTCACACACAGGCCCTGGCCCACATCTCTCAGGAATGGGCCATGCGGCTTCAAGTCCACTGGTGCCCGGTGCACCCTCTGTGGGAAGCATGTGCAGTGGAGTCCCAGCCGAGGGGGTCCTGGGCCCCCGGAGGGCTCCTTCTGCGTGCTAGCCATGCCATGCCGTGCGGCCTGAGGTCAGGAGGTAGAGGTGAGCACCAGTGTTGCGGGTGTGCACAGGGGTAGGGAGGGCAGTCCCAGGCGACTGCAACCCCGCAGAGGGCCACTGGGGCAGGTGTGGCAGAAGCACTGGGCGGAGGAGCAGCCAATAACTTCAGAAGAGCAGTGGCCGGCCCTGCGTGCCTGGGGCTCAGCAGCAGTGCTGGGCTGGTAGGGCTCTGAGGAGGCCTCCTGAGGCCCCCACACGACATGGCCAAGGCAGTTCCAGGCGCGTCCCTAAGAAGCAGATCAGAACGGTCCCGATGCCGGGTGACCTCCCAGCCGAGCAGCAGCTGTGGGGACACCAGAGCCAGCGACAGAAGCTGCCGAGAACAGGAGACTGCACTTGGGTGCAGGGGTCCAGATGCCGCCAGAGGCAGGTGGGCTGCAGCCGGTCAAGTATTCGTAAGTCCACAGATAGCTCTGCACTCTCCAGGGTGGAAGAGACGCTGATCTGAGTTTTGAGTGGTAAATGTCCCCAAAGGGGTCACATCAAAGGTTCTCAACCCCGTGTAGGAAGAAGGGATTTGGGGAGCAACCTCACTTCTCCCCTCTCCTGAGTGTTGCTTGGGCTCTGACCACAGGGCCACACCCTCCATCCACTGCCAGCACAGTGACCACTGAGGTCGGAGTGGCCCATGGGAGCCAGGGCCAAGGTCACCCAAGCCTCCAGAGGGAGCACCGACCCTGTATGCTCCGCCAGCCTCTGAGCAGCCCTGCCATTCACAGTGCGTGGATTCACAGGGCGACTGCTTCCCATCGCTGTCACAGATCCCCTCCCGAGGCGTCCCAAGTGCATCCCCATGGCTGGTGTGGCCATGAAGTCACCAGTGCACCACAGGGACACACCGGGGCTTCCCTGAAGGCCCCTTAAAACGGACAAAAAGGGTGAAGTGTTCTGTATATAAATAAGAAAGGCAAGTCAGGCTCTCCACCGGCTGAGCTCAGGCAGTCGGAGAGGCCCAGCTTGTTTCAGACCAAGATTCCCAGAAGCACCAGCAGCCCAGCCGTGTACCCTCCTCCCACCTGCCGCACGTGCTCCATGCATGCTCTTCCCCACACCCGGCTCAGGTGCGGGGAAAGCCTAGTGCTTCCAAGGCAGCTCTGTGGCCAGTCTTCACACAGGCAGCACCAGCCCGGTGTCCCTGCGGGAGTGTCCACCTCGAGCCCTCCCGGCATCTGCACAGGTGGCCCCACCCGTCTCTGCTAGGAGATCTTGCAGTTGCTCCGTGAGCAGTTCTGCGGGGGACTCTGGGGCGGGCGGATGGACTTGGACCTCTTGAGGCTGTTCCCCTTGCTGCCGCCGCTCCCAGCCCCACTGGCCAGGGAGTAGGAGCGGCCGTGCATCATGACAGCATTCATGCCATTGGCCATCGAGAAGGACTTGAGGTGGCTCTTGATGGTGACGGGCAGCGGAAGCTTGTCGATGAGGTGTACGGGGGTGCAGGAGACGATGGCCCGGCAGCAGAGGTCCTGCAGGCTGAACACTGCAGGGCAGAGGGAGCATCAGACCAGGGGGCTGTGGTGGGGAGTTCCCGAGCAGGGAGATGCACGGATGGCAGGCCACGTCCTGGATCAGAGGCTCCAGAGAAGCCCCCTCAGGGAGGTGGTACTTCCCCGAGGGATGCCTAGCGACGTCCCCAGGACTAGGCTCCTGGAGCACCCAGACGCACACACTTCTCTGCCCAGCACAGATGTGTCCACTGGCACCCTGTCCCCTGCCTTGCTCACTAGAGCCAGGCATGCTGGGGGTGCTGCTGTGGGGCTTCCAGAGGCTCTGCCCAGCTCCTGGCCAGGACCCTGCAGCTCCCAGTGAGGGCTGTGTGAGCTGACCCCTCAAGCCGACCTGCTCTGGAGCCTCTTCTGTTCCTCTGGTTGGGTTCTGAATCCATCTAGCTTGACTGGGACCAGCTCAAGTCTGCAGAGCTGGGGAGAGGAGCTCCGTAGGGATGGGGGCTGTGTTATGATGGCCCAGGGTACAACTAGGCTCTTCATGGCTCCCCGTGTTTCCTCTTTTGGTTTTTTGAGACAAGGTCTCACTCTTTGGTACAGGCTGGAGTGGAGTGGTACAATCTCGGCTCACTGCAATCTCTACGTCCCGGGTTGAAGCAATTCTCCTACCCCAGCCTCCCAAGTAGCTGGGACTACAGGTGTGCGCCACCACGCCCAGTTAAATTTTGTATTTTTAGTAGAGATGGGGTTTTGCCATGTTGACCACACTGGTCTCAAACTCCTGACCTCAGGTGATCCACCCACATGTTCTCCCAAAGTGCTGGGATGACAGGAGTGAGCCACAGAGCTCGGCCTGAGCTTTCTCTTAAAAAGGACACTGACACTGTCAGCCACCCTCTCTCTGCCCAGCAGTGAACCCTTCGGGGAAGCACCACAAGAACAGCAGTACCACCTCCCTGAGGGGGCTTCTCTGGAGCCTCTGATCAAGGACGTGGCCTGCCAGAAAAGCAGACAAAATAACACAAAGCTTCAGGCATGGCCCCTGTACTCCTCTGAAGGGACGATACCAGCCCCAGAACCAGGGAAGGAGTGTGAATGCACTGCCTGCACCAGCAAGGCCAGGACCTCCCAGCCAAAGTGCCGAGGCCACTGCGGCACCCTGAGGGAGGTGACCAGCTGGCTCCGTGCCCACTGCGGCACCCTGAGGGAGGTGACCAGCTGGCCCCATGCCCACTGTGGCACCCTGAGGGAGGTGAGGTGACCAGCTGGCTCCGTGCCCACTGCGGCACCCTGAGGGAGGTGACCAGCTGGCTCCGTGCCCACTGCGGTACCCTGAGGGAGGTGAGGTGACCAGCTGGCTCCGTGCCCGCTGGCGCTTCTGCCTCTGCCCCAAGGCTGCTCTTACCAAGTCACTGTCCTGCCGCCAGTCAATTCCCTACTGTGTGTGGCCGAGGGACCTGCCTGAACCTCACTCACGGGGTCTCACTGCCCGCCTGCCCCCACCGGCCTCCGCAGCCTGGGGTTCCACACCCACCCACCTCGGTTGGGCCTCCAGATCTTCTCCATGCCGTGCCGCATGAGCACGATGCGGGACAGCTCTGTGAAGGACTCAATGACGTTGAAGTTGCACAGGGGGCTGACCTCGAAGAAGGTCATGCAGTTCTTCTCTGCGTAGGCGCGGGCCTGCTCCGTCGGGACTTGGCGCTTGAAGGCCAGGTGCAGCCGGTTTCCAACCAAGATCCGGGGCACTCCAGGCGCATGCTGGGGCACAGAACTCAGCAAAGACACGAACACAGAGCACCACCCACCCCCCAGCCGTGGCAGGGCCCTCACTGTTGGGACAGATGGGGTGGGGACCGTGGGAGGTCGAGGGGGGCAGAGCCCAGGGCTCAGGCCCCATAGTACAGGCCCTTATGGGTGGCCTCAGAGCCTCTGGCCGGTGCCCAGCCGTCGAGTGCACAGTGACCAGCATGCGCAGGCGCAGGCCGTGGGCTGAGAGCTGGGGCTACAGGAAGGGCAGCAGGCGTGAATACAGAGGCTCCCTGGGGCCCAGGCACCTCCATCCAGCCTGCCTTCCCCGGGAGGGCTCCCCTGACCCAGGCCTACCTCGTCGATCTCCTTGATCCAGCGGTCAATGCCATCAAAGGACCAGCGGTTGGTGATGTCATACACCAGGAGGATCCCCTGCAACAGAGACCTGGGTCATCACCAGGGGTGCAGCGGTCACCAACACACACGGCCGGCCCAGGCCCAGGGATGCTCAGGTGCAGGGGATGTGGCTCCCGGGCAGGGCCAAGGATGCTCAGGACCTGGTGGTTGGGCAGACAGGTGGTACCCTCCACACAGAGCCGGTGCAGCCCCGCCTCCCACCCTGCCCCGGGGTCACCAGGCGAGGACAGCAGCAGAAGGGTGCATGCCTTCCATGGTGTCATCAACGCTGCTTCCCCTCCCTCCCCTGGAGGCATCAGCCTGTGGAGGCTCCCTGGGCAGGGAGATGAGGGGTCCTGGCAGCTGGGGGACATGAGGCCTGGAGCTGCAGCTGTGGAAGCTCAGTGTCCCCTCCGCCAGTCCATCAGTGAACTCCCCCTGGGGGTACTCAGGACAGAGCTGGGTGGGGCATTTCTGAGTTTTCCAACCTAAAACTTGGAAATCAGAAAGCCAGTCACCCCAGGACAGTTTCTGTGACGCTCCCCCAGCTACAGGCAGAGCCGGATTTGCCACGGGGACCTTCTGCCACATCCCTTAGAGACCAATTACCTGGAGCTCAGCTTTGGGCTGTCTCCACCTGCCCTAAATATTGCGGCAGCGACAGTCACGGCTCTCCAGCAGCACGGGGGAGCACGCTGCTCACACTCAGAGCCCCGCTGGGCGCAACGGTGACATCAAAGACCCATTCCCCTGCACCCGCCTCTCCCCACTGTCCACTCCTACCCTACAGTTCTTCAACCAGGTCCAGCCAATGAGCTGGGATCCACCCCACTCCTAGGCTGACGAAACCTTCACAGGAGAGTCTGTCCCACACAAGGGGCAGGGAGGAAAGCGTGGCTGAGGCTGAAGGAAGAGGGCGCTCTCCACCTGAAAATCAGGGTCTTTAGAGCCTCTTAGAACCGTCTTTCAATTTCTGGAAGACTCAACTGCAGCCCCAGGCCCTGTACAGAACAAGATTGAAATCACTAAGCTCCCAGGGTGAAGGCCTTGCTTGGGATGAAGCAGCAGCTCAGGAAGGACACCTCTTCCTGTGAGAGGCCCTTCGAGGACAGACATGGCCAAGCCAGTCTGGTGGGTGATAAATCATAAGGTTTAGAATAAACGAATGCACACCCAGGGGTTAACCCTGCAGCGTGGGGCACAGGGACTGGGGGGATCATTTGCTGCTGGGGGAGGGGGAGACCAAAGCGCACAGCCCACCCTCCTGCGAGGCAAGCCCACGACTGGGAAATGACTGAGGATGCCCGACACCGTGGCGTTGACAACAACAAAGCAGACACACATTAAATGTCCAGCCTCAGGGGACAGCCGAGTAAGCAGCAGTGACATGTGCCGTGCAGACGGAAACAGCAGCAGTGCGTTTAGAAGCGTGTGTGCCGGCCAAGGAGAGAGATGCGGCCCACGTGGGCTGAGAACGCAGGTCCCGGGCGCTGCTGACTGCACTTCCTTTTCCTGGGACAGGGTCTCCCTCTGTCACCCAGGCTGGAGTGCAGTGGTGTGACCACGGCTCACTGCGGCCCAGTCAGTCCTCCTGCCTCAGCCTCCCGAGTGGCTGGGACTACAGGTGTCAGCCACCACGCCTGGCTAAGTTTCAACAAAATTTTTAGGATGGGGTCTGGCTATGTTGCCCAGGCTGGTCTTGAACTCCCAGCCTCAAGTGATACTCCTGCCTCATTGTCCTACAGTGCTGGGATTACAGGTGTGAACCACTGTGCCCAGCCCAGCCTGATTTTTTAAAAATAAAAATATAAACACACAATGTATTACACTGAAGAAGCTTATATGGACACAAAACAAATGCTAAAAGGCTGGAGAGGGAGTGACTTTTTATGCTGACCCATGTTTTCTGTGGCAAACACCACTGTTCCCATGACACTGAAAATTCTAGAAAGAGAACAGAAGGTCCGCCTCCTGGCTGACAGCTGGCTCAGGCTCCGAGTGTGCAGTGAGGCTGGGGGGCCCTGGCCACACCTCTTGGCTGCTGCCCTGAGCACGCCCCTCCTTCCTGGGATGGCCGTATCTGAGGGGCAGGGGTTACGGGCAGGGGCGATGGCACAGGAGGACATGAAGGCTTGCTGCAGCGTGGGTCATGGTAAGGCCACAGGGACCCAAATCACCACCACAGAGTGAGAAACCAAAAGGAGACTCTTGGAGATCAGAACCCACCTAGCAAACTGTATGCTCAACCAGGTATCTCAGGGCAGAGGGGCAAATAAACTCTTCCTCTGCCTTCTATTTTCTAAAAATGATAACTGTAACACATACTCTGATTTTTTAAAAACTAGCAAGTTCCGGGCACGGTGGCTCATGCCTGTTATCCCAGCACTTCGGAAGGCTGAGGAGGGCAGACGACAAGGTCAAGAGATCAAGACCGTCCTTGCCAACACGGTGAAACCTTGTTTCTAATAAAAATACAAAAATTAGCTGGGTGGCACATGCCTGTAATCCCAGCTACATGGGAGGCTGAGACAGGATAATCACTCGAACCTGGGAGGTGGAGGCTGCAGTGAGCCGAGATTGCACCATTACACTCCAGCCTGGAGACAGAGCAAGACTCCGTCTCAGAAAGAAAAAAAAAAAGAACTTGCAAGCAAGTGCTCTAGAGGATGAATCAGGACAAGCTCTCCCCTGCTCCAGGCCCCCCCAGGAGCCACTCTGGACAGTCAGTTTCCTCAGCATCTGCACATGTGTCCAGGGTGCCACTCACACCTCTCGGGCAGGGTGGAGGCCCGCGCACTGCTCCCACCTGCACGCCCCGGGCTCAGGCCCAGCCCTCTCGCCTGCTCATTAGCCGGTACTGCGCTGGCTCAAGGGTAACACTGGCAATACACATCTGAGTGCATCAACTCAACCTACAAGATAAATTCCCAGAGGTAGAACTGCTGGGCCAAAGCGTGGGTGCCCTTTTTGCTATCACTCTTTACTGAGCTGTAACTTACAAAGCAGAAAATATAAAGATCCGAGGTTTGGATATTTCGATGAATTTTGACAAACAGATGCACCTTCCATCCCTGGGGGTCAAGCTCCCAAGGTACAGCCAGCCAGAGTGAAGCCCTCCTGCCTGCGTCCCCACACCCAGGCTCTGCTCAGAAGCAAGTGACATGGAAAATGGGAGGTACTGCCCAGCGGTCCCCACTCATGTCTGCCTGCCTGTGCGCCACCAAGCCAGCAGCACGCAGGCCTCCGGTACCCTCTCCACATAAACCCTTCTCAGGGAAACAAACCCACGCTTCCATCCCGAAGGAGACACGGCACTTGGCCACACCCTTCCTGCTGCTAAGCCCGCTGACCCCTGTGGGTAACCCCCTATACAGGTACCAAGGAAGGAGAGCTAAGCAGAACCCTGGCACAATGAAGGCCTGAAGAATATCTGTTATGTCCTTTTATATAATCCTTTATATAATCACATGTTAGTTTACAGAATTAGGGCTTGGAAAATCTCTCAGTTTATAGTGTTACTACTCAGTTATTTCCCTTTATATAATCCCCTATATATAATCATGTCAGTTCATAGAATGAGCGCCTAAAGAAGATCTTACCGCTCAGTCATTTCCCTATACATATGTGTAAGTGTATCTCAGTTCATAATCAGAGGAATGCCTAGAGTGGACACGGTACACAGCATGAATTAAGGAATAAGCCGCTTATAGTGCGAGGAATGTCTGGAGCAGACACAGTGCAGAGCATGATTTAAGGGAAAACAGTTACACCCGGACAAGAACCCATGGCCCAGGCGGCAGCGTTCAGAATCATAAAGATACCCGCTGTATGGCAGGCCTGGGCGAGAGCCACTCCTCCTGACAAAGGAGCTGTAGGACCCTGCTCCAGTTCTTGGTGAAAGCTGCCCTCAGACCGGCAATCCACCTTGTGACTGTGAACTTTATCAGCTCTTGCTGCTGTGCTGCTCGAAAAGCATCTTCCCATAGAACCCACTGGAAGCTGCCAGCAGGTGGCGGTAACCCTGACAGCTCTGTCACTGCTGTGTGACTTAAGCATCCTCCCATAGATCTACTTAGGAGTAGTTTGCCCATAGATAGAGGTATTGCGCACTGCACCCTCTTCACTGCGTACGGCCCACCTCCATGCCTTGGTGACCTAATGGGGGTGGACCCCCTACTGCACACGGCCCACCTCCATGCCTCGATGACCTAATGGGAACGGGCCCCTTGCTGTACACTGTCCACCTCCTGGCCTAGGTGACCTAATGGGGGTGGACCCCATGTTTTATTGCTCACGACCCTATCACTATCCTTAAAGGTGACTTCACTCACTGCCCTGCCCCCTAACCTATACACAATAACTACTCGCGCTTCTGGACATTCGGGGCCTTGCCTGACTCTGCTGATAGGTGGTGTGGCCTCCCTGAGCCCAGCTGCGTTTTCCTTGTACTTCTGTGTCCTGTCTCTTTATTTCTCAGATCCTGCGCCTCAGCACAGCATAAGGGACACCCCACAACCCTATGGGGCCCTCAGCCCTACAACCCCAAATTCTCAGCTAAACAGGACAGCACGCCCCATCAGCCACACTGCAGGTACAGGGAGCCTGCCCCACCCTCCACATACCCAGCAAGCCCCAGGGACCCGCACCTGGGTGACCTGCTCATCCTGTCAGTGGCTGGCACTGCTTCTGAGAGGGACCGCCTAGGATCTCAGCAATAGAAAACTGGACACAGCCAGGAAGACTAGGAAGCCTGGCCTTCGGCAGAACGTAAAGGGCCTTGTGGGAAGAGCCACGGGACTGCTGCTGTGCGACAGGTGACAACAGCGGGCAGTGGCCAGTGGCCTTCATTGGTGCCATCTGCAAGACCCAGGCTGTGGGGACCTGCCAGGCCTCTCCACTGGCAAGAGAGGGCGGCAGAGTGAGGAAACCTGGCTGGGACAGACAGTCCTTGCTTGCGTCTTATCAAGGGCTGTGGGAGAAGCCGTGGTGCAAACCCCGGCTCTGCGCCTCAGCTGGATGCGCCCTCACCTCACCACTGCTCACCAGGCAGGAGACGCAGCAGAGTGGTGGGCTCCCGGGGTGGCCCCAACGCTCAGTCATGGTAGCCAGAGGCCACACCTCGGGGCTCAGGTGCTTCTCCCAAGGCAAGGCTGCCAGGAAGCGCCTGGCACCCTTCACCAAGGACCAACATGTGCACCTGGGTCTGCAACCTGCTCCTCTCATCCAGAAAATGACAGCTAAGAACTTCCAGAATCAACAAGGCAAAACACAGCCATAACTGGTTGTGCCAGATGCTTTGGAAAGAACACGGAGATAACAGAGCCTGCTTTCCAGAACCTCAGCCTGGCAAATGCAGAGCTTGTGAACTGCTTTTTTTTTTTTGAGACAGAGTCTCACTCTGTCGCCCAGGCTGGAGTGCAGTGGTGTGACCTTGGCTCACTGTAGCCTCGCCTCCTGTGTTCAAACAATTCTTCTGCCTCGGCTTCCCAGTCGCTGGGACTACAGGTGCACACTGCCACGCCCAGCTAATTTTTGTACACTTAGTAGAGACAGGGTTTCGCCATATTGGCCAGGCTGGTCTTGAACTCCTGACATTGTGATCTGCCCTCCTTGGCCTCCCAAAGTGCTGGGATTATAGGTGTGAACCACCATGCCTGGCACTGCCTTTTTTTGTAAGTTCTCAAGCAGCTGAACAGAAATCACAACTGCTGGCCCTCATGTCCCTCAGACCTCCCTATGTGGGAGCTGGGACACCCACGGTGGAGCCCCATCAGGTTCAGCTGCCCGCTGCCTTTCCCGGTATCTCCCCAACAACGCTTATTGTCATCCAAGAAAACCACGCCCCAGTTTCTTTTTTTATTACCAAAATGGCATTTGTTTACTGTAGAAAAATCATGAAATACTTAAAAGCAAAAGGAAGGCAATAAGGCATTTTTTTGTAGACATAAATCACCCACACAGCTCCTCCATCTTGTTTTTCTTTTTTTTTGAGACGGGGTCTAGTTCTGTCACCCAGGCTGGAGTGCAATGGCACGATCTCAGCTCACTGCAACCTCCTTCTCCCAGATTCAAGTGATTCTCCTGCCTCAACGTCCCAAGTAGCTGGGACTACAGGCGCCCGCCACCATGCCCGGCTACTTTTTATATTTTCAGTAGAGACAGGATTTCAGTGTGTCGACCAGGCTGGTCTCCAATGGGTGACCTCGTGATCTTCCCACCTTGGCCTCGCACAGCGCTGGGATGACAAGCGTGAGCCTCGTCCGGCCACAGCTACTCCTTCAATAGCAAGCAGGGCCCAAGGAAGGCACCTTCGAGTCTTCCACCTGCCAGCTCCGTGCATCACAGCCATGGCACTCAGGCAGGCCCTTCTGCTACCATGAGGGAGTCACCAATATCTCTGAGGGAACTCCTGGGACAGGGTGCTACCCTGCCCACCCTGGGGTTCTTCCCACCCACCACCAGCAGGTAGAAAACAGCAGAGCCGACACCGACTACACTTCAGTGTAGAAACAGAAGGGAATGAGCTTGCCAGGGATGAAGCTCCAGGGTCTGTCCCCCTCCCACCTGGGGCACCTTCCTGCCCAGAGCAGACCCACCTGAGCCAGAAGCTGCAGAGCGCACACCTAAACCTTCCCCCAAAGATCCAGATTCCAGACCCAGGCAGCCTCCCTGGGCCCACATGGGGGGCTCCAGGCTCAGGATCTGGCCCTGGAGGATCTCCCTTGGCTCTTCCAGAAGTCTCAGGGGCATCACAGACCGGACTGACCTGCTCGAATCCCTCTCATTGAGCAACAACAGTGGCCACGGCAGGTCTGTTCCCATGGGCTTCATATCCTTTCCCCTCCTTCTGGCCTCATATTCACCAGAGATCCAGTCAGCACAAAAGTGTGCTGGAGGCCCAGAGGAGACAGAGGGAAACCAGGGTGGCCTAGCACACCCGCCACACCTGTGCACACACCTGCACACACATGGCCCTGAGTGCACCCACCACCCCTGTAATCCCAGCTACTCAGGAGGCTGAGGCAGGAGAATCACTTGAACCTGGGAGGGGAGGCTGCAGTGAGCCGAGATCATGTGTGCCACTGCACTCCAGCTTGGGTGACAGAGTGAGGCTCTGTGTCAAAACAATGGAACAAAAAACAAATGTGAAACTATCCTTAGAAAGCGCTTGGGAGTTTGACAGGGCAGCAACTCACATCCAGAAAGAATCAGGAGAAACATCCTTTTGAAAAGCAACAGAAAGAGCGGTGCTGGTCTTACCTGAGCGCCCCTGGAGTAGGACCTGAAGATGGTGCAGAAGCGGCCCTGGCCCGACGTGTCCCTGAAACACACAGGGAGGGGATGGGAAGGGGCCACGGCAGCGCAGCCTCTGCGCCTGCACTGTGGTCCCCGTGAGAGGCTCACCTCCTGGCCTCGTCTCCCTGACCCCTAGATGTCCTGAGGGGAGTGGGCGGCCGGGACAGGTGCAATGGGGCTGTGCTAAGAGGCGTCGTCTGCACACTTCACAGCAGCCTGGCGCCATGCCGCTGAGCCAGGCAGGCAGCAGAAGGAGCCTCTGCCTACCTGGTGAGTGAGCGAGCTCCCCAAATGAACCTGGGAGCCCCAGGAGACTGTTTTGACAGGCTGGGGAACCCCACCCCTGTGGGCATTTACATCTCAACACTCAATTTCTGGGAAATGCTTTTTTTTTTTTTTTTGAGACAGAGTCTCGCTCTGTCATCCAGGCTGAAGAACTGTGACTTAATCTCTGCTCACTGCAACCTCCATCTCCTGGGCTCAAGCAAGTCTCCTGCCTCAGCGTCCCGAGTAGCTGGGATTACAGGTGCCCACCACCATACCTAATTTTTGTATTTTTAGTACAGACAGGGTTTCACCATGTTGACCAGGCTGGTCTCAAACTCCTGACTTCAAGTGATCCGTCCTCCTCTGTCTCCCAAAGTGCTGGGATTACAGGGGTGAGCCACCGCACCCAGCCAGGAAATGCTCTTTAAGGTAAAGCCAGCAGAAGGGGAGGGAAGGGGTCCACAGCCACCATGGAATCAGGTCTTCTGGGGCAGAAAGGAGGCTGGGATCTCTGGGAACACAGTGCCCAGAACTTTTGCCTTTTGCCTCTTGGAGCAAAATCCACTCTATGTTTAAACAGGGGCCGTGTAAGTGGCTCTTCCGAGTGAAACGTAAACAAGATACCTTCCTGTTTCTCTAAGGTCCATCCTTCCTTCGGCATTGCTGTCCCCACCCCGGAACCGAAGTGCTGCAGCCCCGACTCACCAGAGCTCCAGCTTCACGCGCCGGCCGTCCAGCAGGATGGTGGTGGTCTTGTAGTCAATCCCTGTGAGGAAGCACAGGGCGCTGAGGGGACGTGCCATTCCTGGAGCGAGTGCCCGCGAGACCAGCCTCAGCCACCTGCCTCGCAGGGCCGAGACCCATGCAGAGGATGTGGAGAAGCAGCTCCCCCCACACTCAGCCAGTGGGACAAGGGGCAATCTCGGGGTTCTGGCCCAGCAACCTAGGCCTGCCCACTTCTGCACACGGGCCACGGGCAAAGCAGAGCAGGGCAGGGCAGGGCAGAGCAGAAGCATGATTGAAACAAGGTCAGGCCATCGGGGCCCCACGGCCTGCCAGGCCAGCCTCTCCATGGGCACGGCTTGCCCGGAAGGGGGCCTCCCTCCACCTGTGGCCTGCGCCAGGTGCAAGGCACAGGGCCTCTCCCTCAGAGGACACTGGGCAAAGGCAGGGTGTGGACTCCAGGGTGTCTGGAGAAAGGGCAGTGCCTTATTTCCAGCCTGACCTGCTTGGTATGCCTTTTGAAATGAATTCTCGAAGGCGAATGTGTTTCCAAGTCTTGGTTCGCAGAGCTCAGGAACTGACAAGGGCAGCGTGCTGCAGCACTGAGCGGGGCCGAGCAAGTTTAAAAACGCCACTGCTCAGGACTGACCTCGGACAGCCGCCAGCTACCTACCTGCCACCTCGCTACTTTTGTTGTTGTTGTGTTTTTGGCCAATTTCCCTGGGTATTTTCTGTTTTGTTTTGTTTTTGTTTTTTGACAGAGTCTTGCTCTGTCACCCAGGCTGGAGTGCAATGATACGGTCTCACTGCAACCTCCGCCTTGGGGTTCAAATGATTCTCCCGCCTCAGCGTCCTGAGTAGCTGGGATTACCGGCACCTGTCACCACACCCAGCTAATGTTTGTGATTGTGGTAGAGATGGGGTTTCACCATGCTGGCCAGGCTGGTGATGAACTCCTGACCACAGGTGATTTACCCAAAGTGCTGGGATTACAGGTGTGAGCCACGGTGCCCGGCCCACATCATTACTTTTTATTTCCTTACACTTTTATGGGAAAATGTCAGTTTAAGAAAAATTGAAAGGAGAAGACAATTCTGGACACTTAAGACAGAGACAACATCTTTTTTTTTTCTTTTGTAGATGGGGTCTCGCTCTGTCGCCCAGGCTGCAGTGCAATGGCAAGCTCTCGGCTCACCGCAACCTCCACCTCCTGGGTTCAAGCAATTATCGTGCCTCGGCCTTCCAACTAGCTGAGATGCCAGGTACACGCCACCACACCTGGCTAATTTTTGTATTTTTTTTTTTTTTTTTTTTTTTTGAGATGGAGTCTTGCTCTCGTTACCCAGGCTGGAGGGCAATGGCGTGATCTCGGCTCACCGCAACCTCCGCCTCCTGGGTTCAGGCAATTCTCCTGCCTCAGCCTCCTGAGTAGCTGGGATTACAGGCGTGCGCCACCATGCCCAGCTAATTTTCTGTATTTTTAGTAGAGACGGGGTTTCACCATGTTGACCGGGATGGTCTCGATCTCTTGACCTCGTGATCCACCCGCCTCGGCCTCCCAAAGTGCTGGGATTACAGGCGTGAGCCACCACACCTGGCCTAATTTTTGTATTTTTAAGTAGAGACGGGGTTTCACCATGTTGGTCAGGCTGGTCTTAAACTCCTGACCTCAGGATCTGCCCACCTTAGCCTCCCAAAGTGCTGGGATTACAGGGGTGAGCCACCACACCTGGCTCAGATGTGACATCTTAAACTTTCCAGAAGCTTCTACCTTTAGGGCTCAGTTCTTCCTCCACCTTAAAAATACCATTCGTGTTTTGCCTTTTCCTTTTTTTGAGATGGAGTCTTGCATTGCCGCCCAGGCAGTAGTGCAGTGGTGCCATCTCGGCTCACTGCAATCTCCACCTCTCGGGTTCAAGCGATTCTCCTGCCTCAGCCTCCTGAGTAGCTGGGACTACAGGTGTGTGCCACCATGCCCAGCTAATTTTTTTGAATTTTTAATAGAGAAAGGGTTTCGCCATATTGGCCAGGATGGTCTTGATCTCCTGACCTCGTGATCTGCCCACCTCGGCCTCACAAAGTGCTGGGATTAGAAGCGTAAATCACCACGCCCGGACTGTTTTGCCTTTTTATAACACTTTCTCCCTGGGGGCTTGGAAATGGGCACTCTGTAAACATAAGCGAAGCCCTCCCACAGAGCGCACCTGCACTGTGCCTGTGTCTGTGCACATTTGTCTCTCTGTGTGGGGCCCACCCTTACGAGCCAACCGTGCGGCCTCCTTCCCTGCGGCGCCCTTCTTCAGGCATCAGTGCTCCCACTCACACCGTCCTTCTGCCTGGCCAACTCCTAACTGCACATCAAAGCCTGCTCTCATGCATCAAAGGACCCCATCGACAGAGAGAAAAACGCAACCCAGGGATGGAAGGAAATGCCTGCAGATCACACATCTCCTAGGGACTGATATCCAGAGTCCACAAAGAACTCCAATTCAACAACAGAAAACCACACATCACATCCTGATTTTAGAATGGACGATGATTTCTCTCGGGTCCTTGTTTCCTGTACAAGAAGGAAAATGTTGTGCCAAAAAGAGCCACGGCTGTGAGCAGCCCATCACTGCAGGCACTGCGCCTAACGCGTGTCCAGGGACACCACCATTAAGCAGTTCATCATCAGGCATGCAGTAGAGGCTGCAGCCCTTGGGGACATTTTGGAAGCCAGCATCTGCGCCGCCTGCATGCTTCCCAAGCCTCATGTGAAGATGCATCAGTGCCCCAGTGGTGCCCCTCACAGCAAGCCCGTCAGGAATCCTGCTCCTCAAGTCCAGGGCCACGCACTCCACCCAAGTCTAGAGCTGGGTTGTACCCAAGACCCCCATCAAGGCCAACATAGGAGCTGCGTCCTTAAGGACTGAAGCCAAACTATCCTCTGAGGGAAAAAATGTGGAAATTATACTTTGAAAAAAGGGTGATGGAATTGAATAGACATTTCCCCAAAGAAGATATACAGATGGCCAAGAAGTATGTAAAAAGGAATTCCAGGCTGGGTGCGGTGGCTCACACCTGTAATCCCAGCACTTTGGGAGGCTGAGGCGGGCGGATCACAAGGTCAGGAAATCAAGACCATCCTTGCTAACACGGTGAAATCCCGTCTCTACTAAAAATACAAAAAAAAGGAAAGAAAAGGAATTCCACATCATCGTCCAGCAGAGAAACACAAAGCCACCACCACGACCCAGCCCCAGGGAAAGGGGCAGCTGCAGCAAGTGCCCACGAGCGTGGGGAAGCGGGAAGTGGGGAAGCTGGCCCCACCCAGAGTGTGCTGCGTGCTGCTCAACTGTGCTTTTTTTTTTTAACATGGAGTCTCCCTCTTTCACCCAGGCTGGAATACAGTGGCGTTGATCTCGGCTCACTACACTCTCCGCCTCCTGGGTTCGAGCAATTCTGCCTCAACTTTCTAAGTAGCTGGGATTATGGTCGCATACCACCACGTCCAGCAAATTTTTGTATTTTTAGTGGAGACATGGTTTCACCATATTTGCCAGGCTGGTCTCAAATTCCTGACCTTGCGATCCACCCACCTTGGACTCTGAAAATGCTGGGATCATAGGCATGAGACACTGAGCCTGGCCTTGAACTGTGCTCTTCAGAATGGTTCCAACACCAGGCTGCACGCTGCATGTGTGCACATGATTCTATAAGGCGAGGGGAGGTGTCATGTGCCTACTCACAAATGAAACAACACTGTTCAGGAAGGAACCGTGCTCATGCCGTCCACACCCTTCCCACACCTCCCTCCTCCTTCGGCTTCTGTCAAGCAGGATCCGTGGACGGAGGGGCCTTGGTCCTTTTGGTCCTGGCCAACCCCCATGAGGCTGACCTGAGAGGCCAAGGTTGGACATGGCAATTCCCACAAAGGCTGTGGCTGCTTGTCCTTGACGGTCAACTCCATGTGCCAATCCAGCCAGGCAGGTGGGCACCAGAAACAACTGCAGGACAGATGCTGAAGGCGTGGGACTCCCCTAGGCCACCCCTAGATGGCGCCGTAGCTCAGGCCCACCAGGAGCCCGGGCTGCTGCAAGAGGGGTGGGGGTGCCAAGGAAAGCCTGGGGACCACGCTGGCCACACGCAGAGGTGGGGCCTCTAGACTGCTGGGCTCTTCGATCAGAGGTGGCTCCAAGCTGGTCCTTCCACTGGGTGTCTGTGGCGGGCACCCATGGGACCTTCTGACCTGCTGAGGAGGGAGGCACCCATCCACCCCACAGGCTCCACACCTGGTGGCAAACTGCACGTCAGAACTGGACTCTCCACAACACTGGAGAGGAGAAGTTTAAGAAGACTGAAGTGGCGTCCCCATGGATACCATTTAGACTCAGACAGTGACCTGTTCTCCAAGCACAGTCAGCCGACTGTCTTGTTCCCAGTAACCCACAGCCACTGACCACATGGAGCCCTCCTGGCCCCAGGATGTGGCTCCGGAAAAGGTCTGGATTCTCAGAGGAGGGACAGGTGTCAGGATCCTGAAGATGATACCTTGGCCTGGGGAGGGGGCCCTTGGCCTAGAAGGTCTCAATTTTCCAGGCAGAGCCAGGGCAAGCGGGTGACAGGGTGGGGCAGGGCAGAGGGAGGAGCCCCTGGAGGCACAGAGCAGTGACCTGGGAGAGGCCTGGAGCCTTCGCTGGGAAATGCCCTAGGCTAATACCCTGTTCAGTGAAAAGCCAAGGGTGCCAGTGAGGGTCATCTGTGCCACCACACCTGTCCAGCTGTTTTTCATCTCTTTTTATTCTATTTTCTGGGAGATGTCCTCAACTTTCTTTTCTGGATCTTCTATGGCTTTTTAAAAATGTGCTGCTTATGACTGGGCATGGTGCCTCAAGCCTATAACCCCAGCACTTTGGGAGGCCAAGGCGGGAGGATCACCTGAGGTCAGGAGTTCGAGACCAGCCTGTCCAACATGGAGAAACTCCGTCTTTACTAAAAATACAAAATTAGCCTGGCGTGGTGGCATACAACTGTAGTGCCAGCTACTTGGGAGGCTAAGGCAGTAGAATCACAGGATTTTGGCCAGTGAGCCAAAATCCTGGCCATTGCACACCAGCCTGGGCAACAAGAGCAAAACTCTCTCAAAAAAAAAAAAAAAAGGCCAGGTGCCATAATCCCGGCACTTTGGGAGGCTGAGGCAGGTGGACCATGAGGCCAGGAGTTGAAGATCAGCCTGGCCAAGATGGTGAAACCCAGTCTCTACTAAAGTACAAAAAATTAGCCGGGCATAGTGGTGGGCGCCTATAATCCCAGCTACTTGGGAGACTGAGGCAGAGAATTTGCTTGAACCCAGGAGGCAGAGGCTGCAGTGAGCCGAGATTATGCCACTTCACTTGAGTGACTGAGCAAGACTCCATCTCAAAAAAAAAAGTGCTGTTCAGCCGGGCGCGGTGGCTCAAGCCTGTAATCCCAGCACTTTGGGAGGCCAAGGCGGGTGGATCATGAGGTCAAGAGATCGAGACCATCCTGGTCAACATGGTGAAACCCCGTCCCTACTAAAAATACAAAAAATTAGCTGGGCGTGGTGGTGCGTGCCTGTAATCCCAGCTACTCAGGAGGCTGAGGCAGGAGAATTGCCTGAACCCAGGAGGCAGAGGTTGCGGTGAGCCGAGGTCACGCCACTGCACTCCAGCCTGGGTAACAAGAGCGAAACTCTGTCTCAAAAAAAAAAAAAAAGTGCTGTTATTTATAATTTCTAAAAACTCCTTCCGGTGCCCTGCGCATTTCCCTCTGGCAGCGTCCAACTCTTTATGACTCCTCATTTGGGAGGTGGTATCTATGACAACGCTAATGGTAAGATGTTTATAGCAACTGGATGTTCTTCCCTGAGCTCCTTTTCCTGCTGTCTGGGTCTCTCCTCACATTCTAGTGACTCTCAAGGACAGACCCTAAGTAGTCGCCAAGAAGCTATGTGACTCTGGCTTCTAAATTGGGGCTCCCAGCGGCATCTGGAGGCTGCCTGCTTTGGGCTGACAGTTAGCCTGCCGTTATCCTTCCATGGGCTCCCATCTGCAGACCAGGGGGGCCACAGGTTCCCAGGCTGGAGGGGCTTGCTCAGGCCACCAGTTCCCTGCCACACTGTACTCCGCCATGCCCAGTGGTGTCTGGTGTCCATGACTTGATTTTCCCAGAGAATAAACCTCCTGTGCTCACTGCTGGGGACCACAGCAGGCAACTGCCCTGACCTCCCCAATCCTCGTCACACTGCATTCAGAAGGGCTTGCCTGTCCCCTCACTCAGCCATGGCAGCACTGCGTTCCCAAACTGTCAAACCTCTCTCACCTCATTAGTCCACGTTATTATTTTTATTTTTTGAGACAGGGTCTCGTTCTGCCACGCAGGCTGGAGTGCCGTGGTGCGATCAAGGCTCACTGCAGCCTCCAGCTCTTGGACTCACGTGCTGCTCACACCTCAGCCTCCCAAGTAGCTGGGACTACAGGTTGCAGCACCACACCTGGCCAATTTTGTGTAGGGTCAGGGCTTTCACTATGTTGCCCAGGCTGGTCTCCAGCTCCTGGTCTCAAGCAATCCATCCACTTGGCCTCCCAAAGTGCTGGGATGACAGGTATGAGCCACCACGCCAGCTCCTATGAGGAGTATCTTTAAATTTCCACCGCACACCAGGAGCTGTTTCAGGAGCGGAGAGGGAAGAGGGGGCCTCTGGTGGCTGCCCAGACCCTGAGCTACAGCAGCCACTCCCATAGGAACCACATCACCTCACTGGAACGTTTGGAATCTGTGGGGATGTATCCGGTTGTCCCAAGTTCAGGAGGCACAGGCCGGGGGCCCTGGGTGAACAGCCACGTGCAGACATGGAAGGATAACGGCAGGCTAACTGTCAGCCCAAACTGACTTCTGCAACACAGGGAAGCATCCTCAGTTCACAGAGGCTCAAGTGCCTGGTTGGGCGCTCGTGCAGAAGGGTGGTCTGTGCGCCCGGAGCTGCGCTGAGACCCTGACGGTCCGGCATCATGCGCGCTGAGACCCTGACGTCCGGCATCATGCGCGCTGAGACCCTGACGTCCGGCATCATGCGCGCTGAGACCCTGACGGTCCGGCATCATGTGCGCTTTACCTTAACACTGCGTTGACCAGGAATGCCAACGCCATGTCAGTGACAGGGGACTACATCCTGTTTGTTCAGCATTTTACCAAGGGTTCACCATTCTGGGAAAACATCGCATCGCCCACGGTTAACACCAACACCAGACACATTTTTATCTGGCGCCTTCGCAGTGTCTAGTACAACTGCACCCAAGCACTGACTTACTTCACAAGTGACTTTTCTACAAATCACATCCTTTTTCTTTCTCCTCTATGTTAGACACACAAGTATGCACAGATGTGTGATTGAATTGTGGGTATAGGTAGAACATGTACCATTTGTGAGTTTCTTTTTTTTTTTTTGAGACAGAGTCTCGCTCTGTCGCCCAGGCTGGAGTGCAGTGGCACAATCTCGGCTCACTGCAGCCTCCACCTCCTGGGTTCAAGTGATTCTCCTGCCTCTGCCTCCCCAGTAGTGGGACTACAGGCACTTGTTACCATGCCCTGCTAATTTTTTTCTATTTTTAGTAGAGATGGGGTTTCACCACGTTGGCAAGGCTGGTCTTAAACTCCTGACCTCAGTTGCTCTTCCTGCCTCGACCTCCCAAAGTGCTGGGATTACAGGCATGAGCTGCCATGGCCAGCGAGTTTCATTCCTTTCAGGGTAGTAAAGGGAATGCCACGACCATTTGTCTAGAAGGGGCCCAGGTCTGACAGGGCCGAGGGCCATGGATCGGCAGCCTGAGGCCGCGTCCTGGTCTCCCCGGGCTGGGCCCCTGCGTCGCCCGTCCTGGCGTCTAGCCTTCCAGGGGTAAAGGAGGACAGAGGATCAGGTGGAAGGAGCCGAACACATGGCAGCGCCCAGGCTCCGGAGTGATGAGGTCTGGCTGCATCCCCACCCAAATCTCACCTTGACTATTTCCTACGTGTTGAGGGTGGGGCCAGGTGGAGATACTTAAATCATGGGGGCAGTTTCCCCCATGCTGTTCTCCTGAGGGTGAGTCTGTTCTTTGGAAACCTGATGGTTTTATAAGGGGCTTCCCTCTCCACTCAGCACTCATTCTCTCTCGTGTTGCCTTGTGAAGAGTTGCCTTCCGCCATCATTGTAAGCTTCCTGAGGCCTCCCCAGCCATGTGGAACTGTGAGTCAATTACACGTCTTTTCTTTACAAATTACCCAGTCAGCAGCGTAAGAATAGGCAAATACATGGGCGTTGACACCACCCGGGAAAGTGTGGAGGGAGGTGGGGCAGGCACAGCACCTTACCTGGCTGCAGACTCAGGCACCCTTAGGAGGGTCTCACAACATCATCTGAGAACGGACAGTGAGGGGAGGAAGGGGTCCGAACACATCACTGAGGCGTCTCTTTACCACACTGGACTTTGCTTTTGGCAGTCACCAATGTCTGCTGGTCTCCTGCCCATGGAGGCCAGTCTCTCAGGGGCTGTCAGCAGAGTTGCTGTAAGGCATTGGAGGAGGGCTGGCTGCTGAGCCTGCGTCCCACCCTCTGCTTGGGAGTGGGACCCTCGGCCACCTGAGCGGAGGTTCCTTGGCTCAAGGAGCAGTCTGTCGGGGCCAGCCTGCCACCAGCAGCCATGTTCCTGCAGGACACAGTGCAGGAGGTGTTTGCTGCTGAGCTGCCAGCACAGGGCTCTGCAGACGACGGGATTAAGGTGTGCAACCTCGAAGTGGGAGATTATCTGGGATTATCTGGGTGGGGCCAATTAAATACATGAGTCCTTAACCGCCTTTCCTGGCTGAGCTAGAGATGAGATAGAAGGAGAGTCAAAGCATGAGAGGGACTTCACCCGCCACTGCTGACTCTGCAGATGGGCAAGGGCCCTCTGTGTAGAATGCAGGGAGCCTTGGGAAGCCAGGAAAGGCTTGGCTTGCACCCAGCAAGGTCCTATTGCCAGTCCTACCACCAGCAAGAACCAGATTCTGCCAACCTCCCAAACATCTTCCTCCAGAGCCTGCAAAAAGCAATGCCCCATCGAACACCTTCATTTCAGCCCAGGGAAATGCACCTTAGACTGAGGATCTAGAGAACTATGTTACAACAGTCACAGAAAAGGAAGAAAAAGGTGGAAACTACCCAAGGCCATCTAGTTCGGCACTGTATTTTATTATAAATAAACTGTATCTGGCTGGGCATGGTGGCTCACGCCTGTAATCCCAGCACTTTGGGAGGCCGAGGCAGGCAGATCACCTGAGGCTGGGAGTTTGAGACCAGCCTGACCAACATGGAGAAATCCCATCTCTACTAAAAATACAAAAAATTAGCTGGGCATGGTGGCGCGTGCCTGTAATCCCAGCTACTCGGGAGGCTGAGGCAGGAGAATTGCCTGAACCCAGGAGGCGGAGGTTGCAGTGAGCTGAGATGGCGCCATTGCACTCCAGCCTGGGTAACAAGAGCGAAACTCCATCTCAAAAAAAAAATAGCTGGGTGTGGTGGTGTATACCTGTAATCCCAACTTCCTGGGAGGCTGAGGCAGGAGAATCACTTGAACCTGCGAGGCGGAGGTTGCAGTGAGCCAAGACTGTGTCACTGCAATCCAGCCTGGGCGCCAGGGGAGTCTCCATCTCAAAAAGCAAATAAATAAAAATAAATACATAACTAAAGGCTGCATATTTCATTCTATGACTAGATCGTGTTTCCATTCCTGGACATTTAGGCTGTTTCATGTTTTTCCCTTTCTTTTAAGCCTGATTATCTCTAGTCCTATCTCCTATTATTCTCTAGGGTCGATTCTTAATTACTTAGTCAAAAGGGAAGAATTATTTAATTTTTTAGCCATCTTTATTTATTTATTTTTTTGGTGAGAGTTTTGCTCTTGTTGCCCAGGCTGGAGTGCAATGGTGCGATCTTAGCTCACTGCAACCTCTGCCTCCCATACGCAAGCAATTCTCATGCCTCAGACTCCAGTGCAGCTGGTATTACAGGTGAGCACCACCAAACCTAGCTAATTTTTGTATTTTTAGGAGAGCCAGGGTTTCATCATGTTAACCAGGCGGGTCTCCAACTTCTGCCTTCCAGCAATCTGTCCGCCTCAGCCTCCCAAAGTGCTGGGATTACAGGTGTGAGTCACTGTGCCTGACCTTTTTTCCTTTCTGTAGAGATGGGGTCTTGCTATGTTGCCTCGTCTGAACTTCGGGCCTCAAGAGATCCTCCTGCGCTGACCTCCCAAGTAGCTGGGATTACAGGCATGAGCCTGTAATCCAGCCCAACATTGTGGTATTTTAATATTTGATAAACTTAAGAGTATTCCTTCTCATGTAATTTTAGGATTACACTCGTATTTTTCATTAGAATCTCCTCTCTGAGCACTGTACATGTGGCCCTGGTGAACTGAGTGAGACTAGGACAATACTCCCAATAATGATCGAATTGTTCCGCCCAACGCAGTATGGTGGGGCCTGCCTGAAATACAGCACACAGGGCACTCAGCACATACCTAAGCAAACTGACACCCTGAGCCGGCTCCCAGCAACCCAGGCTCTGGAAACTGGCGTGTGGACACTGCTGCTCCTGAGCGGAACAGCCTTCTGCCCAGTCCACCCAGGCAGACGCAACGCCTCCGACGGGTTGGACAGATATGGTTTCTCCTGCTCTTTCATTTGAATTCAGAAAGGACGGACATTTTTCAGAATGAGCAGATACGTAGCGATACAGCCTTGAGGGTGTGGATCACACACAAAAAAATCAGAGTTTTTGGTACTACAATTTTTTAAAAGCCACACGAGCAGCGGGAACATTTACTAAATGTTGAGGAAAACTAAAGCAGGAGGGAAGAGCTCCAACGCCAGTGACCAGGGGGTGGCTGTGCAGGGAGGCTCCGTGTCCAAAGGCAGAGGCAGGCAGAGGGGCAGGCTGCTCCCGGGGTGCCCAAGGGCCCCTTCCTCCACAGCAGCCCCAGACAGCCTCACGGAGCTGCCACACACAGGGCTCTGCCACAGTCGGTGACTCCAACTCTTCAGAACACTGAGACTGGAATCAAAACCTTTCTCTTCCCCACAGGCAAAAACCCGGGCATTCCCCACTTGCCGATGATAAATTACGTGTTAAACTGTCCACATGGTGCGTTTAGACAACCAAGCTCTTTCCACATAACGGTATCTTAAACTCAGCAGGCTGGGTGATGGCCGCTTACTCCCTACGCTTTGCACCTACTATTAGTACCATTATTCTTGTGACTGTTTCGCATATGCTCAATTTTTAACAAAGTAATTTAAGAAGCTGACATACTATCTATTCCTTCCCCGAGGAAGGCCCAGGCTCCAGGGCAGGCAGGACCCACATCTCCTGGAAGTACCAGACAGTGCCAGCAAGCAGGGAACTCCAGGAACTCAGGGCATAACCCAGGACACAGGTGCCGCCTGAAGAGGCTCCAACATCAAGCGGGCCACGAGTCCCAACCAGACAGGACAGCGGTATGACGCCACAAGCGAACAAAACCTTGCTGTGCCACACTGGGCATTCTCACAGATATGCCTATTTACAGAAGCAGTCACAGCAGTGCACACGGGGGAGGCAGGCGAGGCCGCGAGGGAAGCCAGCTCCTCCCTGCTGACCGGCTGAAGCGGGCACTGCTGTCATCAGCTGACCCAGCGACTCCTCCCAGGCAGGAGTCAGGGGGACGCAAGCCTCTGTGGAGCAATCGCTAGGGCTATGGCCAGCTGACATGGGCAGACATCAGCCTGGTGGACACAGCAGGGGCACAGGCACCCACTGCCTTGGCAGAGCATGAGGACACAGACACCCCTTGAAGCAAAGCCAGTGCCACAGGCAGAGCAGAGCCCCCTGTCAGTGGCAGCGAGCTGGGGCCTGGGCTCTGGTCACGCTCCCCTCTCCTGCAGCAGTGACTTTCCGGACCCAAGCACAGAACGTCGGCAGCCCTGATCAACGCCACTGTGTTTGTTTGGCCCTGCGGCCCTGTTCAAAGAGTCCTGAAGCCTGACGTCATCCACACTATTACTGCCCCTCCCCCCGAGGTCTGACACACAGGTGCTCTACCTGCTGTGTCCAGGTGGCAGACAGCACTGCTGTCCAGTAAGTCAAGTGAGGGCCCCACAGCAGCTGCCGGCCCAGGGCTGGGAAGGCAGCCCACAGGCTCCCGCCGGGTCACTCGTGCTGCCGGAGCTGCTGGAGCAGTGCTGTGCCTGACCGCTTAGCCTATGTCCTACTCGGGGTTGACATGAACTCACTTGCCAGGTTCTCACACCCACTTGCTCTGTACACTGTAAAGTGCCTGCCCAGCTCCAGGACTCGGTTCTTCTCTTTAGCCATCCTCTTTTTATTTTTTGAAACAGGGTCTCACTTTGCCACCCAGGCTAGAGTGCAGTGGCATAATCAGGCTCACTGCGGTCACCGCCTCCCAGGCTCCAGCGAGCCTCCCACCTCAGTCTCCAAGTAACTGGGACTACAGATGCGCACCACCAGGCCCAGCTAATTTTATTTCTTTGTAGAGACGAGGTCTCACTATGTTGCCCAGGCTGGTCTCGAACTCCTGGGCTCTAGCACCCCACCTAGCTCAGCCTCCCAGGGTGCTGGGATTGCAGGTGCAAGCCACCACGCCCAGCACTCTGCTCTTTTCCAAAGATGCTAGGATGGGCTGGGCACTGTGGCTCACGCCTGTAATCCCAGCACTTTGGGAGGCCAAGACAGGCGGACCACTTGAGGTCTGGAGTTCACGACCAGCTGCACAGCAAAACCCCTGTCTCCACTAAAAATACAAAAAATTAGCCAGGTGTGGGAAGCACCTATAATCCCAGCTACTCGGGAGGCTGTGGCAGGAGAATCACTTGAACCTGGGAGGCAGAGGTTTCAGTGAGTTGAGCTAGTGCCATTGCCCTCCAGCCTGGGCAACAGAGCAAGACTCTGTCTCAAAAAATTAAAATTTTTTTAAAAGATGCTGGGATGGCTGTCCCTCTCATGGGACAGGCAGGTCCTTCACCAGGGTCAGTTACAGCAGCCAGGACCACACCGCCCATCCGGGATCCGAAAACGGCTTAGTTTGCTTTGATGACACTTACCGTAGACACGGTGAAGGCCACTCAGGGCCAAGTGCCTCTGCTTTCTCTCTGCCATCTGCGAATATGCGACCAACTCTTCCTTGCACCCTTGCCACAGCTCCGGGCCCCCCAACACCAAGCCCTCAGTACACGATGGTCAGAAGACCCTTCCAGATGTCCCTGCCCACCGCCCCCCTCGTCACCAGCGCAAGGGCCTGGCTGCTCCTGAGCCCCTCCGCCCCATCTTGCCTGGACCGCCTCCCCCTGCTACTACATGTGCACGTTGGCAGGCAAAGGGGCTCACGGTGCCTGGTAATGCCCTGGTCTTCTGCCTCCCACTCGGCTCCTTACCCGCTCCACAGCACCAATGCCCTCATCCCTCCTCTAATTTCTGAAGGACAGACATCCAGAAATCTCTGCTGTACTCAAAATCCACATCGCATCTCGGCAAGAGAGAGCCGCGTGTCTCTTGGACGGGCACCGTCATCCCCGCCTCAGGCTCAAAGTGCGGCTCCACCGCATTTCCTTCTGTTTACCCTCACTGCCAAAAGAACTGAAGGGGCCCCTTTCCCCCCCCAGCTGCTGCCCCGAGGATGCCCACAGACCATGGTGTTGGCAGCCAGCCCTTCTTCCTGCAGCTGTTCATCTTCCCTGCCACCTTCACAGCTTCTGGTCCCCGACACCCGCCAGTTCCACAGTCTGCACGTCCTTCTCCCGACCACCCAGGAAGCCAACACAGCCTGACAGGCAATCTCCCCGACTTCTCATATTAGTCCACACCAGCGAGCTGCACACCCACACCTTTTCCTGCTTTCTCCAAACACCCAGTGGGCGACACCCTGGCTGACCTGTCCCCTGGCCCCCACAACAGCCCTCAGTGGGGTGGCACCCATACCACACACTCCCCGTGGAAGGACTCGGGTGTGATGCAACCCCTCCCTGCTCTCCAGACCAGGGTAAGCAGCAGCTTTTCTGGGACCAGCAACTTTGCACCTTCCCAGCTGCAATCTTCAAATAGAACAAGAGGCAAAAGTACCTGCAGGGACCCAGATCCCCCTCTTCATGTCCTTCCCACCCACGTCGGCTCCCTGATGTGGCATCCTTCCTGGAACACTGCTAAATCCAGCTCACCGTGCAAGCCACAAACACGTGTACCCAACACAAGAGTCACCTGTGTCCACACCGCCCTGCAAGAGGCCTGCCAGGCAAGCATTTGCCGCTTCCTGAAAGCACTTAGAGCGCCTGCTAAGGATGGACACGGACATGAACTCTTTTGCCCAGAAGTTCTGGCATTTGGCCGCTGTACAATCTTAACATTTAAAAATCTACCTACTAGGCCGGGCATGGTAGCTCACACCTGTAATCCAAGCACTTTGGAGGCCAAGGCGGGTGGATCACCTGAGGTCAGGAGTTCAAGACCAGCCTGACAAACATGGTGAAACCCCGTCTTTTTAAAATAAATTAAAATTAAAATCTACCTACTAATTTAACTTTTCTGAAAATGTAAGAAAGGCCATGCCAGTCCAACCTACAAAACAGCACGATTTGCATAATTCAAACCAGAAACAATCTGCCTCTCGTAGTCCAGCACCCTCTCAGGAGGAGGTGGGTTTGTCCCTACGGCAAGGAGTTAAATAGAAGGAACCTTGCCACACACAGATGGGTCCAGGAGTGGCTCCAGAAACCTCCAGAACCCGGCGGCCTGCTGTCCTCATTCACAGCTGGCCCTGGGAGCTCTCGGGCACTGCTCTGCTCGGCTCACCGGGAGGGACGGAGGAAGGGCAGGAGCAGCGCAGTGAGGGGAAAACAGATGGGCTTCGGGGATGGTCCCGGGCCACAGAGCAAAGGTGGGGGACAGCCCTAGAGGCCTGGTGCAGAGAGGCCAGCCCAGGACAGTGGGAAAGCGACAGGGAAAATCAGGCAGTTCTGAAGGAAAGAGGAGTGTGGCTTCGGATGCCATGAGAACCCTGTCTGGGGGCTACCACGCTGGCCTCTCCCAAGGCCCCGTGCACAGCCTGTCTTTACTGGGAATGCTCCCAAAACCTGGATGACACGTGGCACTTCCACTTGGGGAGCTTGGGAAGGGCCTGAACAGCTCAGTGACACCCTGCAGTTCCTACATCTGAGGACCACTGGCCTGGCCTGCTTACCACAGGACTCACTCGGGTGCCCCCTCCTCCAGGAAGCCATCCAGGACCCCAGCCGAGGCCCACATTCCCTCCCATTGACTTCCGCATGCTGAACCTCCCCCAGCCGGCACACTGCGCCCTAAATTAGGGCCCTTTCTTATTTTTTCAAAAGCGTATAAAAGAGAAGACTGTCTCTATTTTGTTCTTGCACCCTCAGCTCCTGGCCCAGTGCCTCGTAAGATGCCCAATAAACGACAGAACAAATGTTTAAAATGAGGGAGAAAAACTTGAGGGCTCAGGACTGGGCCTTTGTGAAAAGCCCAAGGCCAGGGCTGGGAAAAGACTCCCACTTGGGGAGAGGGGAAGAGAGGGAGGGAGGACCTGGTCCCAGCAAATCAACAGAGAAGGTGGTGGCTCTGGGGTGGCATCCCACTCAAGACCAGGGCAGGTGTGAACCGATGCCCAGAGGGTGGCTGGTCGGAGTTCAGGGCATGAGGGAGCTCGGGAAGGACTAGGCTGCCCTCAGTCCTGTCCTCTCTGAGGTGCAGGACAGCATGCCCCCAGCAGGAGGCAGAGCCAACAAGTTGCAGGGTCCTGGCTGCCTCAAAATCAGTTATGATGACCCACAAGTCCTACCTCCTGACAACACGGGTTCCCAGATGCCGGCCAGGGTCACCCCGGGTCTGGGGCAGTCCTCTGAGGCTCGGGTCTCAAGAGAACTTGGTGTGCACAGTGCAGCAGCTGCCCCAGGCCCAGGTGTTGGTGAGGAGGAGGATAGGGAAGAGCCAGGAAGCCCGCTGCTTCACAGGAGGCCTGCAGGGCAGCTCCACCTGCAGCCCAAGCCCGCCCCCAAGAGCTGTCACCTCCTGAGACTCAGTCCCTTGTCTGCACAATTGGGGTGGTGCTGCCGTCTCACAGGCAGGGTTAGGGGGCAGCGGGAAGCGCCCAGCAGTGCTGACAGGCAGCACTCATTACATGCTGGCAGCGTGGGCCGTCGCCATAGCGATCACCCCTGTTCCGCCGACAGCACCCTGTTGGAAAGTCTGGCACCTCACAAAGGAAAGGCAAACCCCAAAACACTGCCCCAGAACATGAGCAAAACCCCTCAGGCAGGTGGATCACTGGAGGTCAGGAGTTCAAGACCACCTTGGCCAACAGGGTGAAACCCCGTCTCTAGAAGACGGGGTGTTGGCACATGCCTGTAATCTCAGCTACTCAGAAGGCCGAGGCAGGAGAATCACTCCAACCCAGACAGCGGAGGGTGCATTGAGCCAAGATGGTACCATTGCACTCCAGGCACCACGCCTGTCATCCCAGCACTTTGGGAGGCCGAGGCGGGTGGATCATGAGGTCAAGAGATCGAGACCATCTTGGTCAACATGGTGAAACCCCGTCTCTACTAAAAATACAAAAAATTAGCTGGGCATGGTGGCACGTGCCTGTAATCCCAGCTACTCAGGAGGCTGAGGCAGGAGAATTGCCTGAACCCGGGAGGCGGAGGTTGTGGTGAGCCGAGAATGCGCCATTGCACTCCAGCCTGGGTAACAAGAGGGAAACTCCATCTCAAAAAAAAAAACAAAAACAAGCAAAACTCAGTCAAGTGCAAAGGAAGAGAAGGGCCTTCCAGGCTGCAGTCGTGCCCAACACCAACAGCTGGCACAGGGAAGCCGTGCACGTCTGTCCAGTCACCTAAAGACACACAACTAGCCCACCTGAGCAAGCCTCGGCTAGCACTGGGGATAAGCAGCAAGAGGCACACCTGGTTTTCACTCAGGACAATGAAACTCAGAGGAGCCTCTGAAGAAGGAATATCCTCTGGAATTGGCCACTTAGGAGCCATGAGCTTCAAGCCAGCTGAGAAGAAACGTTTGTAACCGTTTGGAGAAAGCATAGTTGCAAAGCTGAAGAAGCCGGGACACCTTTACAGGGTGACCTCGCTCCCATGGGGCACAGCAGACATCCTGTGGCCCCACACACACCTCGGTGACCACCAGGCCCCAACATCCATGGCAAACCTCGATGTTAGTCTTGTTTTGTCACAACTGCCTCCCTCTGTTTCTCCCCACAACTTGCCAGGCTCAAAGGATGCTCTGCCAGGCCCTGAGCGAGGGCAGGGAGATGCTGTGCCACACTCTCAGCAGCCAAGGGCAGGCAATTCAGCAAGCAAACAGCAGATGCTCAGGGCAGTCAGCAAACAGCATCGCTCAGCAGCTTCCACCAACACTGACCCCGAAAGAAGCAGAGAGAGAAATGAAGTCAAGCCAGGATTCACTCATTAACTCCTTCTTTTTTTTTTCCCCAAGACAGGGTTTCACCATGTTGGTCAGGCTGGTCTTGAACTCCTGACCTCAGGTGATCTGCCCACCTTGGCCTCCAAAGTGCTTGGATTACAGGCGTGAGCCACCGCGCCCGGCCTCATTAACCCCTTCTGAAGTCTCCCAGGATCCAGGCGTACAAACTATGACGCACCTGACCGAGGCAAAGCAAACTCACTCGCGGGAAGGTTTGTGGGCACAAGGTGCAGAGGGTGGAACTGCCTTGACCCAGGACCTGCAACGCCCCTGCAGAGCAGGAGTGGGCCTGGCCCTGGCAGGATGCTTCCCGGGCTCGGGGGAGGGGTGTGCAGCCCCACATGGGTGCTTCGGGTGCTTCTTCGTGGCCAAGACAGACCCAACGCCCTGGGCCACACCCTGGAGCCTGACCGCAGGTTCGCTCCCAAGCTGAAGCTTTCTCCTCCCCACCGCGAGCACCACCCACACGCCTGCATGCGGGGTAATTCCTCCAGGTAACTCACTACCATCACCAGGGGCACTCTATGCAGAGCCCTCTGTTCTGTCCTGAACAGA